GCTAAATGGGCCTATAACCAGCCTTCAGTGCTAGTAACAAACGAAGGCCACACGCTAGCAAGCGCTGAAGGAGTACGCCAAGGAGACCCTATTGCCCCCCTCTTATTCTCTCTAGCGATCCGCCCCCTGCTAGAGCACCTCCAAAAGACCCTACCGAAGGCTACAATTATAGCTTATTTGGACGATATCTATATCCTTAGCCCTGAAACTACAGCACTACTCCCTGTAGTTATAGAAGCCTTCAGGGACTCTCCAGTAGCTCTTAACCGCCAAAAGAGCACCGAAAGCCCTATCTCCCAGTTATAAACCACTGGACTTAAGGCCTTAGGGACCTTTATAGGCCCTGTAGCACACCGCCGAACGTTCCTCCAGGGGAAAATCGACACTCTCGCTACAGCGCTATATACCCTACGAGACCTCCCTAAACAACACGCTACCCTACTCCTACGGGGTAGTATACACCTACTCCTACGACACTTACAGCGCCAATTGTACTCGGAAGACCTACTAGACCTCTGGAGGTTAGCGGACCTACGAATCAAGTACGCTGTACAAGCCCTAATCGCTAGGGAGCCAGGGGAGAAGACTACCCTAATTCGCCAGGCTTTACTCTCTCTTCCAGTGAGAGAGGGAGGCTTAGGGCTCCCTATACACGCCTTATTAGCCCCAGGGCTCTATAGGGCAGCTAAGGAAGCCTCTCGATCGATTCTAGTGGCTATATGCCCTAATCTCTACCCGGAACCCCCTGGACGCCCTGTACCGACAGCCCAAGAGGTCTTCTCTAGCGTTAACCAAGACCTAGAAGAGAAGATTCTACCTACCCTATCAAAACAAGCGCTAAAATCGAAGCTTGAGAACGCTAGCTACCTCGGACGATACTAGCTTAGAACCCTGCCCACGCAAAAACACCACCTTTTAGCGGATTCTACAGTTACCGAAGCACTACGGACTAGGCTCTTACTCCCTGTAAAGCCCCCTATTTCGCCCTGTACCGCCTATGGAGCCTACCCTCAAATAGGCCACGAAGACACCTGTAGAGGTGCTGAACGACACTAGATTATACGCCATAACCAGGTTACCCGTGCATTTATTACTACCCTTTCTAGCCGGGAAGACCTTAAAGTGGAATCGGAGCCTACGCCAGCTAGAACGCCCATAGCCCTAGAAAATAGCCAACGACCGGATTTTTCAGTGCTTATAGGTACTTCTAGGCACTATTACGACGTTCAAATAGTAGCAATCAACAAGGATTCAGCACGCGAAGAAGCCTATACTACGCTATCAGAGGCAGTAAACGCTAAACGGCTTAAATACAGCGACTTAGGCCCTGTATTTCACCCCCTGATCTTCTCGGCAGGAGGCCTAATAGAAGCCGAAACAGCGAAGACCTATAAGGCCCTACAGGGCCTATTAGGGCACTCTAGGGCTAAGTGGTTAGACGGGTATATCGCTAGCACCCTAACTCAGGCTCGAGGAATCGCTGCAACCTCGATCCTAGCACGTAGGTAGCTCATAACACACACTATACCTACCCTACAGCACACACTACACCTACCCTATAACACACACTACACCTACCCTACGGCACACACGACACCTACCCTACGGCACACACTTCACCTACCCTAAGTAACTCACACTTCACCTACCCTGTGATACACACTCTATCTACCCTATAGTACACACTCTACCGACCCTGCGACTCACACTCTACCTACCCTTTGATACACACTCTACCTACCCTATGGTACGCACTCTACCTACCCTGCGACTCACACTACACCTACCCTGTGGTACACACTCTACCTACCCTGTGGTACATACTCTGCCTACCCTATGGTACACACTCTACTTACCCTGCGACTCACACTACACCTACCCTTTGGTACACACTTTACCTACCCTTTGGCACACACTCTACCTACCCTTTGGTACACACTACGCCTACCCTCTGATACACACTTTACTTACCCTTTGGCTCTTACCCTCTGTATTATTAGTATAGTCCTTCTGTATTTCAAGACTATTAGGGAGAGATAAAAACACTCGTCGCAAGCTAGCGTAGTTAGAAACAAATATAACCCAAACCTCAAACCCTAACCCACAAATATAACCCAAACCTCAAACCCTAACCCTAAAATCGCGGAAATCGGTTAACGTTTGACCGAGATATCGTCAAGTGATAATATAGGGTTTTTAAAGGGTAAGTCGATTGTGAAAACGACCCCTTCAGCGTATAAGCCTAATAAAAGCTCTTTTCACTATTATAACGTAGAATAGTAACCGTTACGTTGCGTACTAGCGTATCTTGTCCTATTACAGAATAATAACCGTTGTAATAAGTACCAAAATAACTCTTTTTAGCGTTTTACACTTATAAGTTAAATATATATTCAAACTCAAGGATTTGATTAGTTCTTTCAGGGAGCCGCGTATATTAAAGAATAGGGGCTATAAAAACGGTCTTTTCTACCGCTGCTAGGAGCACGCTAGTGGGCTCGCTTAGCTCTCTGAAGTAGCTCTTATTCGCCGTCGTAACGTAACGACATTTCTAAGAGGGATATTAGCTCTCGCAATAGCTAATAGCGAATAAGACGCTAGTCCGAGTTGGGAGTGTTCTTGACGACTAGCACGACACTTAATAGTCGGATTATATAGCCAAGTCCCGTGACTTAGTTAGACGTTCAGGGTTGATATAAGAGTGTTAGGTAATAACAAGCACTTATCTGCTTTTAGCTAGCCTCGCAATTCTAACTAATAGTAAAGCTAGACGATTCCAGCTTTCAAATAACGCTAGGCTAAGCGTAGTCTTGTAACTTCGTATAAGTTGTCTATCGTCGTATAACTAAGTGAGTAGCGCTGGTAAGGTAGCGACGACAAGGGTCGAAAAACAAAGGCTCGCTTAAGGTAACGAGTATAAGTCGTTAGGATATTATTACGCCGTCACCGGCAGTGTGATTTAAGCTTGATATAATGTAATAGCACAGTTTAGCGTTAGCGAGCACGTGAGCGAAATAACCACGGATCAGGTGATAACCTCTCTATTAGCGCGAATATCAAGCTGAGGAGCCCTCGATTCCGTGGAGGGCGCTCGAGCCTATATAGATAAATTCCCCGGGCTATTCCTGATTAGGACTAATTACATTTGACGTAAAACTTGACGTAAACTCCTGTAGTAGCGTAGAGCTATTTCCCTTTGCGTATAACTAAGTGGGTAACTGTCGGTAAACCCCTTCAGAGTTAACCGAGCTCCACCGAGTCTTACCGAGCTTTGCCGAGCTCTAGACTCTTCCTAATCAGGTATAGTAAAGAAGTGGTTACCACTACCTTTACATAAAATCACTACTTTTAATCTCTAATAATTAAAACTGCTCCTTAAATTTAAGACTAATTTCACTTGTAATAAGCTAATAAAGGCTAATAAGACTAGTTATAAGCTTTAAAACACTAGATTTATTGGTGCGTCGGCGCACCCAGCACTCCAGCCCCGACCTTCAGCGATGCTCTGAACTCTGCTGTATGTTCGCTTATATTTTATACTGATATCATCAAGTTACTGACATTTTATAGCTTCGAGATGCTCGTTCAGGGGCTTCTGGCTTTGTTTTAATGGGTCATCCCCCTGCGAAATTATCAGCTGCTGAAATCAATGAGCTCGCTTTGAACCCTTCTCGTCAGAATCTCGCTATTCTGATCGAGAGGCTATGCTGGACTAAAGGCGTATTGCTCTCCTTCATCGCCCGGAGCAGCTTTTGGGGATCAGACGTTAGCTTCGATAGGTATCTCAATGGATTGCGCCTGTAATATATGCATTCACTAAGGTGTATCGTGCCCTTGAATACTCTGCATAACTCGAATAGGTCTTCATACGCCGTGACCTCTGCGATGCTCAGAACTATTTCTCTTGGTACTCTAGATCTGGCTTGCTTCTGTTCTTCCATGGTGTCAGGTGCCAGTGGTAACGTAGTTGCTAAGTATACCCTGAACAAACGCCATGGCAGAGAACGAGTATGTCAAAAACGGCGTAGAGGTGATAGCGAAGACAAGAGACGAAGCTCAGAGAGAGTGGTGGCAACATTTAACATCAAGGATCAGAGCACAGCGGAACACGGTTTTCGTAATGTGATAAATATGTGGACGTCTGAGGCATTAAAGAACACGGACGATCCCAACAGACACTCATAGCGCACTACGCTCGTGGTACAGACGAGTACTACCGGAACCTCGCTTATCGTGAAGGCTCTAGCTGCTGGGGAGAGTATAATTGTGTCCGTTTACTTCAATGGCTCCACGGAGTTGGGAAGAAGCTCTGCATTCGCATCCGCGTCCATACCATGCTCACAGGTCTACATTCGCGAAATCGCCGCGGTGATGCGAGATGTCTTCGACTGCATGACTAAGATAAGAGGGTCTGAAGCGCGAGTACCTCACGAATCTGTGGACTTTCCGGCCTACGGATATGATGATGGTTTCCGTTGTCGCTAGAGGATCAATTGTCAGAAGAAGAAATCCAGGGTTTTGTATATGAGGCATCGCGTTTTCTTCATTCCTCGGGGACGATCACATTAGGATAGAGGCCCTAAGATATTCTAACGCTCCAGTAGATAGATATGGCCTATTCCCCTTTTAGTGGGAGTTCATTTTGCGCCTAGGTCTCCTTGGTGGCTCGTTCGAAGCGAGAAACACACCGGTCCGACTCACCAAAAAAGACGTCAGCAGCGACGACTTTAATATCGACAAAACCATTACTCTTATAGTTTTCGCCACAAAGCGTAAGCGAGAGATTGATGCGAGCACAGGATATATAGCTTGCTTTCAAGGCACGATGTTGAGACGGACAATTACTGTTATCGGATACTATCTTGCCCAGAACCTGGATGGTAACTCTGTTTGGAACCTCCCCGCTTTCACCATTTTCGTCTGCTAATAAATCTTAGATACGAGTCAACTTAACCTATTTTCTTCAACAAGCCGGGCTTCCCACAGACCAATCCTTCAACATGGCCATCATTGGCTACGGCTCAGGCCTAATCGGTGTCATCACAACTTGGTTCATCGTCCCTCACGTGGGCCGCCACGCAATGTACATCCGGGGACTATCCGCCATTGCTCTCTTGTTCCTCATCATCGGTATCCTCGGTATCCCTTCCGTGACTATTTTTCTTTCCAGGGGTATCGGCGCAATTCTCATCGTATTGTCATTTGTGCATAACATTTCCATTAGACCAGTCGCTTACTCCCTTGTGTCGGAACTCCCCTCTGCGCTACTAAAGAACAAGTCTGTCGTGATAGCAAGGCTCTGCTATAATACCAGCGGGATTCCAATTCATGTCATCGTCCTTTATATGATCAACCCTACTGCGTGGGGTGGGGTGCTAAAGCTGGGTTTTTCTGGGGAGGAAGCTGTCTCCTCACACTCATCTTTGCGTACTTTTGTATTCCGAGCCAAAGGATCGTACACCGGCTGAAGGTTATAGTGGCCAAAAGGAAGTAGCATTCAGATCAGCTTCCTCTAATCAAGCGGCTTCAAGATATAGCATGTCTCAATTGTCAAGAGGGACGAGGGCAACAACTACACAACCTGTGTCATTTAAAACTTTGACATTGTATAGAGTGTGTCACCGGGGCATGTTACTGCCTACTAGCGTATAAGGCTTCAGCATTACAGTATCTTGAGACTCATTAAGACAGCCTGGGATTGAATACTACCAGTACGGAGTATACCAGGGAGATCACTGGTCCGGCCCCCACATATAAAACATGGCAACCAGGGCAAGGGAGAATGCGGGGCCCGGGTCTTCAAATCAACACTGACGTCAACCTCAACGTCCATTTCCATTTCCACCCTCGGAGAGCTTTAGGAGTCGGAACATGTGCCTGCCAACCCCCTTAGTGGACTAGACTAGACTAACTAGTCTCGTAGTGTGACAGGGAAAGAAAAGCAGTCATCATTGAATCTTTAATCATTGATATTCAGTACCTCGAACAACTATTACTGTGTTCTTTCAAGTAAGTATTCTGGCTTGGATAGGCTTAGAGGCAATAGAAGCAAAGCTTCAGCTAACACTTCCTTTCAACTCAACAGTCAATAAACAACAAACAAAAAAGTCCCACATCTACAATCAACATGTCTTTCATCCTCCGAACCGCCAGATTCGCAGCTGTTCGCCCAGTCGTCGTTGCTACGAGACCTTTTAGCAGCACGAGCTTCATGGCATTAAAGGAGAGTGACCGCCGTAAGCTTATTGCCCATCCAGGGGAAACTGGGATTGGACTGACCCGAGAGTACTAGATAACCCTGATCAGGCCGAGTCAAACGAGAGACACAAGCAAGATTCGTTACAGAAGCAGAAAGAGGGAAAGGGACACTGGAAGGCGGAGTTGGCGAGTGACAGCGAGGAAGCTGTGAGTATTTCCGCCCCTCTGCTATCCGCTGGGCTGCTGCCAGAATTACTGGGTCTCGGGGTGGAACAACAAATGTTCTGGCAGATGTCTAACGCGGAGACAGCTCCTGGCATCTTTAAGCTGATAGATGATACTCATAGGTTGCCGCAGACCGATCAAGCAACGAGTCGATCGAGGAGATGCAGAAGAAGACGAAAGAGCACATAGAGAAGAAGCACAAGTAGGCGAAGGCTTTCTATTCCTACTGAAGCTTCTTGGTTTGCTCTCAGCGCCGAAGAACTTAAGATATCCCCTAAGCTGCCGTTCGGAACACACATTTTTACAGGGGGTAGGTAGCCTGAACCGAGGCCCTGTAATTAAGCGAGGAACGCCAGAATTTACCTTCTGAAAGAATTCGAGTGTTTAAGCCTCTTTCTGTCTACCTACGAGGAAGCCTACTCGTCCTGTTGGAATTCTGACGAATGTATGGAACACAATCCGGCCGCCAAGGTGAGACAATAAACGTAGGCGGGTCCCTGTCCGTATCGTTCATATAATCGTTCCACTACTATCAAACCTCTCTATTCCAAGCAGTTCATACTATCACAACTGTCTGTATAAGTCGTCGGTCACTCTCAAGCCAGTCCAAGGTTGAGTTCAAGGCCATCCACTACCTGTGATATGAAAAATTCATGAAGACGCCGTATGCCTAGTTGAGCCAAAGACTCGCCGGCAGAATATGTACAAAAACAAAACCTCCTTGGCCTCATGATTTCTTTCCACCTCAAGGCCCCGTAACCATTACCCCCACTCCCCCAAACAACCCCGAAATAACCAACGCCGTCAAAACTCCCGCTCCAGCTCTATCCGCCCTCGTCGCCGGTTCGATAACTTCAGTGCTCGAAGCGCTCTTACTCCCCGCATTCACGTTGCCCTGGCTCGTACCCCCCGTCCCATTCGTCACCAACGCCGGCGCCTCATCAATCAACAGGCTCTGCACCACACTCAGCGCGCTCATCTGCTGACCCAGCCCATAAAGCCCATCGTACGACTCGTACCAATGCTCGCCGCAGGTCACTCCGTCAATTCCACCTGAACATTGCGCTGCTGCTGCCGACGCGGATGTTTTCAGTTTCGAAATGATGGTATCGTGGTAGGCGGGGGCGAGTTTGGCGGTTGCGGCCATCCAGCGGGAGAGGTACGCTTTGAAGGATTGTTGGTCGGTATCGCAGGTCCCGACAGTGTTGACGGGCTCACAAGCTTGTTCATACATAACTCCATCCTTGAAGAAGATATCCGTGCCGTTCAACAGCCCTTCGAGACGGCCTAGCCAGGTACTGGATTGGTTTGTCTGGGTTCTGTTAGATTTTCCTCGTTTCGGGGATGCCAAGACTTACAAATTCATACATTACTGCTGACCCGAATAGGAAGATTCCCTGATTATATGAGAACTGAATATGGTCGATAGAACTACAGTTATCGGTATCGCTCGAGCCATCGTAGACCTTGTAGTCCGTACTGATCAAGCCGAAACCCTCCATCCAATCCCAGGTCTTCTCAGCCCAATCCGCATACGTCTGATTCCCCGTATACCTTGCCAGCCTCGATGCGATATTGAAGAAACAGCCATTCGCGATTGAATTCTTGTACGTGTATCCGGCATTGAATGTGAAGATCTGCCAGCGAAGTCCGCCGCCACATGTACTGTCATCCCACTTCAAGAAGTTAGCCTCACAATTCTAGGATAAAGCTTTTGGTTCTCAACACAGCAGGACATACCCTCGTCACCATCTCATTGAAAACAGCTTGCGTCAAGGCCAACCACTGCGGTTCATCATCTGGGGGGTTCGGGTAATTCATCTCCGCCGCAGACATAGCCGCCATCGCCCAAAATCCTTGATCATCATTCCCCTCCGTCTTGGTCTGATTCGTAGGCATAAAATCGTCGTTCTCCCCGACTTGCGAGAGCATAGCCGCCGTGACTGTCGGGTTGTAGGAATTGTCGTTGGTGTAGTACCAGTATTCGATCATGGTGCCGAACATGGCTCCTGCTTCCCACCAGTAGTAAGGGGACGGGAGGTTGCCTGGATTATTTCCGGTGTGGTTTCCGGTGTAGTAGTTCATCATTCCGTAGGCGATTGTTGAGGCTGCACTTTTGATTGAATCTTGGGGATGTTAGTTGAGGTGAGGAAACGAGAGAGGAGAAGAGACCTGTTGATGTGATAACCAAATCTATTGCACCCGCGACTTGAGTCCAAGAAGCACATATTGCTACACCAGCTATTATATGTGTCCCCCTCATCCTCACTTCTCAATGTTGACAAGTGAAAGTAGATCAATTGATATTTCGAGGGCAGATCTAATCAGGTATTCTTCCACACCATTCGATAAACAAAGACAACAAATGAAGCGAGATAGTTCGGTAGCGACAGTCAGCCAAGCCAAAAATACAACCAAAAGAAGCATTTCCAAGACAATCAAGAGTTCAAAAGACTGAAAGTAAGCAACAAACAGTCGCCATAACACAGCACCGCCCCACCACTAACGGGAGTGGAACATCAGCACTCATCTTTAATCTCCAGCTTCATGAAACGGGTCCCACGATGCTAGAAATAGGTTATGTACGAAATGTGAGTGGTCAATGGGACGAATGACCCAGAGAATGATGCCTTTTGTGGAGATCCTAGGTGTGTATTTAGTTGACGAGATGGTTTGGGGTTGAGAGTGACGAGGATGGATACGTATGCATGGGTGTGAGCTTACGCAACTCGTAGATGGATACGATGGAAGCATGGAGCCGCCTGGTGTGCTGGAAGTTCGGAAAACTTAGCTTCGACAGTAATCAATCAATGACTAGCGCGGCTCTTGGAATCATACAAGTGCTTCGGATCGCTGACGAAATTGAGCAGCCTTGGATCTCTGAGACGTTGAAGATATATCTTGGCATGATGATGATAGGAGGCTTGGAAATGCTTTTGCACTGTGGATCCCGAATGAGTCGTGGCGTCGATTTCCGTTGCCGGTTCCCGCCAGCCGAATTGAAAGGGGGCTGTGGGCCTGAATATCAAAGATTTGATTCTATTTACAAATAATCCTTTCGTATAGACATGTGATCATTCCTTTATCCAACCATCCATATAAACAATGCTCATATACTCGTCAAATCATGCAAATGCTCATCTAGTCTCCACAAGTTCCCATAACGCCCTCAAGACCATAATGCCTCCACCTTGCGTCTCAACCGTTCTCCCTCTTCCTCTATCATTCAAATCTCGGATCCGAATCTTCCTATCATTATTCTCAAAGTCCATATTCTGCTCTGGGACCTCGCGCCTATGCTTCTTGTCCTTCCACTGCTGAGGGATCCCATTGTTGCGATAATCTACAGCATTATCCGGTAGCTCAACCTCAGCATCAGGTTTAGTTTCAGAGAGAGGTGCGCCCCACCACATCCCAAACTTGCCATCAGAATCAATAGTCGTGAGCGCTGCTTTGGCATTGTGTTTGATCCAATTCCCGTATCTAGAACATCTCTTATCGTGCCATTTCTTGATCTCAAGCGGATTCGAAGGCGGATCAAGATCCTTGGTAAGAAAGAGCTCACTGGGAAGAACCAAGTGCTCTGGAAGGAGGGCACAGAACAACGTCAGGTGGTGGAAGAATATCCCCTTAAAAGTCTGCCCGTTCTGGGAACAGTATGCTTCAGAGTCACAAGATTCTTCCATGACACCTGAACGGCCAAGCCCATGCCATTTCCCAAGCTTTCGACCAGTCGTATCCTCCGGAATCACGCTGTGATGCTTCAAGCTCCATCCTGTGGCGGCAATGACATCCTCAATAAGCTTGTGACCTTCCTCCAGATACGATCGAGCTCCAGTGGCTTCGTACAGACCACGTTGACCAGAAAGTAAAACCCCCTGATTGTATGTGTAGACCATCTCGTTCCTTGAATCACATTTCGTGTTGGGCATGGAACCGTTCCTTGGATGCTCGCTAGACCAGCCAGAAATATGATATCCATCCACGTAAAGCCCCTTCGAATCCGTCATATTGCTATCTTTTAGCCATTTGTATGCTTCGATTGCTGCTGCAAGATATTTGGGATCGTGTGCTTTAGCCCCTCCATCCGTGCTCGAGGGTAAACCAAACGGAGATGCATTTTTGTCTCCGGGAAAATAAAGATACATGGATATCGAGGCCGCGATCCAAAGCTCGTTTGTGATAGCGTTTTTGTAGGGAGTGAGATAAGGCGACCAGATCACTAGATTCAAGAAGTCAGCCTTTATGGGCTCAAATATCTGGAGCACTTTTGACAGGTATTCCCGCCTGCTCTATTCGGTGGAGGATAGCAACAACTTACTTCCACCATTGCAAAGAGTTGTATCCCAGCCTTGCGACGCAATATCCCAGAATAAACGTGCTCGATGTGCAAAAGCCGGAGTCCATTGTTCACCATACCATCCTACCGTCTCGGATTTCTCGCCGTAATGAGCTTCCGAGTGGGTATTGATAAACTTTATACTCTCCAGCCATCCCAGAACCACCCACAACATATCATCGTACGCTTCTTGCCGCAAAGCAAAGGCGTCTTGGCCAAAATATGAGGCGGAAAGCTGGGAGAAGAACTTGTTAAGGATATTCTCTGCGTCTTTCGGAGAGGATAGAGATGGGAAGGAGGTCGATATTGTGCTCAGGGCAGCCGATAAGTATGTTCCGATGACCGCAGACGTCCAATCGATTGAGGTTGGCCATATTCCCTGCCAAATCGCAAAGTATTCGTCCTGCAAAACGTCCAGCGCCTCGAGGATGGCAGGAAGGGCTTTGGGGTGTTTTGGTTCGATTCGAATTGGTTGCTGCTCTTCTCGCAGAGGACCAAGTGGCTGCTGTTCGCTGAAGTGGACAGTCGATCCAGAAACCAATGAGATACCCAATATCCAGAGGAGTATCAGTTGTTTTCGAAGTCCTGGGAGAAACATGGTGTTTAGGCGGCGGAGAGTGGGATCCAAAGTGCAAAACGGGGACGATCAAGGAGGAAATAGTGACAACATCTAAATCTATTCAGATCAATGATTGAGGAGAGAACAAATGAGCCACGAGATCATGATAGTGCAATGCAATTAAAGGCGCACAGAGCAACGAAACAGTTGCTCGTCCCGGTCGTCCAAGTCCTCGTAACTGTTGCCAGCCAAGGCTGACGGCTAGGCGCGGGGTCCCCGATTTTGAGGTGATTGGATGTGGAGGGGCAGCTGTTCCACTTTTTTCTATAGATGAGCACACAACCAAAGCCATCTCAACATCACCTCCTTCTGCGCATAGACTCTGGGGATATTATATTGAGTTTGAAACTCTAAATCCATGCTATTGCGCTTGATGACCATCTCCTTCACTTCCGCTCCCAGCCGGAGACAGAGTCTGTTTTCCGGACATGGAATGATCAATCGAGCCAAGGGAACACGGTCATCACTTGTCCAACCCAGGCTTTGTACCTGACTTTAAAGTCCAAGAAGAGACTGTTTGGCTACTGTGACACTGGAACAATGCACAAACGTAGTCTGTGGAGCAAGACACAAGATAGATCCGCCGAAAGCCCGGTTACTGAAATATCACTTGCTCCCCGTTGCCTAGGTTCAGACCTTTTATTCCTAGGTCGTACGACAGTCTCCCATCCTAGATGTCCGGTTGTCCAAGTTGAACAATCTGAATAAATGTCCTGATCTCATAGACTCCACCTCAGTTGATACGACTAATTTTGGCCGTCCAGAATTACAGTCGGCTTTCTCCTTCTATTGAATGCGACATCCTGCATGAGGAGAGATGGCACGAGTCCGTCAGCAAGTCACCCGATGATAGAGCAGACTAAGCATCTTGAGGGCTGGCTCAATCTTTATACTGAACGATTGAAGAGTCGTTGACGTTCTTTCCAGCGAATCCCTCCATCTCAATCTCCGGGTCTCAGTCAAGCCTTTGTCTGAGCCCGCTGACGATCCGGCATCGCATGCGAAGAATTGGGCCAGAAAAGTATCAAGTCAAAAGTTACACACTTCGGATATGTGACACTTGATCGTCATCTATAAATCATGGGCAAGCAAGTGGCGCTGGAGAAGACACGCGGAGACTTTGTTCAACATCCAAATGATTTAGCGAGCCGTCTTCCAAATCACAACAAACTCCCAACAGCCCTCCCTCATCGTTCAGATACGTCAACACTCGTAATATTACCAACCAAGAGACTCAAAGGACCGACGATCCAATCGCCTCTCAAATTCATGCTCGGCAAAACAATTCTTCCTGACCGCATCTCTACAAGGATACATTTATCCAAATTAGCCGGTCGACCCTGATCCCTTCTGCCATAACGGAAGCGGGAGGTTATCCGCAAGAACTATTCTCCTCCTCCCTCCGCATCAACTAAACTCAACACCAACGCCACTTCACGCCACGTTCTTTGACAGACCATGTGCCTGGAGGAGGCGAAGAGGACCGGCGCGGGGTAGAGAACCCCATGTCATGCATCGATCTCGGGGAGGGGAAGATCGTGCCGGGTATTTACCTCAAACCCTGCCCCCATCTCGGCATCTCAGCAGACTGGTCAAAAGACAGAGAATACCCCTCCAACCATACCTGAAATGGACAGACGAAGCCACAATATGGGCATTTCGAGTCTGGGGATATGTTCATCTTGAGAAATTCTCAACGGGGGTAATGACAGCTGTGTTTGTTTACCCGGATGATCTGAACCGAGGTAGGTTAAGAGTGTATTTTAGAGACAAACAACGGGTGATGAAGCTGGGATGAACTGGATACGGGTTCGAATACCGCTCCGAGCTGCTGGTACTAAGCGGGGTGAAATGATGCAGGTCCAGATGAACATCTGAAATATCCATGTTCCTGTCGGCCTGGCGGATGAACAAATTTCAATTTGGTTCTCTTTATCCGGTCTCCTTTGGACGGTAGGGACCTGGGTGGCTATAAGTATAAGACTTTCGCCATGGATTCTCTTGTTTGCTTTCCGTATTGTTAATTCTTATTGTCCTCACTCTACGATGCGTTTCCAACCTGTCCTTGCTGCTCTTGCAGTCGTTCCTCTAGCGTCTGCCCAGTTACACGCTCTGGCCGTCAAGGCTGGGCTGAAGTATTTCGGGACAGCTACCGACGTTGGAGAATTGAACAATACTGAATATGTCAAGATCTTGAGAGACAAAAAGGAGTGGGGCCAATTGGTTGGAAGCAACGGACAGAAGGTGAGTTATGCGCACTTTGCTAGCGACTGATCTGACAATGTAAACAGTGGTTTGCAACCGAGCCAGAAGAAAACAAATTCGACTTCACTATGGGCGATGTAGTCACAAATCTGGCAAAGAAAGACGGCCGCATCCTGCGCTGCCACAACCTCGTCTGGCACTCCCAGCTCGCACCATGGGGTGTGTTCTCCCCTGCTTTATTTGTCTCCAAACTCCACTCCATCCCAGAATTCTGCTGACCTTCCCCTCAAGTCGAGTCCAAGACCTGGACAAAAGCAACGCTCACCGCCGCAATGGTAAACCACATCACCAACGTCGCCAAACACTACAAAGCGCAATGCTACGCCTGGGACGTCCTAAACGAAGCCCTCAACGAGGACGGCACCTACCGCAACACCACCTTCCTGCACCACATCGGCCCTGAATACATCAAGATCGCCTTTCGCGCAGCTGCAAAGGCAGACCCCCATGCCAAGCTCTACTACAACGACTACAACCTCGAGTCAGTAAACGACAAGACCAATTCTGCGCGCAAGAACATTGTGAAGTTTCTGCAAGATGATGGGATCCGTATTGATGGAGTGGGCATGCAGGCGCATTTTGTAGCGGGAAGCGCACCAAGCAAGGAGCAGCAAATTGATAATATGAAGAAGTTTGCTGCGATGGGGGTGGACGTTGCGGTAACAGAGTTGGATGTTAGGATCAACTTGCCGACGAACAAGACAAATCTGGCGGCGCAGGCGGTGGATTTTGCTAACACGGTCGAAGCGTGCTTGGAAGTTAACGCGTGTGTTGGGATTACAGTTTGGGACTTTTATGATCCGGTAGGTTCTTTTTTCCCTCTTCTCTGTTGGGTGTCCTCAAAGGAAAGGAGAGGAGAGTAGTCGGCTGACAGTACAACTGCAGTTCTCCTGGGTTCCAGATACCTTCCCAGGTCAAGGAGCAGCCACCCTCTGGTTCGCAGATTTCACCAAGCATCCAGCATATAAAGCGATGGTCGATGTTCTCAAGAAGTTCATCAAAGAGAATGGGAGTCATCATCACCACGGAAGGAACTGGCAGCCTTGGAGATCTTGAGGCATTGTCTATTTTCAAATCCATATCCAAGGAGAACTGGGTATAGAAACTTATTCTTGCAGACGTCATGTCAAAGTGCTTGTCTGGAGAGTGGTTAAACGCAGCCTATTCCCGAGTGTCTCTTCGAGCTCAACGACCGAGTCAAAAGAGAGCTTAACACTGAGGCAGGACATGGTTGTAGGGACTTGATGACCAGCAATCGCTTCACTGTTTATTTTAATGTACTCCCATTGACAAGATACCATGACTTTCCAGAGATCAACAGCTCTGATAACTCAATTACGAATCCAAACCTTAGGTTGGATACCAAGGTACGGAAATGCCTTCATTGACATCACATCGCCACCCGAATAGACCAAATCCGAAGCAAAGGAAATGGGGGGAAAAATAACCAGGTAACATGTATCAAACCGCGCGAGTATTCGTTCATACCTTTTGCAGTAGCTGTACCATGTCACAGGATCCGTACCGCCCTCCAAGCGCATTCTAGGTCGCCACTGCAATTGGTGGTAATTAAAGTTGCGACAGGCAACGCGAATGAGAAGGGTGAAGAGAGTTCATCGAGAGGAGTTCATGATAACAGGTGATGATTTATTCTTGGATATGTGTGTATTAGAGTCGTTGATCTCCCTGTCTCGAATCGATCCCTATTATTTCCCAGCTGCTTGGGGTGAGTTTTGCTTTGGTAGGTCGTGGCGACTTGGCCTGGGTGTCATCTTTGGTCAAAAGAATTCGATCACTATTCGTGAAACTCCGGGCATATAATGGAGTCCGAGTCCAAGCCCAGACTTATGTAAACGTCTGTCCCCTCGGGGCATTTCCGAGTTGCCCTCGGGCGTTTCTTGTATGCTGGTATTGACTTGAGTCAGTATTCCCTCACCAACTCGCTTAGTGTAAAGGTTGGGGTCATTCCTCAGGCTTCGACACCAGAAAGGCCAGCTTGAAATCAAGGAGTCAGGGAAGAGGTTCAAACAATTGGGTTTATTCCAGTCCATCGAAATTACGTCTCAGACTCTCAATCGTTGAGAGAGGCAAAAGAGAGGCGACGAGAATTGTGAGGAGGCGAAGTAACCCAAGGTCCGAGATTACTGAAAGTCAACCCAAACCTTTCTCAAATTACTGTAATCTCTGGGAAACCATCGCATGAACAATACTCGCCTTAAGCTTAACCTTTTCACATGCATTTCTCCGCTGTCCGTTGCTCCATTATTATTATTTCGAATTTGGAATTTGGTCTTCCGAGCATCTCGGGTCTCCACCAGACTACTACCATCCAAACCAGATCTTGGAATTCCCGACTTCCAGAAATTCCTTCAGTGGGGCGCATCGCGGAACTATCCATCAGCCAGTAGGTAGTAGTAGTCAACCAGTCAGTCATGTCGCGATTCCATTATTCCTACTATTATTCCGGTAACACCCCATCCACAATTAATCTCCCCATCAAAAAGACCAAGTTCAAATACTCGGCAACGATGTAACGGTCATCATCCCATCCATCAACATCATCATCCCATCCAAGTACAGTAATTCAGCCGTAAGCGAGCAGACGAGCAGACGAGCAGACAAGCAAACTCGCCGACTTACCACAGGAATAAATGCACTAGCTGTGCAGAGTTTTATGCCGACCTTGGCACTCTGCACAAGCCGGGAAACTAGCATATCTTTATGCTTGATGCTAGTGCCCATCTGAGTCTGGACCTCGTGCACAAACTATTGAATAAAGAAAATCCCCTCTTTTATCCCTGCTGCATAGCTCGCATAAGGGTAAATTAGGTACCTTAGCAAGGAACCATACCAATTCAAATCCTAATGCAAAGAATGCAAGCCCTGCTTTGCTGAGAGAGCTGTACCTCGGGGTGGACAGCATGCACTACTCTGGGCTACGGTACTGTACGCTGCTGCGCTGCGATGCGACGCCACGCGATAAGGAAAGACGCTGCGAATTGGGGCCTCTGGATAACGGAGAATAAAAAATTGGCACTACAGTACTGACGTGGCTCTGCCGGCTCCGGCTGCGCTGTGAGCCTGTGAACGACTTCAGGGGAGGTGGTTTGCTTGTGCCTGCTTGGCAGGGCAGATGTTGGCACGCCCCCCCCTCTGGGCATCGCCCACACCCACGTCCCACATCCACTTCAGCAGAGTGAGATCGCGCGTCGCCTGTGAGAGTTCGTCTGAGAGCCCGGAAATTGGAGATGAAATGGAGTCGCGGGTTTCAAGAAACACAAAAAGTATCATAGTCGTTGGGGTGACGACTGACGGGGAAGAAAACAGGGTCGAGCTTTGTTTATGTTTGGGGTTGCCTTTCCTCTTTGTTTGTTTCTTCTTTCTTTCGTCTGATGAATCAATCATCGTTGTTATGCTTAACCGACGAGATCTCCTCGATCGAGTCTCCTTCTCTGATGGATGATGATGTGATGCAAGAAAGCACCGAGGATTACTCCATCCCACCCTGCTCATGCAGACCAAGCCCTCTCTCTCTGTTGTCAGCAGCAGATCGTCAACTCAGGATCGTTATCGTTTCCCATCGGGAATAATGCGTGAATATCCCGCCATCCCTTGACTGGGCCGTTGCCCCTCTGCCGATCTCCACTCACACAACCATGGGCGCGGTCTGCGAAACAGAGTTCAGCCCTGGCTCGCCAGGCCAGGCACAACCCAGGCACGAGTGACTTCGGACAGGCACCCGATGCAGGAAGTGGGGTTCAAACGGTTTAGCGGGCTCATCGTCGGCCTCTAGAAAACATGGGAAGCATGGGAGGCATGGGAGGCATGGGAGGCATGGGAGGCATGGGAGGCATGGGAGGCATGGGAGGCATGGGACGGGTGCGCGCTGGTTCAGGTACTAGCCTGCTGTGAGGCCAATCACCGTTGGATCGCATCCAGTAAAACTCTTTCTCTGCGTTCTGTTCTTGTTCTCTTCCCTTGCGAAAAGTCTGCTAAATTACTGGACTATAATATTGTAAATTACTGTTTCGTACTTGTAATGTACTCTACTCTACTCTGCCTGGGTCATGTCATCCTGCCTCTTCGGGGCATACCTAGCTTGGCTAAGGTGCGAACTCTGCAGACTGTAGTGCTTGCTCCCCTCCCTCCCCCTCCCTCGCTCCCTCGCTCCCTCTCTCCCTCCCTCGAATAATGAATCGAGTAGTGCCCCTCCTTGCCCTTGCCCCTGCCCTTGCCCTTGCCCTTGCCCTCCCCATCCTCCGCGCCAAAAGAAACTCAACGTAAGAAGCTCCTCCACCACCGAGTCCACCACCCATGCGAAAAAGTACGTGGTCCCAACCGCGGGCCCAACCACGTCTGAGAAGGCCTCCGTTCTATGGATCCAACGTTCTGGATGCCGCAAATCCTGCCGCCGGCAAGAAAAAAAGTTGACCCACTATCATCCACCGTCCTCCCCACCAGTGTGTGTCCCTGATGGCACGATGGCAGGCCGAGCACTGGCCTGCAGGTTGTCCGCTGGGAGGGAGAGCCGTATAAGAATCTTCCCGATCCCCCCCTTTGACTTTTCCCCTCCCTTCAAACACAATCCTTTTGCCTGTCCTTACAGAATCTTTTCGGTACGCCGACGACGACGACGGACATTCCTTCATTCATTCCTTGCAATATCGATCTGTGATCATACACCATCACCAGCACTCCTTTGCTACAGACCTACACACCTTGTCTCAACGACATCAGAACGGCCGTCCTCCAAACAACAGGACATCACCAACTGCAACCGTCTCGACGACTCAGCATATCTATCCTTGATCCAGTACTCTTTGCTCCACAGTAGCTCATCAGTCCGATCGACCAACTTTGACAGAAAAGACCTCAAAACTTTCTATCAACCACACAATCCTTTAAAACTTCAAAATGCAATTCTTCAGCACCATCTTTGCAGCCACCGCGCTCGCAAGCGTCGCCGCCGCCGGCTCAGTCCACTTCGTCAACCAAGACAGCACCCAACGCACCATCATCTTCACCCCCAACGCCGGCCTCGAGAGCCTCCCAGAGCTCGTCATCCCCGGCTCCGAGACTGCCAACCAGACCTTCCCAACCGGCTGGATTGGTAACTGGTACTCTGTATCCGAGGGAGCTGCCAATGTCCCCGGCATGCTTGGTGAGGTCCGCTTCGACGGTTTCGCTGGCGCCACCTACTTTGACGTCTCTGCCATCGTCAACCCAGACGACCACAACGGCGTGAAGGAGATTTTCCCCCTGCACAGCAGCACCCCTGTCTCTGGGTGCCAGGAATTCCCTTGCGCGAACGCCTACAACAAGTGGGATGACATCGCGACCCTCAGCACCGATGGAGGCGACCTCGTCTGCCTCCTCGGCACCGTCAGCAACGAGCGCCGTCGCGGTGTCGTCGCGAAGATGTCCCGTGACTTCGTAACCGCATAAAATACCTTAAGATCGGGGAAAACAGCCTTGCTGGTCTCTACTCCCATGCGCACTCTTTTCATGGGAGAGAGAAGACTTTCCGGAGTTGGTTGGATTTCACGTCTGCGCCGCTTGCGTGCTGCGATGTCTAATGACTGTATGAATGTGAGCGAGCGCATGGCCTTTCAGGGCCTTGCCTACTCGTCATCACGACAAAGGTATACCGGACACAGACAAAACAAATAAATAGAAGGGTGGAATATTTTTTTTTATTGGGAATACCCTTTTGGAGTTTAGGCTCCGATAACACTCGTTTGGATAAAATTGGAAGAACAAAACCCCCCCTTATCAATGTCTACACTACACTTCTCTTCTGCACATACATATATTTAGGGATATCCAACCTTTGGATGCTTCTTTTTTCTTCGCGGGGATATAGGGAAATTTTTGAGAGAATGAAAGATTGATCAAACAAACAAACAAACAAACAAACAATGAGAGTAACTGGTGACTTGAAGAATGTGAGAACTGAACTAGCAACTGAGAATGGAATTCACCATGGGGCCACGCTCAACATTTTCTCCAGCTTCTCTTCTCTCACCACCACCAAGCGGGCGACCAAAGGCCCCGACAAACAGCGACCAGCCGACAGCCATACATACCATGCCAGTAATCAACCCTACGCAAATGAAGGAATGCGCGCGCGCGCGCGCACGCCGCCGTACCTTCCCAGCCCTCATATCTTAAGAGCTGTCGTGTATGTATCCTCCCTCCCCTCTTCTGCATTATTGTCGTGAGCGAGGGTTGGAGGTGTGATTGTTGTTGTCGTCAACTGAGACAGGTCGTGACCTGGGAAATTAGCCCCTGACGCCTGGACGCCTGGACGCCTGGACGCTTGCTCGCCTAGGTAGGGAGGCAGGTATTTGTGGGTCTTGGTGGTGCTATGGGTACGTACTGTAGATGGGAACCGAGGCTTAGATATGTTGTGCTGGAATGGTGTGATTATGAGAAGGGTTTTCAGAGGATTAGAGATGGAGATGGAAATGGAATCAGAAATGGAAATAGAATTGAGGTGTAGTAGAGTGAAAGCTGGGGAGCGTTGGAGGGAGGTTGTAGTTGACGTACGTGAGATTTACTTGACATTGTAATTTCCCATTTTGGGGGTTCAAGCGGATGACCTGCTTGAGGTCTTGGAAAGGGGTTAGAGAGGGAGAATTTATTCTGCCTCAAAGCTTTGATATTCAGATATTCAGCTATAGATATGTTTCTTGTATACTGATCTCTGGAGACCAGGCCTCAACATATCTGCTCTTTGTCTCTGTGAAACAAGAGTTCTTGAGGTCAGAAATATCCATGCTAACCAAAGTCCGCCTTCAGATCTTCGACGCTGAATCCTTCGACCATGTTGTTCAGATAGCATCTTCACCATTCTGGCCAGGTCATACTTTTCTGAAGCTTCTTCTCGCAGACAATCCATGTCTTCATATAATACCCAATGCCAATCCAAGCCTCATCATAACTTCGCACGACCCCTCCTCTCATGCCCCATCCCCATCCCCATCCCCATCCCTATCCCCATCCCCTTGACCAGCACTCCAATCCTCCTATGCTCCTTCTCATCACCCTGCTCCCCTTCGAACCCAAACTCCACCTCCTGACAATCCTCTCCTCCCACCCCATTAGCAAACTGCACAACCACGAAATCAACCGGCCTCCTCCCCAGCACCACCATAGGCGCATGCCACGTCCCCGCCGCATACGTGACGGCCTGTCCACCATGCGCGAGGAACGCCTGTATCCTGCTTAGATCAGGGAGTCCTCTGCCCGGTAAAGGTGTCCTATCCTCGCCCTTTAGATTTGAATTTGACTTTGAATTCGAATCCGGAACGGGAAATTGTGAGTCGAGTTCAGAAGGAGGTAATGATGGCGCGACGATGACGAGGTACTGGAGTTCGTGGGCGTGGGTGGGTGACAGGCCGAGAGGGATGAACGTTTGGGTTGTGTAGGGGTGGCGTTCTAGGATTGAGATGGGGAAGATACCACCATCTTTTTCTGTTGCATTATCTCCACTCCCAAACCTGCCTTCCCTAACTGATAACAGCCTCCTCGGCGCACAAACAAACATATTCATAACCGCCTTTGACGACACCCTACTCGGTGCTTGGGCGTAGAGATCGCGCATGTGCGTGACGTCTTGGTATTTGAGTGCGGAGCCTTGGTTTGCTGGGACGGCGTTGGGGGGGAGGGATGAGGGGGAGAGGGTTGAGGAGGGAGTGAGTGTTGGTTGTGGGTTGGCGATTACGGTTCCGAAGGGGGAGAATGTTGATTGTGCGAGGGGTGTGGGTGTGATGAGGATGGGGTGTGGTGGAGGGGGGATTTGGAGGGGCATTTTGAGGGGGGGATGAGTTGATGGTTCCAAGTCGGCGTAACGATATGAATGGGATGGATGACGGAGGTTGAATCTTGAGTCTGAAGGAGAGTTATGAGAGGGTATCTCAACCCTCGTCAAGCTGCTCAAGACGGCGGAATTGACTTTGAAGCGCTCAGAAATGAAGCCTATAAAATCGCCTCGTGATAATTCTACTCGTTATTAGCTCAATTCAGATTTACAGGGCTCTTCATTCGACATTACCACTTCAATCCGCTTCCCCTCACAGCTTCCAGATCTCAAACAATTAGCGTACGTGGGTTTTCTTCAAGACAAAAAAGATGTTCAGTTGAGAATCCCCCACTCTCGGTGCACGGACGAAATGGCGGGAGAGGTTCAGGTTGCTGGACCAATCCTCGCTTGTGGCCCCTTTTCTTTTTCTGATCATGTCAACATTGAGGGGAAAGCTGGGTGGAAGGATGTCGAATCGGGTTGTTGAATTGAAATGAAGTACTGTACTTTGCGAAGCAATTCTTATGGCTTCAGTCAGAACAATACAATGAAATCTATCTCGAGATAGAGGATGAGCTCTTGGGGGTCAATGATGGCTGTCTTTCACAGAGGGTTGGTATTTTATCTCCAGATCTGCTGATAGGCATCATTTCGGAGGACTTGTATTCCATGACAATGAAGATGATCTGCTGTCTACTCCTTACCGAAACTTGCATTGGCAAAAATGTCCCAAGCGAGGACGCACCCATCACCAGTCTGAAGAAAGATATCTCGATTTTAGCATTCGATTACTCCTGTATTCTAATCTCTAATAAGTTTAGTTTAACTCCTACACATCGTCAATTTACACAATGCCATTCCATCATAACGCCTCCCACTTTCCAGCCAATCCCTTCCCATCCCATCACCTATAAAGTCTCCCCTCATCAGCCTGAAAACCCACAATATAGCCCCTCCCCTCCCACACAATCGGTATCAACGTCAAAATATTCCCAAACGAAGTCCCATCCCTCCTATAATTCACGAAATGCACCCTCGCCTCCAATCCCGCATCAATCTTGGCCCTGACCTCCCTCCTAGCAAGCTCATTCGCCTCGTCTACTTTCCTGTCTGATGCCGATAAGGGTTGCTGGCCAGGCGTTTGTGCAGGTGGATGTTGCAAGAAGCGACAGTTGTGGCCGAGGATCTCGCGGCTGGTGTAGCCGGTGAGTCGCTCGAATGCTTCGGAGCAGTAGACTATGGGCTGGTCGGGGGCGTTGGCGTCACAGAGGACGAGGGCGACGCTGCTGTCGACGTTGCCGATTTCTATTTGGGGGTTTGGGCGTTGGTAGACTTGGAGCTGGGAGGGTGGTGTTAGCTAGTGATTTTTTTTTGGAAGAGATTTGAATTTTGAGAAGCTTTGTGAGCTATCACTTCATCCGGCCACTCCATAGTTTGAACAATCCAAGAGCCGCAGTGGGCGAAAGGATCAAGTGAGTTAGAGACATACCAGAATATCTATTATCCCAAATCCACTTGGTGCATACCTCTCCGGAATCGATGATATCAACGGATCGATAACCGCCTCCTTCTCAGGCTCAGTACCAGCCGAGCCCAAGGTCAAAGCATGTTTCTCTGAATTCTGCTGCTGCTGCTGCTGCTGCTCCGCTGACCTTCGTCGAAGCTATGTACCAGCCACAGATATTAGCTACCTATGCACGTCTGTATCCACTTCCTGATTTGGATCTTCTCTTGGTCCGAGTGTCTTGGTAGAATGTTAAGATATCTTCCTTACCTCACTGAGTCTCCTCGCCTGGTCCTGATATTCGGAGCTGGAGGTATTCATGCTCGCTCGCTAGTTTCCCCCCAACTGACTCGTAAAGGTTACCTTACCTACAATCGGCTGCTGTCGGCAAGAACACTTCTTGCAAGTCCCACTCGTCGCCGTCTACATACTGCAGAAACCAAAACCCAGAATATCAGAAAATTCCGCAGCCAGCTTGCTTTGTCTTTTGGTTGTGACGCGTCGTAGTAGTAATGTCGCTCTGGTGAGAGAGCATAGCGAAGTGAGGAAATGGAAAAGATGCAGGTCGGCACTTTCCCATTCTTTACGGAAGGTGGTCAGTTTTTAGTTGGTTCGATCGACACGGCTTTTGGTGGTATCGAGGATCGGGGGGCATGGGAATCTAGCTGGGCCTAGATACTATGCGCTTGTACCCTACAGCTGCCAGCGCGCTACCTTACGAAGTTAGGTAGTACCTCTGTAGTCTGTGAGATATCTAGGAACCCTTGATTGCTTGGTTCGAAGGGTAATTGTTAATACACTTACGTTCACGACCAATTGAATTTGGCGGTCACGTGAGAGGGGTTGATTTCAATGCCGTTCTTCTTTGGGAAGCAATGAGACATCTATGACTGTTCACATTTGCGTTGATAATAATCTCCGAATTCTCTCTCGAAGAGGATATACTCAAACAAGAAAGGGCCTCTCAGTTCGCTGCCACCCCCCTTACTCCTTGAGCTAAGTGAGATGCAACTGTCCTGAACAAACATCAAATCGTGATTGCTAAATCTGTTTGACTCGCTTTCAAAGAAAGGGATATTGACATCGTAACCAAACTCCAAACACCACAAATTCCACCTCCTTGAGCCAAGGTACCCACCGATTAAGGGCCCATATTTAAACGCCAATTGTACATACACAATCTTCTACTTCCTCCTCCGTCTCAACTCCCAGCTGTAATCCTCCACCTCATCCTCAACTTCGAGAAGCTGCTCTGCACTGTCTGAGGCTTCGGCTGGCAGCTCTGCGGGGTAGGACTCAGGGAATAGTGTCGTTTCAATCCCTTTATTCCCAAGCAGGAAATCACCAAAGTATTTCACAGCATTGAAAGCCTCTTCTCCCGTCGGCACAATGTTGTCCTTTGGCAACAAGAATCCGTAGCTACCAGTATCCCGAAGCTTGATCTGATAGCTGTATCGGACTTTCATCTCGTGGTAAAACCAATCTATTGCAGATCCACCACCAGTTTCCATACGGGAATATCCCCCTTGGCCCTTGAGCTTCCTGGATGATACAGCTCCTTCGCAAGCAGAAGCAACGCTGTATTGCTCACCACTTGAGATTCGAATGGCTTTGGCGAGTCCCATGCCCAATTCCTCCAGATTCTCCAGGCTTGGTGGATCGGCGTTGCAAGAGTACGAGTAGGGGTACAAGACCTGCTGTGAGTATGAATGCAAATCAAGAAATCCGACGAACTTTACTCCATTGTTGTCTGTTTCATTCTTCGCCCATTCAGCGAGTCGATGCGACTCAACAGCTTGGAATGGTTCATCTCCTGGATAGCTTTCTGAGCAAGGATTACTCTGGTACGTGGTCCCATCCCACTCAAATCCAAAGGTGCGGTCCAGATCAAGTCCTCGACAAAACCTGAGACTAGTTTGTTGACGATTCTTTCGCCACAAGCGATCATTCTCCCAAGTATAAACGTAACCGTCAGGGTTGACAGTTGGAATGAACACGAAATCGAATTCTTGAAGAAGTTTGGTAATCCCTGTAGACTTCCCGTATGAAGTGATCAGAGACCAGGCAATATATGTTACTGTGCTCACTGAGATCCATTCTCGGGCATGAGATCCACCAGATATAATGATTGTCTTCCTGGTCTCCTCATCATCCTGTGGAAGATTTGGGGAAACGCCCACTCGAAGTGCTGGTATATCCCGGCCTTCATAAGATGTCCCAATACTGATCATGCGGACATGGGTAGTGAACATCGAGGCCATTAGGCGCATCCATGGTACTAAAACAGAAAACGGTTGGTAGTCCTGGAAGAATATATTGTCAACTCCATCTGATGCTCTCAAAACAGGGGAAAAGGAACGATCGGGTCGTATCAAAGGTGGTTGTGAGTCGGAGAAGGCTAGAGAAGGGTAGGATTGGTAGATGGTCCTGGCCAAATCGGGCATCAGGTTCGAGTAGGCATTTTGTAGCGACTTTGGAAGTAGCCCCAGAAGGGAAGGAACCTGCCCTTGTTAGTACGCATGTGTAAATGCGATCCATAAAACATACATCGTCTTCTCTCAATCGAATATCTGCCCAATTATTGGTAAATTCCCAAACATCCAGAAACAACGTATCTGCAGCCTCTGCCAATGCTGTCTCCTCTTCGGCAGAGCTCAAATTGAATCTTAGCACCACGTCTCCTCCATATTTCGCAAGAAGGGTAGCTGGAAGTTGGGAAGTGACTGGTCGCGTGGGCTTGTCGTTGCTGGGTTGGCTGGCTGTTGGAGGTAGACCGAACAGTTTCTCAATCGCCGTATCTCGTACCCAAGTCCATTTAGGGAATATGCTATGTGACTTATGCGATTGATGTTCTGCGGAATGCTGGCGCTGGGTTGTAGAGAATTGGTTATCGGTGGTCCACGGTACAGCGAAGGCAGCAGTAAGAGGTACTATGCAAACCAGGAGGCCGACAACCAAGGAGAGAAAGAAGGGATTCGAGCGCTGCATCATGGCATTCAATGTGGCATCTGTCAACCAAATGGCGACGACGACTGAAGGAGAGTTGGTGTTTGGATGAGGATATTCAGAGGTTCAGAGCAGGACGATGGTGGGAAACTGGGCTGAGCTAGTGTGGTTTGCGTGGGGTCGTTGCCAAGGCTGGGGATGTCTAATCGCGCGATAAGAAAAGCAACAGCGTCACATCACTGCATATACAAACCATCATGAGTTCAGATCCATCGTACACGGTCTTTATTAGACTTCCATTTGCTCGTGGAGACTTTGTGGACCCGTTATCAGTATGTATTCCTGAAGAGTGAAGAACTATTGCTGATCTTCAGGTTGAATGGGATGCCACAAAGGACAAAGCCTTGTGGAAGATCCTCTCTAAGGCGTCGAAGAACAGTGATATTGACTGTAAGTATTCATAGATAGCTTCAAAACACAGCTAACATTCGAAGGGAATGAGCTGTTAGTTTACCAAACCTATCTAAGGAATAATCTAACAATTCAGAGCAACGAAATTCGAAGTTACCCTTGCTTTCCTCCTCCAACAAGCGGCATGGCTCTACGAGAGACAACTCCTGCAAGTACGGGCACAGATGAGGAAAGTTGGAGTATCAAAAGGCTCTACTGCACCCTCGCCAGTCCCATGGAATAACACTGAATCTGGGGGAGAAGGCATGAAGAGAACAAGTTCAGGTGGTGGAGGTAAACTTCAATTCATATCTCTGCGACCTAAGCTCACTTTCTAGGTCCACGAGTTACATCTGCTCTATCTTCCAGAAAGGACTCCCCTCTACCCAAGAACGAATCATCTGCTTCCGGAAGACCTCTGGCACCACCCTTCTCTCGCACTTCATCAGCAAATACAACCACCACATCTCGAAATCTACCTACTCAAACCAGTCCTCGACCACAACATGCCACGCTTCGAAGATCCCTCTCACCAGCTCCGAAAACCCGCCCTCCTCCCGTCTCAGCATCGCCTCCGCTTTCCCCATCCTCCTCTTTAAGTTCCGACTCCATACCTACTCACCAATCCCGACTTCTTCGGAATCGTCCCTCTCGCTACGCCAAGAAGACTGGTCAACAAGCTACGGCTCCAGATACTATAGAGTCGGATGACGAGCCAGCATTCATGCCAATCCTACATCAAGATCCCAGCGCTACACTTCGAGGGGATCCTCGAAACATTACGAGGAAGACGGGACATGCACATGCTACGAGCAAGAGACAGGTTGATTTGGGAGGACAGTCACAAACGTCGGATTCCTCGGCTAGCTCAGCACCTGCTTCGGCTGCTCCTAGAAGAGATATGCATGTGAGGGGAGAGAGGCCAGTTGGTCCGCTAAGTCCTCGAAGGACGGCAGAGTTGGCGGAGACTGGGAAAGGAAGTGGAAAGGGTAGTGATGGGACGCCGAGTATGGGGAGTAGTTTTAGTGATTTAGATGGTAAGCCGTTCCTAACTCGACGATGGCGATGGACTAACCAAAACAGATGCTTCCGTGACCCAGTCTGCTTTAGAAGAAGCGCTGGCCAGTAATATGCAGTCTGGAGGGGGAATGGCTAGCAGGATGAGCTCTATCAGCCAAGCTCTGAGGAGCAAGTACCTGTAAATGCGCTGGCAGATGTTGTAATTTGGACAGAAGGCATTCTGCATCGTGGATATGTATAATCAAGATTAAATCGTCGATATGTTTCATAATTACGAGAGATCAGCCCATGCTTCATCTCCCAACGCCATAGGTATTCCATTCCATATCTCCTTCCATATCCCAACCTAGAAATATCCAAACATCGCACTACCAACCAAAACCAAGGGTATCCAGACCAACGCACCCATTCCCTCGCTCCTCCATCCCATCGTAGCATCTCCCGTATTATTATAAAGCAGCGTCGGCGTCCCCGTAACATTAACCTGCTCATCCACCCCACAAACCACCTCACACCCCGGCGCACCCTTCCTCTTCTCCAGCACTCCCACAGCGCCCTTCGAATCTCTCTTTCTATTCTCCAACCCTCCATATGGCCCACTCGTATTATAGACCAACTCAATCCACTGAATCTGCAAGAACGCCTCATCAAAGAGACTCATATTTCCCGTCCATAAACCCCCATCACTCCACATATTGATGATTAACCCTGCTGGATCCTTCGGCGTCTGGAAACTGATATTGGCAACACTCTCACCATTCACATACCAGCTACTCATCTTTGGCATCCAATCCACGCGGTAAACATTCCACAGCGTCCAGTCCCTATCCCCAGGATTCGTGCCATTGACCGTCGCCTGCGGGACATCGTCTCCGGCTTTATCCACAGACGGCTGGTTGGTATACTGTACTCTATTTCTTGGATCGCGGGTTAGGATCTCGATGTCTGCTTCTTGCACATCGGACGCCGTGTCGCCTGCTAGATATGTGAATATTCCTGCGCAAGCACCGGGCGAGCCGGTCACTCGTGCCATGAAGCGCGCGGACATGTAGTGGAAGTCTTGCTCGACGGAGTCGATTTCGGCGACAGATTGGAAGGTTTCGTGGCGGGCGGTGCGCAGAGTGAGGTAGGATGTGTAGTCGGGGGAACTGTCGTTGCTTTGTTCTAGTTCTTGTCAGTAGATATTTAGAGCTCTGACGCCGAGGACCGTACGAATGTAGACATTATTTGGGGTATTGACCATGAAGACTGAAGCTCCAGATGATGCTAACGTATCGCTATTATTCCAATTCTGCACCGTCCACTCATTTTTCCACTCATCCTCAAGGAAGAACGGCGATGTTGCCAAGGCGTTGGTCGCATTCGTCGCATTGGTTGTGAACGGAGGTGGATTCGACGCTCCAGCTACATTTCTGTAGTCGTGGAATTGATGGTTCAGGAAATAGCCTTGCGAGGAGCCGTTCGTTCGGAAGCATGAGCATTCATCTCCGTTGTCTGTTGCTGCAATGGTGAGGCTGGTGAGGGAGAAGAGGAAGATGCTAGATAATAACGAGCCTGGTAATAATGCCATGGCAAAATGCGTGTGGCAAATGTAGTAGATAAGATGTGTAGATAGAGAGGGCAATTGAAGTTCACGATAAAGGAATAAAGATGAGCAATCGACAGGAACGTGTAACTGAGAAAGGACTGAATCGGAGCAAAGAACGAGTGAATAACGAGAGAGCCACAAACATAAGAAGGGACGAGAAACAAAAGTGGAAACAAGGAGAAGCAGACGATATTTCGAGCCACACCCAACGAGGCTCTTATTGTATTGGCTTCAGCCTTCGCGTTGCTTCATGAGGCACTAGCTGCGACGCGGAACCGCCTCTATTAGACCTGCAAGACGGTCTGGGCGCAGCATATGCATCAAGATGTGATGGTGTATTTTCAGCTGAGGAAGGAAGTGAGGATGAAGAAATGGTACACTGATACTATTGTCTTGGATGTTTTGGAGGGTTAAAGGAACGAATGGGTCATGGTTCAAGATGAAGAGATGCAGGGCAGAAGGCGGTCAAGTTGTCTTGACCAAACTATTCTTAGCGTTCTGCCGAGACCCTTCCGAACTTGAAGCTCTTGATCATCTCACAATGAAATAACTTATCTGACTATCCAGAATACGAACACTTATCTATCTTCGCCTCAGGGTACGAAAAGAATCTATGGTGTGAAGCGACGCCATGGTGATGGGATCATGAGCATATCCTGGAGATTTCGCTTAAAAGTCAAAACAAGAAAGGGGAGCAAATGTAGGTAATATGCATTATTTCCATCTAATCGTGTATCAGTCATGATTTTCATGGCATCGCATTTACCAATGAATGCACCAGCTCGCCAAACGCCAACGCAATGCTATGCTATGCAATCAAGTGAATCAAGTAGTTCCCAACCCATATTAACAGCCCCTCACCGCACAGGAATTTCCCAAGCAGCGGGATCTTCCTCATCGTCACTTTCCAACTGATCCTCTTCATCATTCATAGCCATCTGAACGAACATTTGGACCCAGGCTTGCTGTGCTTGCTCCGCTCTTCTCTCCTCAGCCGCCTCTCGTTCCTCGGCCTCTCCAAGACGTCGAGCACCTGCTACCACATTTCTTTGGCGCGCGACTCGTCGTTGATTGGGGGGATTACCTGGTACTCGCTCTCGTCGAGCTCCTCGGTTCGGGGCCGCTCGCACAGGTACCTCTGGAGCAGGAGGTGGCGGTGGAGCTGGGACGTGGTTGATTCGTAGAACAAGCGGGCCTTCTCGTTGAAGTGGCTCAAGGACTTCTCGTGGCTCGTCAGGCTCGACAATCTCCGGGATCTGAACTTCAACAACAGGTTCTGGCTCAATCTCCAATTCTTCTTCTTCGTCCTCGTGAAGCTCCACTGGCCGTCCTCCACCATGCTCAAAATCATCTCCGTCACCCTCTTCAAGTTCCCAGAGTCGGTAATAACATGAGGAAGATCTGTTGTTGTAGTGATTGTATGGATTAGCTGGTGGAAGCCATGCCGAGCAGAGATAGCAGAAATGGCTATGACATTTAAAGCAAATCATATGGTTGCAGCCGTGGGTCTTCTGAGCTCGCGCAGAGCATGTCGGACATGGCGTAGAATGGAGATTCATGTACTCCAGCGAGGCCTTATCTTCCTCGGTGAGTTCTCCATTATCTTTTCTCGGCATGCAAGTTGTTAACTCCCCATGCCAGCCTTGGTAACATCGACTACAAAAGGCAAATGAACAGTCTTCACAAATGCAAAGACGGTCAGCCCCTGCAACATAGCCTTTTGATGTTCCTTCGTCTTCTTCTTCGTTGTCGCTCTCCGTTTCCTCGAATCCAATTGGTTTTCGGTGCTTCTTCGATCGTGCAGCGCCTTGACACCATTTTCGCGGGCAGTAGACCGTATTCTTGTCCGATTCCAATTCTGCCTTGTGCTTCAACTTGACGTATCGAGAAACCACATCCTGTTCCAGCGGAATCTGTATCAATTCGCTAGGACTGAGTTGCGTCTTGGCCTTTCTGCCTTTCGCGACCTGCTCATCTCCACGCTTCTTCGCGCATCCCGGTGTTAAACATTGCACTGCAGCCAGGTTCCCCTCCGTGATAGCATTGTTGTAAAAGTCCTGTAGACATTGAACGCAGAAGACATGGCCACAATCGATCATTCGGTGACAAACGGTACCTTTCTTGGGATCTATTAAAATCAGTAGGCGCTCAAAACTTCCAACAACGATTGCCTACCAAGACAGACACCGCAGTCAAAAGTTTCCTTCTCGAAAGCCGCCTGCGTAGCCTTGATATCGTGATCCAAGAGCGAGATCTTGAAGTCTTGAGGGACTTCTAAGTTCCGGCCTGCGGCAAATCCAAAAGCATTTTCAGCTTCTTGCTGCAGGAAATCAATGTATCCATAGACCACAGAGCTACGACCTGCTTCCTCCCACATCTCCTCTCCCTTAGCTTGTAGCTCGTCGAGGTGTTTGCGCGACAGCCATGCTGGGGTTGTAGCGAGTTCGAAGACAGGCGCCTTTTTCTCGGGGTACTCTTCTGGCAGAGTTATTAGAAGTTGAAGAGATGGTAAATAAGATAGATTTTGCGACTCGACAGCGTTCGTGGGGACTGGACCGGTTTTGCCTTCGTGGCCGGAATGCGTGGAGAGTGGCGGGGTAGGAATAAGACCGTCAGAGGATGCTGGGAAGAGGACCTTGACAGGAGAAGTTGGATGGACAGGTACTTCCATAGAGACAGAGAAAGGATTATTGGGGTCCACGAGAATTTCGGGAAATATGGCTGCTATGCAGTCCAATTCTTCCTGGCGTTCGTCCTCCATGGCAAGCAGAGGGTCACCGGTCAATCCTGGAAAGGGGGACAAATTTTGGCGGGAAGATTATGAGGTTCATAAGTAGGAATATATGTGATCGTAGCGGCGTGCCAAAACGTATGGGTGAAAGAATATGGTAGAAGTGGCGACAATATTGGAAATATTGTAATATCGAGGACCAACCCCCGCGGTGGATGTCCTAGTGAAAGACTAGCGTTATTTCCTTCGAGAGCCGCTTTAACGCTTGCGCTGCCTCTTTAATACTATTGTTTAACTTCCTCAATGCTTCATGATCGGAACTTTCCTACTGCAAACCCTGGGACAAAGTCTGCGCCTTTAAGTAGACCGCAGCATATTCTCCCTCAATCCCGAATTTAACCAGGGATTTTCACCACTTTCCAATTTCTACGACCACCACGGTGTATGAATCATGACCGACACTGCCCCCCTAGCATCTTTGTCGTTGACGCACGTTCACTATGTAAGTAGTCACTTGCCTTTGGAAGAAACCTGCTAACCCTCCAAGGATCCCAACGATCCGGTGTCCTACTTCTGCGCATGGCTGGCCCTCGTTCCCCAAGGGCTCTGCGTTGTCTACGCAACCCTGATCTGGTCAACTCGCGAGATGGAGATTCTCATGATGTTTGGAGGGCAAATGGCGTGTGAAGCTTTGAACTTTGCACTGAAGAGGATACTGAAGGAGGAGAGACCGAAACAGATGCATGGGAAGGGTTATGGAATGCCATCTTCGCATGCTCAGTTCGTGTCATTCTTCTCGTTGAGCTTCACGTTATTTCTCATCTTTCGACATGTTCCAAAGAAGCCTACACCTTCGCATACCCCGTTGACCATGGCTTCGAGAGTGTTATTGTCTGGGTTGGCGATTGCGAGTGCTGGTTTAGTTGCTTGGAGTAGGATATATTTGAATTATCATACGGAGAAGCAGGTTATGGTTGGATGTCTCGCAGGATCTTTGAGTGCCGTATCGTGGTTCATAATCACGACTATAGTGAGACAGAGTGGGTTGTTAGATTGGATCCTTGAGCAATATCTTGTCAGATTATTTAGAATGAGAGATCTTGTTGTTGAGGAGGATCTTTGTCAAGCTGGTTGGGAGAAGTGGGAGACAAAGAGGATGTCGAACAAGGGTTCAAAAGGGAAGAAGTCAAGATGATTAATCGATAGAGCTTGTAGACTCTAGTCTGTTTCCGACTGTGAACTTCGTTCTTTAATATGCGAGTCGGAATAACTGGAGAGCTTCGAGTACGACAACGAGTGCGAAGCGACCATACACGCAACATTTGTAGAACTCTGAAAGAATGACACAGGTCCAGGCACATGCAAGCATCAGATACGGTCGCGAGATCCTCCAAGAGGGTAGCAAGCCGAACATGGAAATATTTTGATATCACGTGCACTTTTAGCGCGCCAAGCAAGCTCCGAACTCTCGAGATTGAAGCCATCTCCAACGCAGCTCAATCCACCTACCAAAACCCACCTCTACCCAATTCTGCACACTCCCAGCTTCAATCCGCAACCATGGTCCAAATGTACACCATCGCCGGTCGCCAATTCGGCTCCCACGTGGTTCGTACTCCCAATTCCTTCCCTCCGGGCGGCAACAATCAATCCCCAACCTCAGTCCCCCGGCATTGGAAGAGGTAGAATTGGATTTGAAATTAGCATTGGAAGCTAACTACGATCAATCACAGCTCGCTATGATCACCCTCGGTGCGCTCTTTGGAGGAACCGCTTTGTCAATGGGAGGATCGACCGCAAAGAAGACTCAAGGACCACCGATCAACGCTTCGAGTCCTGACGAGGAGAGCTTCATCAAGTACGTCTCGCAGCCTCCCTGGACCCAATTGGCCCGAAACAGCGCCTAATAATATATAGGGATTTCCTGAAGAATGCAGAGGCGGATGAGAAGAAGGATACCAAGAAGGCGGGTGCTCACTAGAGGGGGAGTGGGATGTATGAATGATTGGGGATTTGACATGATGGGAGGAAGGTTTGGTCTAGTCGAGATGACTTGGCTGGGCCTTTCCGGTGTACATTTATGGATGAATAGAGAATGCATCGGTTGATGGACTTGATTGGAATCTGCGACTATGTGAACGACGATACGGAATTGAATGTTGAGACTGCCTTCGCAACTGGGAGGAAGAAAAGAAACGACTACGGGTATGAACGGATAATTGTTCTATGTCCTCTGGATCTCCTCACTAGCAGTCTTTCTCGCCTTAGTGGCTCGAATGGTTGAGGTGTGGCGGCTCCAGTATCAAATTTGAAAAGAGCTCGAAGCCGCTTCTCAATCTTTGGTAGTACTGGGTGCCTCCAAGTCGTTTGACACCCAAACTTCGCCTTGCACGATTAAGCTATAACTAAAAGAAAGGGCAGAATCCATGGAAAGTTGACTCACTGATACAGGAACTCGAACCATTACTGTTGGGGCATCCATTCATACTTGAGGACCTGGAGAAATAGAAATGCAATCGAAAAGGTATCATTGAGATAACGCCGGCTAAACATATATTACAACTCGTCCTTGTAAAAGACCTCTTGACTTCCTTCTTCATCCTCAGGCTCATCTTCATCTTCATCGACTATTCCCAAAATCTCTCGGATCTGACCAGGAGCATCCACAACCTCAATCTTCCATCCTTTCTCCTTGGCCAACTTCTGAACTTGCTTCTTGACGGTCTCTACCATCTCCGGATCCAAGTCCAACTTTGCCAGTTCCTTGTCACTGGCCATTTCCACTTTCCCGCCTTCAACCTTGCTCTTGGCTCGAGCAATCACTTCAACTACCTTTCCTGGAGGCTCCTGTCCGAAATTTGCTGGAATGGGCAAGCGCTGTCCTTCCTTGTTGATCCATTTCCCAGCACCCAGAATGACACCTCCAACATTAATTGGTTGCTCTTTCTCTGCTGCAATCTGGTTTTCAATCTCCTTGAGCTCTGATCGATCCTGAAGATCCTCTTCCGGAACAACGGCGCGGCAGACGATAGAATGTGCCTTAGTTACCTTTGGCGGTTGGAACGCAACGTCGCTACACAGTCTTGGGGTGTATACAACCATCAGATACGAGCACGTCGTGACCTCCTTGATGTATCCTATCCGGTCTGTGACGTGAGGATTGCAGTGGAACTGTACCTCCACTCGTCTTGGCTTCCCCGTAAGATCGCAAGTCGTTCCCCCTTCCATCTTCTGGACCAAGTATCTCGTATCGCCCTTAATCTGAAGCTCCGTCTTTGGCGGTTCCTCTGAAGCCTTCTTCTTTGGCGCCTCAATTTCCTTCTCCCATTCGTCATCCTTGCTTGGCTTCCCCTTCGCTTTCGCCCTTCCTAGCACGAACTGTTTTGTCGTAGGATCTGGTTGAGGTGGAAGTAGTGGCTTTCCAGGTTGCGGAGGAAGCTGGTGGAATTGTGTAATCTCATTATTGTAGCAGAAGGCATATGACCACCAGCCGGAGACGAAATACAGACATCCACCATCAAGTTCCTGGAGCAATTCCCAGCCCCGGTTGGTGGCGCGAGCCAGCTCTTTCTGCTCCGCCGCTCTTGCTTCCGCCTCTGATGTTTCATTCTTGGCAGGTGTATCGACTATTGGTATTGTGCAGAGATGTTGTTCGCCATTTAGATACATTAATTCGTAGGTTTCATGCTTGGGGTCGAAGGCATGGTCGCTGGGAGGTTGGGGAGCTTCGTCCGTTCGCGAAGCTATGCTCGTCGTGTCGGAGCTTTGAGGAGATTTGGGTATAGCTGCGGAAGCTTGCTCGATTATTGACTTTGCCTCGACGTCCGAGATGAACGAATCTGGGAAGGCGACCTCATACTGGGAAGCTGTTAGCTGGGTAGGGCTAGGGGGAGATGGTAGGTACTTGAGGGAACGCAAGTAAATCATCGTGGACACTGAAGACTGTTTGGCTTGCCAAAACTATTGGAACTGATGCCAACAAAGCTGTAATGATGTGCTGCATTGTGCCATATGGAGCGTTGAGGTAGAGCTACCAGAGTGGTGACATCTGTCTAGGAGATTGAGGAGTGGCATCAACGTTATCGATTGCGGGGACGGCGGAGATACATAAGCGAGACGCTAATAGGGTGTTGGGGACAGATTGTTTACTTTTCACTTCGAAATCTGTCGCTAACCGAAGCGGAGGGCCCTGTCGAAGTTCTTTCCTTGTTATTTTCTTCTCTGTTGTACCATGCAGTCCCCACGAGCTTGCAAACCAAGTAATTTCTTGGTATTATCCACGTCTTCACTTTGTTATGTTTTTCATGTCAGCGATTTGAAGCTCCGGTATTTATCATGACTCGTGTAGATCTTCTCTGAGGTCATTCTGGTATTCTCAATTAATCCCTAATTACGTGCTGGATCGTTCGACATTGCTTGCATATTATGTGACTTCAAATTTGAGTTCTTTTCGTTTGTCTGGCGATGAGCAAGATTATCATCCTGAGACTGTTGCAAACGTGTCTCTAAATTTGATCGATCAGTATTAGGAAATTGTGCTCTGTTACTAGATGATGTATCGCTGCCCAAAGCTTTGACTTTGCATTGCTTGGATCCATCTTTTTAGTACAGCCAATCTGGCAAATAATCTGCTATTTTGACAATGCTTACGGACACTCGTAAGCGATTCACTAAGCCTTACAAATCCACCTTGTCACGACTAGACCATCCCACCTTTAGATGGCATTTTGTTGCAGGTCGCAGTGTTGGTAACATGTTGGTCATCGCCGCTTTCGGGGTAGTGAGTTTGGAATTATGCAGTCCCTCCTTCGACAGCTGCTTATCACAAATTATTGGTTGACTGGATCTCAATTGGCATAAATATAACTGGGATAGGTATTTAAGTCATGCTAACTATTGATGTCACAACCTTGACAACCCTTCGATAATGAAGCTTGAGAGTCGATGAGCAGTTCCGTCCGGTATCCTTACTCGGCTTATCCGTGTCAATGAAAGCCAATCTGCGTTCAGAATCGTGGAGGTCCCGCCCGTTCAGACGCAAACAAGTCCACTTGTCCCACATGTGTATCCCTGAGCATAGTATACCATTTGTCTATTTGAAGGGATGGCTTATCCGTTGTCAATTCATGCCATTTTGTCCTTCACAAGTTGAGACGAAACATGCATATGCCCCGGACCCAGGAAAATAGTATGGATATCAAACAACAGCCAAAAAATGCTTGTGTGAAACTTGACGGCTAAGGATTTAGCATTTCCCCAAACAGCTATCTCAAGAGCCAGAGGCTTTCCTCCTCTCAAGTACCTTCATAACATCCGCTGCACTATTGCTGTCGCCCTTCCTCTTCTTTGGGCCTCGTTTCCGCTTCTCTTTACCCTTCCCGCCCTCTTCTCCATCATCATCCCCTCCTTTACCCCACTCGCTTAATTTAACCTTCTTCTCTTCAAAGTCCTCTTCATCTGCAAAGCGACTGGAACCGAATCCCATGTCCATATCTTGAGCATCGCGGTCATCTCTTTCCAGCATCTTTTTCCGACGAGCCTCCTTGGCGGCTTCTTCCGCGTTAGAAGGTTCTGTGGATGGTACATTGAGTGCCGAAGCTTTGCGAAGGGCTGCCAGAATAGTCGGATCGCTGAGAGCGGCAGGTTTGGATTCTTCTGTAGTTGTGGGTTTGCTAGGTTCGTTGAAGTAATTCCGTGATGCTGTAGGCTTTGGAGGCGGCGCCATACTTCCTGGAATAGGCTTCTTTTCTTCCACTTCGCCGGCTTCCTTCTCAGCCTCATCTGAATCGTCCTCTGAAAGACCAGCCAGAGGATCATATTCGTCTCCTACCCCGTCGAAGATATCCATATCATCTTCTTCCTCCTCAACTTTGGGTATATCTGGCACTTCCATTCCTAATGGTTTGGCATCTTTGTCCGGCATCAACAGCCCACGACTTTTCTCAACTTCTGGCTCAGGCTGGACCTTCCTGACTTTGCGCTTTTCGTTCCCATTTTCGTCAATCGTAATTAGAACTTCCCTTCCCTTCCCATCCCTCTCGATCCTGCTCTCTGCCCTCCTATCTCCAACCTTCTTAAACTTCGAGCCTAAAGATGGAGCTGCTGCTTCTTTCGCTGCTTGTCTTGCTGCCTTCATTTCCGCCAATATCTGATCTCGATTCCGCTTCTTGCCCGTCAGCGCAGGCGGTGCCATCTCCCCTTTCTTTTTCTCCCGCTCCTTGACCACAGCCTCCACTTCTCTCTCCTCCAGCTTCTCAAACTCGTGGTCAACATCCTCGACCTCTTCGTCGTCTGGCTCGGGGGCCATCTTCTTCTCGGAACCTTCTAGGACATCTTCCACACCCACTTCTCCCCTCCTTACCCTCTCCAATAATCCCCAATCCAGACCCTTGACCAGTTTCGCCCTATCCTTCACCTCATCTCCCAGAATCTCCTCTCGTAACTTGATGAAAGTCTCTTCGTCAATCTGCTGTAGCTTCATCATCTCCTCCAGCGCTTTGACTCTTGTAACCTTGTCATTCTCTTCATCTTCTTCCTCACCCGCGCTTCGAAGTTGTTTCGCACGATCCGTATAACCATCTGCAAGCTTCACGCCTTTCGGTGCTGCTGCAGAGCGGAATTTCTTGGTTGAAGGACCAGAGGCAGCAGCATTGCGTTCAGCAAGTTGTCGCGCAAAAGCATTTGTAGAACTGTAGCCTGCTATTGTGCGCCTACAAGAAAGTCAACTTCTGAAATGTAAAATAAAAGTAGAAGTACATACGGTGTCATGGGAATGGAACTGCGCATCCGAGAACCAAGGGCAGAAGGTGTTGCGCCATTGCGCTGGGCTGTCTTGTCTGGAGGGGATGATGAGGAAGCCTGCCGCGCAGGAGTATCGAGGACTAGTTTGCGAAACTGCGAGTTGTTCATTATGGCTGCGGTGGTGTTGATAGAATTGTTCTGAAATATTTCATCTTCAGCCTTGTTACAGTCCTCGAGGCCCCGCTGACTCAGCGTTCAATGTCAGAGTTGAAAGAGCGACCAGTGATCAGGGATCGTATTGATTCCAAGCAGATTGGCGTTTGGAACTAATTCTATAATTCACACTCATTATTCTTGACGGCGCGAGATACGCCCAAAAAATAATACCGAGGACTCATAATCGTATGGTCGATTCGGCGCACCCTACAATCCGCCCTATTGTCAATCAGGCTACTGCCCGCAGCCTCGCCTCACGACACTCTCACGACGAGAAGCACGTCGCATCAACTCATCCATCAATACCAGCCTCGCAGCCATCGACACCATCATGGCAGCTGGAGCAGGTAGCAAAGGTGAGTCGTAAGATCTGCGTGATCGCATGCGCTTTTCCCCAGGCCAGAGAGATTGCTGACAATCACCCCCTCAGCTGCCAGCGACGATGAATCCACTATCAAAGTCGCACCCAAGAAGGAGACCAAGGACAAGCCCACAGGAACCATCAAACTTAAGAAACCTCCACCCAAGCACAACAAACCGGGGAATTGGCGCGATGGGAGTGTAGTCGATGGTGGGCCCCCCGACTCAAGTATGCGCCCGTACGTGCTTATCATCACAGATGACAAGAACAAGGGCACCGGCACACCCTCGACGAGCTCTGTGCCAGTTTCCCCGGGTCCAATAGTCAATCCTCTCGACGATGCTGCGCGAGACACATTTCCCACCGGCCGACCCTTGGAGGACGGAACTTCGCTTTTGCAATGCAAGCACTGCAAGAAGAGTATTATGAAGGATAAGATGCCAGCGCATCTCACACAGTGCTTGGAGACGAAGAGGCAGAAGGCGCAAAGAAAGAAAGAGCAGAAAGAAGCTCGAGAGAAGGAGAAGAAAAAGGCAGCCAAAGAGAACGAGAAGGACGAGGAGGGCGACACCAAGATGGCCGATGACGACGACGATGACGACGATGCCTCGCCCGAGAAAAAAGGTCCTGGTGGATTGAAATCTACGAAGAAAAGTGCTGGGAAGAAAGTCGAGGTTGACGACACGAAAAAGGGAAAGAAGCGCAAGGCCGAAGGTGATGCTGAGAAGGGCCCAAAGCAGAAGAAGAAGAAAGAGGAGCCAAAACCAAAGGCTCCGAAAGCAAGAGGTACCAGACTTTCTAATCGTATCCGGGCACAAAGTGCAGAAAGAGATCCGGTCTCAGTGGACAAGGAACTGAAGCCGTTTGCCTCGCTCGGATTTCAGTGACAGGCTGAAATCGGGCTCGTTCATTTTGTTTCTATCTATTTTGCATCTACCGAGCATTTCTAACTTACAGAAGGTCCTGTCGATGTCGAGAGACAGTGTGGTGTCATCAAAGATGGGGTCCCTTGCGCTCGTTCTCTGACCTGCAAAAGCCATTCGATGGGAGCAAAGAGAGCCGTCCCTGGGCGATCTTTACCATATGACATGTTGCTTGCAGCATATCAAAAGAAGAATCAGGCGAAGCAGCAGAGTAAGTTTCCCGCTCCGATGTCCAGGACTTTCTAACACCGTCGTAGAAGCTGCGATTGATGCGAATGCCCCTCTTGAAGATGAAGAAGATGGGAATGGTCCTGTTGATTCGGATGAGGAGTTGGCAGCTGTACAGTATGGTCTTGCGAACTGGAATCCTCAACCAGTTGTTCCACCTTTGTTATCGATACCTATCGAACGTCAATACCAGAAACAGCGGTTACGAGAGCAGATGATGAATGCTACGAATGGCGGGATCATCAATATTTTCAAGGTGAAAGGGTTCGGTGCACAGAAACTTCGACCTGATCATCCACATCTCGCGGAACGAGAACCTGGTGATGATGAAGGCGAATCAAAAGCACAGAACCCTTTGAGCGATGGTATGGCGGCCGTTGCGGCAAGGAGAGCAAGTGGGTTCAACATGCAACTACCTCTGCAAAGGAAGGCCTCTGGGACGGCTCAACGGGTTTGAAGCTCGGAATTGTACATACTCTGGGATTTGGTCATTCACTGCATGGTGTTGGGGCTGGGCTCGGCTGGATATGATTAGACTGGCATGTCTTTGGATTATTCATTGGGAGGTTTGGTAGGGCTCATGGCTGGACTGGTTGGTGTTGGGTTGAAGGACTGGAGTCTGGGCATTCTGTACATCATCACTTGGTCTGTCATGCCCTGAAACGACGGCTTTGCAGATTTGGCTCGCATTTTCACGAGTGAAGCATACTGATCATATAAGCTATTAATTGGCCTGAGCAGGCACAGACGAAAGTATACCATGGTTCGTGGGAAGAACTCTTATGTCATTGCACTAAAATAATGCTCTTGTAAGTACATGCAACCCGGGCGATAAGACAGCCATCCCATCACCCGACGCTATGTAACGTCCTCCCCAACTTTTTATTTATATACATTTATCATCCAGCTACTCTCCACGGCAGGTAAAGTTCCTGGCGAAGTAAGAGAAGTGGCAAGGAAATGGGACAGTAAGCGAGGTTTATCAATCTAGTATCTCTCATCACAAGAGATAAACAACCACACTCGCAACAGCCGCCAACATGAGACTCAAGTTCCCAGCAGCACCCAACCCATTACCAGCCGACTTCTTCTTCTTGTTCTTCCCCTCCTTCATCGACACCTTTTCGACACTCGGCGGTAATGGCAGCGGGCTACCACTAACCATCGGCTTCTTCTCACTTCCCAACCCGGCCGTCGCAACAGGCGGTAAAGTCCACCATGCCGGCCCCGTCGTCGCCATCTTCACTACTGAGGGAGTGTCGGTACCTGGTGGAGGAAGGGACCATGGAGAGCCGCGTGGGCTGGAGGGATGGGTCCAGAAGGCTTCTTCGTGGTAATCGAATGCGGGGTTGGGGGTTGTGGTTATGGTGCGGGTTGTGCTTGCGTCGGTGAGGGTTAGGGTTATGAGGGAGATGGTGGAGGTGGGAGTTTCGGGGGATGGAGTTGGGGAAGTGTAGTCGGGGCAGTGGGCCCAGTATGCTTCTTCTTTGTGGTCGAAGGCGTCGAGGCTGAGGCCGCAGGGGGGTGGGGGGAGGTTGTCGATGGGGTAGGTCATTGTTTTAGTGGAGGACTTGTCAGAGGATGTGACCGTGACGAAGGATGGGGATTTGTTGACCGCGGTGGGCTTGGGCATAGGCGTTGTGGTGGAAGTGTAGTCTGGACATTCGGCCCAATACGCTTCCTCTTTGTAGTCGAAAGCGTCAAGTCTGAGACCGCAAGGTGGAGGTGGCAGATTGTCGATGTGGTAGGTCATTGTCTTGGTGCTCGTTTTGTCCTTGGACGTAATCGTTACCATTGTGAGTTTGTCCATGTTCACCGGTGTAGGATTGCCAGGCTGGGGCATTGGTGCTGTCGTTGAGCTGTAATCAGGACAGTATGCCCAGTACGCCTCTTCCTTGTGGTCGAATGCATCGAGACTCAGACCGCAAGGAGGAGGAGGGAGCTGATCAATTGGATAAGTCATCGTCTTGGTGCTCGTCTTGTCAATTGAGGTGATGGTTACCATGGACGGGGGAGTCATGGCCGGCGGTGCTGGACGCGCTTCGACTGGCATTGGAACGGCTCCAAGTTCTTGACTGGCCTCGTACATAGGCAGAGCAGCGGCATTGACTTCTGGAGCTGGACCTGGAACTTGAGCTTGGTAGCAAACTATTTCCCGATGCTCCTCGTAGTAGACTTGAGCGTCGCTAGTTGGGCAAGGGCAAACCGCCGAACCAGCCTCGATGGTTCTGGTAATGATCTGTTCGACAGGGCAGTCGTAGACAGCTGGTGGGCATGGGATGTTAACGATATCCACGTGGACCTTGTAGATAGGCTCTACAGCGTATCCAGGTGGGATGAAGTCGATTGTTGGTGTGGGTACGACAACTTTGATGATCGGAGCGAGAGTTGTTGTGACAGAAACCAAGGTTGTGGTAACGAGACCGACGTGGCAGGTTTTCTCCGTTGGAGGACATTCTTTGAAAGTGTGAACAGATGTGGCGTAGACGGTTGAGATCATGAATTCGGTCACCGACTTGGTTGTTGTCGTAGGGACTGCAAGTTCGCGGATCAAAGTGCTTGTCGATGGATCAGATGATGGTGTCGTGGGAGTTACGGGGGAAACGTCGGGAGTCGTCGAGACCCAAATGGAGCTCAACGGTACAGTGGTATTGGCATCTTGAGTCGAGGCCGATGAGAACGCGGATGTGGAATTAGCATTTCTGTTGTCCTGAGTGTGGCTAGGCGAAGCGGTTATTGTAGACGAAACCGATGCGATGGTGGACTGAGATATTCCGGTTGTAGAGTTGCCAGCGATGCTAGAGAAAGAGCCTGTTGTTGTCGTGGCCGAGGGTGAGGATACAGAGCTTGAAGCAGAGTCTGACATTGCAGAAGTTGGTGAGGAGATGACAGACGATTGATATCCAGTCGCAGAAGTCAGACTTTCAGCGGAGTTGGGCAGAGTAGGCTCCGGATCAGGAGAGATCCAAGTCGCAAGACACGAACACCCCGAGCTGATCATAGCTGGTTTGCTGGAGCAGTTGTCCAAGTAGGCAGGGACACTGGCTGTCTCAGCGTTTGTGACTGTGGTGTATCCGGAGCAAAACCCCTTTGCTTGATCGCCGAAACGAAGGAGAGCTCGGTAGCAATTATCCTCATTACAGACGTATGGTGTAGTTGTTGGAGAAGCTGAAGAGCTCGATGAGCTGGTGAGGGTGGTGGAAGATGTTGTTCTTTGAGCAATACCATTCGAGGAAAATGTGGTAGATGTCGTGCCCTGAGTACTGGAGCTCGACGAAGTCGTTCCTTGGCTTGATATTTGAGATCCGGTTGAAGTATCAGTGCTTGAAGACGAAAAATCGGAAGACTGTCCTTGCGAAGGATCGTTCACAGAATCAAAGCAAAAAAGATCGAAACCTTGATAGCTGCTGGCCGATCGATTGGCCACATTGTCTGGAACGAAGCCCGCCTGCTTTTGCGTTGCCGATTGCAACTCACAAAAGGCGTCCTGCTCTGTACGAATGTTGAAGGACTTGCAGTTGCTCCGTTTCGCACACTCGGAAGCACAGGAGAGGACGGAGGTGTACTGAGCGTCGTAGAGATCTTCAATGAAGTATTCAAACTTGGTGATAACGCCATAAGTACCGCATGTCGAACCTGCAGGAGCGAGATCCTTGAGGGTGCAGGTTGGACCAGTAGCGGTGACAATGGAGGGGATTGCCAGGAGTATAACGGTACTCGCACTCTTCAGTGAAGGTGCCATCTTTGCGTTACAGACGAGGAAAACGGGATGTGTGTGGAGGTCGAAGTGAAAGATGTGAGAGTTAAGAGATTAAGAGACTTGTTACCCGAATTATAGCTAAGGTCTGATGTGCGGACATTGAGAGTCGAATAATTTTAGTGTAAACGTCTATCCTTAAAACTATTATATCCGGCTAAGAGATAATAAGATAAAGCCCAAGACCAATTCAAAGGCAGATAACAGTGGCATCCTTGTGGGTGGAAGCGTTGCTACTTGACGAAAGCCTGACAGTCGACGCTCATAGCTTCCAAACGAAGTAATTAGTGGGGAGCTAGCTGATGAGTGCGGATCCAGAACGCCGACGGTAGCTGTCTGGGCACGTCTAAATACATCATTTTGACTTCGATCATCTACGGAAGTGAAGTTTAGGTGTGCAGAAGGCAAGAGACCGCCTTACAAAGGACATAGGTAAGCTTCCACAATTGAGCACTGGGATAGCTGCTCCGAGCTGTTACAGCAGTTAGACAGGTCTGCTCACAACCACCTAGGCGTCCAAGTTACTTAATGTTATGATTAAACGAAGCCACACCAATTGTGTCATCAGCCAAGGAAAGATGTTAAATGCGTGGGTGTTAGAGACGTACAGCTGCAGAGGTTAGATTATTCGCTAGGGTGTGGGTGATGTCAACAAGATAAGCGAGGCGAGCCGGTCCCAAGTTTGAAAGACCTTTGGCATGGTACGACCCACCAAACGAGTAATCATTCCCCCACGAAGAAGAAACGGATACTCTACATGATGACTCACTGGTTGTTAGAATCCATAATTTTGTTTCTGTTATTCGCGGCAGAAGCTAAGATCAGGAGCTCGGCACGCAATGACGATCTGGATCCACGTCTTTCAACCATTCTGCTGGTATCTTTCCCACTTGGTACTTCCTGTACTTTTTGTTAACAAAAACAGGTCTCAGCTAGGCATCACCTCCTTACGCCCATAGCCTCACCGCCTTCTCATCTCACAAATTCCGACACCCCTTACTCTCTAACCACTGGCCCTTAACTTCCACCCGAAACACCAAGGTTTGTTGCACAGAAAATCCGTCCGCGAATAATAAGATCAGATTAGATGATCTGATAATCTCCTTCATTTGTCCCCAATACTGGCCGTTTTTCTGGCGCAGACCTTGTGCTGGCGAAATATTTTGTTTGTGGAACGAACGCTATGATATTTCTGCTCACGTTTGCTTCTTCTGTGAGTTGGCTGTGGTGATAGGTTGTGTTGTGCGGATGTACTTTGATGGACGACAAGAATGTAGATAGTGTTGAGAATGGGCGATAGGAGTGCGCAGTGGTTAATGGGAGGGAGGCGTTGCTACTCCTTTGGATGGAAGAGTTTGTTTGAAGATACCGAGTGTCATTTCACTTCCCTCTTCATTAATCTAGAGTCATGATGGAAAGGTATATATTATTTATCATGACCGACTGTCAAATGCCCAGCAATGCACCCTTTGTCTCTCTCGCCAATTGCAACCTCCAAAGATTCTGCTCAGCACAGAGGAACATCTCTCCATCCTTACCAAAACAGAAGTTCGCAACTCCTCCAGGAACAAGAATCCGCCCGATCAAAGTCCCAACAGGATTCCACACCTCGACTCCATCTCCACAGCCTGAATATACATTACCGTAAACATCACACTTGATGCCATCTGGGAAAACAACTGCTGCGAATGCAAACACTCTCTTTTTGGCTAGGAATGGACCAGGGATTACATCGAATGCGTAGATAGTGGATGCTCTGTGAAAGCGTGAGTACTTGTTCGAAGCTTTGCAGGGAAAGTCATACCTCAAAGGATCCTTGCTTCCATCCCCATGAATATGGTCCGTATCCGTGATGTATACTGTCTTCTCATCCGGACTAAACGCAATCCCATTCGGTCTTCCCAACCCATCAGCCACGACCCTCAGATCCCCAGAATCAGGATCAAATCTATAGACCTGGCAAGGCAATTTCGGCCTCTGTCTAAAGTCTTGTTCAAAGCCATAGCAAGGATCCGTAAACCAGATTGAGCCATCTTTCGCAACGACCACATCATTGACTGAATTGAAGTCCCGTCCATGGAAATTCGTCACGCAAGCTTGTGGTGGCTTTCCTCGAGGCATGAAGTATATTCCGCCTGTTCCCGCTTGAGAAGTTCCTTGCGCACAGAAGAGTATGCCGTCTTTGTAGTTTACCCCTCCATTGGGCATGTCGATGCCAGGCGGTGGCCGCATTTTGGCCCATTCCACGGTGTGCACATTGTTGTCTCCACTGAGGCGGTCGGTTCGGAGTAGCTTCACTCGGGATATCAGGATAGTTGGGAAGTTGGAGGAAGAGGTGGATTGGAGGAGATTGGAGGTGATGTAGAGCTCATCGTGAGTAGGAACGAAGACGCAGGCTTCGTGGAAGAAAGGGTTCTTGGAGGTTGTGGATGTCGATAGTAGGAGGGAATGGGTGGGCGAGGATCCTATCAGCTCTGCGAATGTGTCTGTGTATTGAATGATAGTGATCTGATCTTTCGAGGGCTGTACGGGCCTGGATATTCTAATTAGCGATTGCTCATGTACTCAGGCCAGGAGCACATATCGGAGTGAGGACTCCAAGATGCGGGGGGATGTGGAATAACCTACTTAGATTTCCCACTACATTCTTCTACTCGATTGATAACCTGTGATTGTTAAACATCCTCTCATGAGGAGACTGTTATTTTCCTTCCTTACATGGATAGTTGTGGGCACAACAGAAATATCTGCATTAGTTACTGCTGCCATGATTGTTGTTGAAGGAGGGACAAGGCTGAGAAGAATGAGAAAGAGGCTGATCCCACGATCATGAAATGGAATCCCAACCTACTCATCAAACCTTTTAGATTCTGGGTAAGCAATATATTACTCTATTTGCCGTTCATTTTCTTCTCTTTGGAGTGTTTTGACATTTCCACTGTCCATATCTCACGCACGAGGCTCGAGAAGCTTTCCCATGGAAGTTGAGCTTAGTCAGCTGATCTGAATCTCATTGCATTGCTTTCACCAACATCACACCCAGAGCGAGCTACCAAGGCGCAGCGCCAAATCCAACTATCAATGGAATAAATCGATATATATTCTAATAGTGAACTATGATTTTCAGATTTCTGAGCAGTGTTTATATATTCCCAAATGCAACCAATCACGGCTCCCTCTATTCAGATGAGCAAAGCCGTGCCGAGGTCCGACACTTATCCATGCTTAATGATCGCATCGCCATCAACCTCCACTTCCACTTCCACTTCCACCTCCACACTCCACTCCACACCGTCTTCTGTCCCTTCCCCATCATCCACCAAATAAATCTCCCAAACACCAATCTTCTTCTCTGAACCTCACAACACACGGTTCAACGACTTCGAGGCTTCAAGTTCCCATCTTGCACAGCAATCGGCGCATCGGATCCCAACCTCAACTACGATAGAAAGATAGAGATAGATACGGGATACCCACCTACCTACATCGAGACCCGAAATCCATACTCACACCACTTAAAATGTCGAAATCTTTCTCTACCGCCGATGTAGCAGCACATAAGAGTCCCGAGGAGGGAATGTACATTATAATCGACGACGGAGTTTACAATGTCACAGGTACGCCCTTCCCCTTCCCCTTTCCCCTTTCCACTCCCTCCTTCTCCTACCTTTTAATCTTCCTCGGTTTCCAATGAAGCACAGAGACCTGACACAATGGCTTACAATTACAACTAGATTTCGTAGACGAACATCCCGGGGGAGCCAAGATCCTGAAGCGCGTGGCGGGCAAGGACGCGACGAAGCAGTTCTGGAAATACCATAATGAGAGTGTGTTGAAGAAGTATAGTGATAAGTTGAAGATTGGGACGGTGGGGGAGAAGGCGAAGTTGTAGATTTAGGAGCTGGGATGGAGAGGAGGTTGGGGTGGCAGAGGATAAACGGTGCTGCATTGGGGATTTAGGGTTAGGCATGGGGATAAGGGGGTAGACTGCATGGTTTTATTGATGACACAGAATGATTGAATGGAGAGAAAGGGGAATTTAGACGTTGGATAATCCTGGTTCAAGACGGCCTGAGATTGGGAGGACTTTATGTGTACATATTTCGGAGAGAGAGGAAACACTGCCAAACTTCAGCTGGTCTTTCACATGTGATTCTGTGTGATTTGGAGGACTTTGGCACTGACTGTTCAAGGTGCATAATGTTGCTCTTTGAAAGTCCTTTGCGTTTTGTAATGTAACAAACAATGAAGGATATCGTGGGGGAACCTCAAGTACTTGGTATCAAGTTTCCACTTAAAATACATGCCTTCTACTTCTTCCCATTGAATCAATGCCTCGATCAAGCAAATACTCGGTAGAACCCATCGTAATACTTCATTAAATCCAGTACCTATAATCTAGAACAACAACCCACCCAACACCGCACCCCCAGCCAACCCCCCAACCAAAGGCAACCCAAACCCCCCACCATACCCCCCTCCATAAGGCCTCCCATAAGGATACGCCGGCCTCATATACCTCACTCCGGGATTCCCACCAAACGGTCCATACGGTCCCTGATTATAAGGATTATACCCATACCCACCCCCTCCGTACCCAGGGTATCCCCTCGGCAGCTGCGGCGGCTCAATATACACATCCTTACCATTCCTATCCTTGCCTAGGAGTTGCGGCTGCCCTGTCTCGAGAGCCTTGGACATCTGCTGCCGGATATGCAGGTGTCGCTGGTAGGCTGCCTGTTCTTCTTGGGCGCGGCGGCGGCGCTGGGCTTCGCGCTCCGTGTGCGTGGAGGAGGTGAGTTTGTCTTTCATTTTGCGGCCGAGTTTGTGGGCGCCGCTTAGCTTTTCGTTGGGATCTCTTGGTGGGAGAGGAGGGTGTGGGCTCTGATGGGAGCTGGATCCATGGTCGTGCGAGAAGTCGTCGTCGTTGTCGTCGCCGCTGCTTTCGGCTTGGATGTCGGCGGGGGTGGGGACGCGGTGGAGGGTTTGGATGCGGGTTCTTTCTTCGGGCGTGAGTGAGGAGAGGTATTGCTCGTCGTCGTAGGGGTGGTGCCAGATTGATCGTGGGGGTTGGGAGCGTGTGTCGACGAAGAATTGGTGGTGCGATTGTTCGTCGTATTGGCGGGTCCAGCCGGTTGGGAGATCACGGAATTCATCTTCCATTGAGCGACGATCGTGGGGTGGAATTCCATTTCTTGCGTTGGGGACTTGGAGATTGTTGTAATCGTTGGAGGACGATGTGTTTCGTTTGACAGCCGCCTCATATGGTGGTGGTGGTTCGCTTGGAGATGCCATTTTGTGTATTTGGTTGTTTGTTTGTGTATCGGAATTCGATAGGGTGAGGTTGTGGATAAATGTGAACGTGAAAGAAGCGTATTTGGAATCTGATGGGCTGTACAAGGCGTACAGTAATCAAGAAGTTTGCCATCAACCAGACTGACGGTTCCCCGTGACGTCAGTCGCGTCATGGACTTAACACCATCTCAACTCGTCCAAACAAAAAGTCAAACACTGCCTCTGCCTCGGATATGTTTCGTTCCTGCAGTAGCTTGTGCTTTTGCCATGCTCATCAAGACTGTTGTGTGCAATGGCTTCTGTTCTGGATCGTATGCGTACAGATCTTGGATATCTGGCTGATTTGACGAGAGAACTTGTCGAGGATTTGAGACTGGTGGATGGGAAAGCACTGAAGCTGTGAATAGCGAGAGAACAAGAATTGAGAGATGCATTATTGCGTTGTTGTTGATAATGCAAGATAGAGGCGAATATGTCTTGATGAAGACGATGGAGATGCTTGACCGACCAAAAGAATGAAAAGAGAAGACGGAATAACCGACCAAAAAAATTGAATCGAACAAGTCCCTTGCTTCACGAGCTATTTATTGTTATCACATTTTCTCGCAGACAAAGAACGCCTTCAAATGACGATCTCCGGATCATTTTCATGTTCGCCCTTTTCTCGCGGAGACGCCACGACCTCTGCCTTCGCCCACGTGGAGCAATCCCTCGCTGGAGGGCATCCCATTTTCGGAATGAGTTCAATCTGCAGGGTATTGAGGGTGTGAGGCTTGGGCTATTGGAGATGTTATGCATCAACACTGGTCTTGAGAGACTCGGGTTTCTCCTGCCATGGAAAAGTTGAGAGGAGGGAGATCAATAGGGGTGTTGTCCTCGTCACTTCCGTGTGGGATTCGTGATGGAAAAGCAAAGTTCCGGCTCTCCATGGAGCTGGATTTCGGCCCCACCTGTTCAAGGTTCACCGCGTTCGGCTACGACTCTCTGTTGCGTCCGCGAGGTCCGCTTCCAGGTTCTGTCTCTTCGCTTTAACATGTGATATCCCGATTCCCAGCCACAAGTCATCAATCCCCGAATCACTTGGCAGCTTATTCGGCTCCCATTGTTTGATCGACTTTAGGTTGCAATATCGGATTTCGATTCGGGACCCGTTTGTGTTATGCTTGGCATGCAAGGGGATCGCGGTTATCTTTTGTTATCTTTTGTGGGTTTCTCGGATTTTTCGGAGGCGAGGCGAGACTTGGGGTGGAGTTGTGGTTGGGGATTGGATGTTGAGAAAGATTTGGTCTGGACTTGAAGCGGAAGGTGAAGAATTGTGCTGGTGAATGACGGTGAGGATCGAGAGAGAAAAATGAAGGGCGGGAGATCTGAGGATGGGAGGAGCAATGATTCAATTCTCCTCGGTGGGCCGTGACAATATGCTTGGCTATGTTCACACAGCTGAAGATGAGAGGAACGAAGATTGTTCAGTTCCAAGTCTGATGCAAAATGCCTTTTTCCCATTCAATGCAGCCGTGAAATCATCAGACGTAACCGCTAAACCACCCCTCCATCTATCTACACTTTCACCATCGCTGAGATTCGAAATGCCCACCATACCCATGAGTTGCGATGCTCGCCCGCTGCCCGTGAAGAAATACATGATGTGAAGGCTGCTCTAGCACTTCTTTCATTCCCAGCAAAATTGCCTCCCCCATTCCCAAACGCCATGATTCAAATGCCTCGGATGTCCCATCAGATGTAAAAAGTAAATGCTCCTTCATGCCATGACAGTTCCTATTTCAGTCACTCCCGCAACTTCGCCTTCTACAATCATCGCTAGGATAGCGTCGTCATCGTACTTCATCTCCCCGGCTACACGCCTGCTTGTGATCCATTCTTGAGCCGAGATGATCGAGGTATCGGCTGGAATTTGGATCCAATCCTTGCTCGGAACCATCAGACCATTGATACAGGTTGCTGGCTCATCCATATCATCCGGTTGCAGTCTCGTGATGCGTCGAGGAGGAACAACCATGTCGTCACCGTGTCGAACCCATCCGGAAGTAGATTTGTACGCTGACATGAGAACATGCGCACCTGTGATTGCTCGGTGGTCCATTTCTGGGATGGATTCGAATAGAATGGTAAGATCGGAGATCTTCTTTGGTCCTTGAACGGCCTGTCCGATGGCTCCTCCTGGGTGGTTTGAAGAGAATACTGCTTGGACATTGATGTGTAGTTCGTTGGAGATGACTACTGCGAGGGCGTCTCCCAGTGCCAGGGCCATGGTGGTGGAGGTTGTTGGGGCATTGAATCCAAAGGAGTCGGTTTCGGATTTGTGAATTGGTGCTGGGAGGAGGATGGCGTCTGGTCTTTGTTTGATGATCTCGCAAGTCGATGGGTGAGTGTGGGAAGTCATGATGAGAAGAGGAAGAGATGAATCAAAGTGAGGTAGAAGAGACAGGAGCTCAGGAGTCTTTCCGGAGAACGTGATCAGAAGGATCGTATCATGTCTTCCGATAACTCCCAGATCGCCATGAAGAGCTTCGGTTGGATGGAGGTAAGTTGAGCGAATCTTGAGGCTGTTCATCGTCGCGACCAGCTTTTTGGCGATGTGCCCACTCTTCCCGATGCCACAGATTACCAATTGACCTATCTCCCCTCGATGTCTGGTGATAGCTTCGACTGCCGAGTTGAATCCTCCTCGGGCAATGGGCTCAGTCTCATAGAGGCGAGTGAGACATGAAAGAGCTGTAGCTTCAGTTCCGAGAACATGAACAGCATTTGACAGGCGACCACTGAAGCTTGAGCCACATACGTCTGAGAGCAATGGTGGTGTCATGGACATCAGGTCGTCCAAGGGAGGTGATAATTCTCGCTCACATGGTGTAGCTGGAGATGGGGGAGATGGTGGTGGTACTGAAGGAGCGTGAGAGGCGTGCATGAGGTAAACCTCACTGTTTTGAACGGGGTGGTGATCGAGAGTCATGGTGAAAGATGGCGATATATCGTGTACTGTATGAGATTGCAAGCTGTGGAAGCTTGTTGCTTGCGCCTCAATGGCTAGGTATGTACCTGAAGATCTGGCACAAAGTCAGCGATGAAAGTAAAGGAAGTTGATTGGACTGACATTGAATATATATCTTCTATCGCTTGAGCGTCAAGCAATGTGTACCAAAATTTGGATGTGTCCCGTGAATTTCGGCGTATTCAATTCGAGTTTCAACTGGCCGTAGGATTGAATTTCAGATGGAACGGAAAGTAAATCGTCTTTTACGGATCATCCGAAATTGGTTGCTGCACGCCATGAGGAGGGTGAGGTCCAGATTTTGTAGCAAAGGTATAGATATAGGATCGAAAACGAACATCGGTGATGGGAAGGAGGGGGCCATCTTCTTTTTCATCGAGGATAAGAGACGAGCAGGTCTAACCTAACCTTAGCGGTGGAGGGACGCGAAGAGGTTGCAGCGATACTCTGGCAGGGATACGAGAGGCACCGAGGGGCACCACCTCGGTCGTCAGAGCCAAGATAGTGGCTCGAGTGGGCATGCCAGGGCGACTACTGGGCACTACCAGGGGTAGATAACCCTGTAGATCTGGTGTGTTCATCGCTCCGGCAGGTGCTTAGCACGCAATTCAGTGGTCTGCGTCAGGAAGCCTCATGGGGTCAGAGGAGGCGTCTATTGGTTGATATGGCGTGGCTAGAGCTGTTTGCGGGTACCTAGGTAATCTCAGAGTCATGGAACGACGGAATACCTTTGATGCTTAGAAAGCTCGCTCCTCTTCACTTCCAACTTGCTGACTCTCTCTCGCTCTGGCGGCACAATCTAAAATCCGGGGGCCGACGCTGGACTGTAAGTGGTAGAGCTTCATGCAGCCGAACGGCTCTGGAAATGCACCATTACTCGACTTCCAGGGAGTGGTGCCGTACTTTACGGAGGTATGGGAAAGCACCGTAAGGGCCGTACTGCCTAGCAAGGCGAGTGCGAGGTATTATATCTTGGTGACATGTCCAAGCAGGGTAGGTGCATGAGTTGACCACTATGGGTAAGATCCGGATTGATAACTCGGAGGGTTATGAAGGATGAGGGTGAGGAACCAAAAGAGGTGGACACGCAGAGCTACGGCTAGGATGCTCTGCTCTGGTAAGGCTGAGGCTCTGATGACGCACTCTATGGAAACCAGTAAACTACCGTGTCGACAACATCGCACTCTGAGTCTGAACATAATGCCAACTGCATCAGCCCGAGAGACGCCAAGGAACAGATACCAGTAACTCCTTTTCGGATCTTTGGTTGCAAACTCCAAATATGACCCTTCAGTCTGCCGAGACATCCGAGAAGAGCAGAGTCAAGGAAGCCACTGTGAGGTGTCCACTGGAATAGTGGTTCAGTGTCAATGTGGGGGAATAAGTCAGCGGCGTTGATCGTTGAGAAAAGAATTACCAAGACAATGTTGCAAACCCAATTATTAAGCCTAAACATGCGGCTCTACTTACAGGAATCCTTTCCTAAAATGTACAACTACAGATTCGGAAATTACCGACCAAAAGAAATTCAACATGTCAACAGCATACTACCAACTAAGGTAATGAACACCGGAGAAACTTGACCATGTGAAAGTCACCCACCCAACGCACGTGAACAATAAAGGTAAAGGTAAATAAGGCAGTCTAAATCTGCTTCCCCAGACATGATCCAACTTCGATGCAGTTTGCCCCGGTCGATATTTCCGTGAGTTTTAGAAACAATCATGGACATCACAAAGCACAAGCACATAAACAATAGAACATCAGATTGTTTAGAAATCATTGGCAATTGGCCCAGATATGCATAAAGAGGCTGACTCAGCGGCTACTTGCATCTAGTCACATGATTACAAGGGTCAGACCTCGACGGGATCAGACCCGCATCAAGCTGGAAGTTCACCTTGCCCAACATCCTCATTATCGAATACATCTTCCGACAAGTACTATCGCGTCGCGCGCGCAAGACATTCCTCCTATCGACCACAGGTTACGGACTCGAGTCGATGCTTGGCTGGGGATACAATTGGGCTTGCGCTGACGTCTATGCGGTTGCGCTGGGATCTAGGCGGGGAGGAGCAACAATGAATGGCCCTTGATATCGATCACCAGTGAATGCGAGTATCGCTATTATTGAATATACCATTTTGGCGTATCGTGGAGATATCTTACGAGGTACGGCTGGCTTCTTTCATTCCGAGTCTTTGTGACAACCGACAAAGAACGAGTCTGACCATATCAGTCAACATGGATACCAAGCAATCTAGCACAGCTTTGAAAGCACTACAACTTGCAGACAAACAAATATTTGACCTGAAGAAGCTCTTCTTACCACACGTATGTTGCTCATGCCTAGACGAAGCTCCCCTGTTCCCGCTGACAAGCCTAGGAACCCCACCTCCTAACAGTCCCAACCGATCATCCCTTCCGAGAAACTTCCTCCTACGAGGACCGGGGCACACCCTTCGCGAACTATGAGGTTCGATACCTACAACATATGACTATGATCTCGGAGAGTCAGCGTGGCGTGGCACGAGCAGAGGGCGATTGGCAAGCAAGAATTGAGAGTGGATCTCCAGCAAGTTTGGCAGCGCGAAGCAGTGCCACAACCCCCAGTCATGCCAATGCCAGAGATTTGAAGATACCCTCCAAGAAGATCTCTATCGCAGACTATAAAAGTCTGAAAACAGGTGCCAAGCCTTCTCCGCGACCTGGATTGGAGGAAGGGAGACAAAATGGCGCGTTGCCTTCAAAGGAAAAGCCCAGGGACATGAAGTGAGTGCGCCATTCTTTCATAGAGTTTTGTGCTAATATTTTCAGACCTGCGCTGCCAAGCTCGAAAACGAGTACTCCTACTGCTAATGGACATCCCATTTCGAGCTCAAATCATACTCCCGTGAAGTCGATACCACAAATACGAGAACCTCCTAAACACCAGCTTCCCCCTCGGCCTAAATCGCCTCCTCGGAGCACATATGATGTCAAACCACCCGAGCAGAAAAAGCGGCCAATGGAGTCTGATGGAAAACAGCCCGAGAAGCGTACTAAGATTGAGTCAACAAATACGCCGGTGAATAGAGCTTCGCCCATGAAGCAGTCGACACCAAGAGACTCGCCTCAAGCAAGAAAATCAACGCCCAAAGCCGAGAAACCAACCCCACTTCCAGACCGACTACCACCGCTACCAGATGACTTATTTGACATAGAGTCGGGGTCCAAAACCTTTTCACCGAGGCCCGATCTTGATAACACTATTGTTGTACGAGCAGAAAAGACGAGGGCGAAATCTCCCTTATCTTCCGTTTCCTCAAGGAGTCCTTCGCCTCTGCGACCACTTCCCGAGATGTTACCTCTTGCGCTCCATCCTCTACTGGATCGAGAATTGGACCGATTGAGCGAAAAGAAAGCAAAGAAAGATGAAATGCAGGCAGAGAATACACCCGAGCAGAATGCAGAGAAAAATCCACGGGATACGGTCGGAGCTCGGTACGAAGAGGTTCGACGGCCTGATGTTCCTGGAGTTGCTAGGAAGACACCGAAAGTTGGACATCCGCCAAGGAAGCATCCTGGGGAATCTAGCAAGAGGCCTCCCACGACCAAGGATACTTTGATCGTAAAGTTGAGATACAAGAAGCGGCGAGCAAAGGATATACAGCGAATTCTTGGGATTCAGGCGAAGCCAAGCAAGGAATTTTTGACCCTTGAGAAACAGCGACGAGCTCGGTTGAACCCGACTTTCGAAGCAGACTCTGAGGACGAACCGACAATCACGCCGAAGCCTACGCCGTCTAAGAAACGTCCTAGTGACTCTGATGCAGCTGAACCTGCATCGAAGCGTGCGAAATTACCTGATATTAATATTGCCAAAGCAAAAACTTCCTTGGAACCAGCTTTCAAGTCACCTGCTTCTTCAGCGCCCAGTCAGAAAAATCTTTTGGCTACTCCTAATGCGATGAAGACTGTGGCAATGAGAAGGGTTGATTCGAATGATGGAAATGCTCGGACCCCTCAGACAATGGCTACCAGCACACCGGCGTCCGCAGAGAAGCCTCGTTCCAACGGAGAACGACATCCTATGGATGAACGACTGCATGGCGAGTTTCAGAAGCTCAATGATCATTCTTTGAAGCTCAAGCGGAAGATGGACGAGATTTTGCAAATCAAAGCTAAAGGGATTGATTCTGTCTCAGAAGCTCAGCGGAAGCTTGGGCTTGCAGTCGCTCTGGAATGTATTGCCATGTATATGACATCATTTGCCGCCAAAGACCGTGCATTCAAGTCGCGGAGCGCCAGTTCTTGGGAAGGTGGTCTCAAACTTTGGGTGTGGTTGGAGGGCCTTGTCAAGAATATGCCAATCTATCATGCATTGAGCGTGCAGTTAGGAGCGATTATGAGAGAGGAGCTTGGTCGCTGTTATCTGGAGACTCTGCAGACTGGCAATCGAGATCCCAATTTCTTGAGAGCCTTGGGAGAAAACGAACAAAAACGGGACCAATGCTGGAAGGAAGCGCACAGAGTACAAGCAGATCTGAAGGAACTTCATGCGCCTGAATGCTTGGGACCATGGACCACAACGAATGATGCCGCGGCCTATATCAAGGCCGTATTGGAACTATACGCGAAGAAAGAGAAGACTGGGTGGAAGCCTTTCACACCATGAGGAGTTGTATGATGAAGACAGGGATCTCGGTATTTTTTGGCGTTAATGGCCTGGGGTTACGAATGTACGGCTAATTTGGCACGGCGGCTTTATGAAGGATGTAAGGACGGAGCCGGACTATAAGGTGCACGAACGATACCCAGCTCTAATTTACGAGCATGATGCGAGCGAGTTCTTTTTATAGCTAGTAAGGATAGTACCGCACATTGCGAATGTAGAACATCATTGCATTTAATCATTGTTTACCATTCGGGGGTCGATTTCGCTAATAGGTTTTGTGCCTGGCTCCTTCAGGCCACAGCCAAGTCCAGCGCCAGGTGGAGTTCTCGATTGAACATCGAGCTCAAGCTCTCTTGACATCGATCGCATCATCACATCAAAATGCGCCCCAGGTTCCCCATAAGACGAATACTTCTTCTCCGGCCCTTCCGGCCCCCTAACTCCCCTCGACCATTCACACAAAATACCCTGTCTTGCCAGTCGCGGCCTCAACTCCCATTCCTCTCGGCTCGTCCCCGCAAACCAACAGCTCGATTTCTCACCACAGAACGAAAGGATTGGATCAAGGACGAGGTATGGAAGGCCGGAAAATACACAGCCGTCTTATGGACAGGAGGTTTCTTGATGCTGGTTCTTGTATTTGGAGTGCAGCAGGAGTACCTCAATCACAAATACCCATCTCCCAGTGAATGGTCTTGGATTACGAAGAAGGACTGGAGAAATGCAAAGTGCAACGAGGATCAGGAAGAAGAAGGGGGAGTTGGTTTGATCGATTGGGCGCGTACGGGCGGGGCATATAGACATGTCCTGCGGAGGTTGGAGGATCCAAATATCGATGGAGCCGGGCTTGTAGATACAGATGAGGGAGGGATTCTCGTGGCGGGGATTGGGAGGACGGGATATGATATTACGGGGAAGTCTGAGCCTTGGAGAAGGGGGTATTATGAGGTGCTGATGGGTGCTGCGAGGGCGGCTGAGCATCTGGATGGATATGTGCGGGATAGGACGAGGAATATTGCTTTCCCTGCGAATGTGGTTATAGGGCCTTCGAATCCGAATCCTCGACCCGTACCGCCAGGATCGCAGAGTGCACCACGAGAGGAGGACTGTGAGGCGGCATTTGAGGGACCAGAAGTGTATTATATGCGGGTCTTGACGACACAAGGATTCACGGACAAGCAGAGGATTGACGCAGCTTTGGCGTATGCAATCTGGCTGGATTACAAGAAGACACCAGAGGCTTCTTTGGAAATGCATAAATGGGCATTGGATATCGCGGTATCGAAATCGGAGAAGCCAGCCATTGATCCTGCCACTGGAGTCATCAAGGCCGACTCCGGACTGCCCAGCGCCAACATTCTTTCCGTCGCAACTGCATTGGGTATACATCATGCTGTGAATTCGAATCTCACGCTGGCCCTTCCGATATTCCTGTCGGTCCTCCGTGCCCGAAGGTCTTTGCCAGAGATTTCGACGACAATGCGATCAACACTTACGCCAGATGAGGAACAGAGAGGTCTACTCAACATAGCCCGAGATATAATTCGCTCAACAATCACACCGCCACAGTACCCACCTCCACCAGATGATGGGACGGCACCGCCGCTGAGGACTCCAAAGGAGAGATGTGAAGAGGCTGGGATAATGACGTACATTGGGGAAGTTCTGTACGCCTCCAAAAGCACCAAGACAAGCAGGGAAGACGGCCTAGCATGGACCCGAGAAGCCGTTGATCTTGCAGAAGAGGAATTGCGCCGGAAGGGAGTTGATAAAGATGCCAAGACTAAATGCAAGCAGTGCCTTGAGGTCGGACTTGGGAATTGGATGACCATGGTAGGAAAGATGGCAAGAGAGGAGAAAGAGACGAAGGATGGTCAGAGCTCTGGATGGTTGGGCTTTGGGGGCGAGAAGAAGGATACTGTTGGAAGGTGGGAGAGCGAGGAACAGGTTATTATCGAGAGGATGAGAAGGGCGAGTGATATTTTGGATCCTGTCAAGTCGAGGTCGGCGTTGAGTGTATGATACGGAATAATACCCCTTTCTTGTCTTTGCTTTCCTTTGGTTCTGTCGATCTGACTCTACGGTCGTTTGGACGATGGTTTTGTTGTCTTTTTGATTGCTGCTTGGATACTCTATTTTCCTTTTGTTTTTGTGTTCCCAGTTCAATTCGAGTGGGTTATATTTCATTCTTCATCTTGCCGTTCTTGATCCGTCTTCAGTCAATCCTCCCGTGCCGTTTCGAATTTCGGATATGAAAATCTCCACATCTCAGTATCGGGGCATGTACCTCCGTATATCCATTCATAACATCGCCTTTTCCTGCGCAAGGCGCTAATCGGCAACCGAAACCGAGCAATGTTTTGAAAGGAAAAGTTCCCGCATTGCCTATTCGGATAAAGCATTCCCAATCTGATAGTTGCCCTCTTTGTCACCAGCGTCTAGAATCCTAGTCCTACCCCAAACCAACTTCTTTGTCGCGAGGAAAACTCTCCAACGTGCAACCCCTGTCCCCGCGACTCTTTATTCATGGCTTTGGAAGGGTTATAGAAGGATCTGTGTCCACGGCGTCGGGTCTCCTGGGAATCCCTACCTTGTCGACCCTATACCATCCAATACTACCACAATTCGCGCTTATTTTATTGTTGCAGTGGCAAGCGCTCGGGTATTGTGATATAAATCCAATCTCATATCACAATTTTATGGCTGCACAATATCCTATCGGCGGAGGGTTCCGTCCAAACGATTGGGAAGACCACAATCCGCTATCCAGCAGCTCTCTCGACACACCAATATCTTCCAATTTCTACTGGCCCAGTCCTTCCTCGCCTCAATCCTCAGATTTCTTCCCCTTCCCCTTCCCCATCTGGGACAGGCACAAGCCAAGCAGCGACCCTCCTCCCCTCCGCACGATCGAAGAACTCCACCTCGAAAGAACATACCTGATTGATTCCCTGCACGTCCAAGCTCAAACCGCAACCCAATTGATGCACAAGATCCCCATTTTGGAATCTAAGCTGCTACAACACCACTTGCGGCCTGCTCATCGCAAAATTCGGAAACAGCTTGGTTGGGTGAAGAGTCGATTGGGACAGTGCAGGCAGCAGGAACAGACGATTTGTGCTCGGTTGGAGCAGCTTGCTGGTGAGATTCAGAGGAGAGAGCAGTGGGCGCAGAAGGAGCAGGAGGAGGGCCGGAACGGGTTGGATGTGTATAGGCGAGAGCAGGATTGGGGGTATCAGCAGGGGGTTTCTGATGGGTTGGAGATGGGGAGGTGGAGGGAGAGGGGGAGGATGATGAGTTTGGATCCGGAACAGCCTGAGTTTAGGCCGCAGGGGTTGTTTCCGTGTATGTTTTGGCCGCCGCCGTCGGGACAGCAGGAGCAGGAGGAGCAGGGCGTTGAAGGGTGTACGAGGGAGGATATGTCTGAATATATTTCTGAGCCTCCTAGAGGAGAAAGTGAAGAGAGGGCAGAGAAGGAGTCGACGATATGTGAAAAATATAACTCACATGCTCTCAGTCTTTCAAGGAGGTCTGCGTCTGTGGATGGTGTTGACTTTCGGCTATTGGCGACACATGATTTGCTTGTACCCGATTCCACGCTCAAACGACACAGTTTTCCTGGATGTTTAGGTATTTGACCTCCAACTGCTAGAGAGCAGGCTGGAGCTGAAGAAGAGAAAGAATTGGACCGGAGAGTCTCAAGGCAAGCTTCTGTGGGATAGCGCGTTTGGATACGATTTCGGAGTGTAAGAGTTGATGCATATAAAAGATGGAGTTGAATTAAGGCAGGTGGATTTGCATTCATGGAGACAACATACCGGAGGATAGAAGGTAGATGGTTGGCGTAGGTGATTGAAGCATTGCGCAAGCATGGAGAAGGACAAAGAATTAGGATCATTCAATGGCGGAAGTCTGGCAGTTTGACGGCATTTAATTTGATCATCCTACTGGAACTCTCCAAACTCTCCATCATCAAACCCCAGATCCTCAATCGTTCCAGCTTTCGGTGGTTCGTAATTCTGACTGAGTCTCTTCTGCGCCTTAAGTTCCTGTGCACTCGGTGGAGGAGGTAACAACGATCCCAACGACCCTCCAGGCGGAGGAGGTAACGAGAATCCTCCCAACCCAGCACTAGATTCCTCCTTATTATTATTCCTCCTGCCCATTCCCCTCCCCCCAATACTCACCGTTATCGTCTCCCCCTCCTTCAGACTGAAATCCCTCTTCTCCTGCGGCTTCTCCTCCTTCACCGGTTTCCGTCCCCCATACTTCGCACTATCCTCTAAGCCCAACGTCTTCCTAACCTCCTGCAGCGCAACACTGAAATCAAACGCCTCACTCCTCTCCTCGAACCCCATGCCCAGAACCGCCTTCCTTCCCCCTTCCCCCTCAACCCTCACCGCAAAAAACCGACTCGAGTCAAGAACCTGCTCGACAATCACCGGCGCCGTATAAGGAGCTGCTGCAAACAGCTGGCCGTTCTTGGGGTCTTCTAGCAGGATATCTGTTTTGAGGGTCTCGCCGGTGGAGGTGGGGATTGCGGTCTCGAGGACCCGTAGGCGCGCGGTGAAGATTTGGCGCTTGTTGTTGTCGGCTGTCCAGGTTGCGGCGACGTAGCCCTTTGTGCTGGTTAGAGGGGGAATGTTGTAGATGTGGACGGATTGGGCGATGAAGAGGATGCGTTGGATGGCGTCGGAGGGGAGGGGTCGACCGGTTGCGGGGTCGATTGTTTCCATTGTAGGAGGCGGGAGGTTGCTGGATATAGTAGCGTAATGGAGATCTGGCCCGTGGAGCTGTTCTGTACAGCAGAATTGATGTTGAGGCTCGAGAGGCTGTCAATGTGGGGGGTGATGTTGATATTCAGACACTTTGACACGAGCGGGATGTAGCTGAAGCTTCAGCCACACGCTAGTACTGATGATGAGCCACAGAGAGGGGGTCCTTTGATATTTCACGGGATTATCCCAGATATTTGGTGTCTCTGCCAATGTGAATTGGAAAAAGGTACACTGAATTCTCTTGAATAAAATGTTTCCCATCTCCCAAGGTGTATAGGGATCCTTGCCCCCTCTGTGCACTGCTTCAAGTCGGAAAGGAGAAATGCTGGACCACCGAAAATCGACAGCTCGTGAACAAAGTTCAGATCTCCTGCTCATCTCCCGGCTTCCGGACCCCTTGTCTATTCCTTGAACTGCTATTCGCACAAATGTTCATCTATTGCACATCTATGGGATAAAAGCAAGACCCCGTACGCCCAAATATGTTCCCGAACGCCTCGCCCTGCTCTATCAAAACACTCCGCCTTCTTCTTATACATTGCTATATCTTGCTTCCGGGAATTGGACTCTTCCTGATAACGAACTATTCACTGGTGCTGCACCACTATATCCTGTATATCCAGTTGGCTCATCATGGACGGTTGGTGGTACATATCCTCCTCCATAGCTATTCGCATCGTACGGATTGCTCGAAGATCCCCCATATGTGCTGCTCTCGTGATCAGGGAGTTCGTGATCGTCGGTGTTGTGAACAGGGGCGTACTCGTCATCGTGGGGAGCAGTCGAGAATGCTTCCTTGTCTGGATCGATTTGCTGGGCATTGAAAGGTGCTCGGGATGCTCCTGGAAGGTAGCCTTCACGTTTGTAGTAGAAAACTCCGTAGAGGGACATGAATGTTGTTACGGCCCAGAAGAGCCTGTATTGTCAGCTTTTGCTTGCATGCCTTGTCGAAGAACCTACCAGATGAAAACTCCCAGTCCAACTACAGCCTTGCTGATCCCACATGCTCCTTTGCATTTCCCGCTCGAGTTGAAACTTGCTTGTGATGCGAATGCGGATATCCAAAGGATGAAGAAGAGGCCATCGACACATGCCATTGCGTAGGGATTTGCTAGCTTGCGGGTGCGAGGGAATCGAGGCGTCATTGTGAGATATATGATTGCAGGTACCGACAGAAAACACTGTTCAATTAGCACTGTGGTTTTGGCAGGGAGGGAATTGTTTACCAGTCCGAAGTACCACCCCGGCCTTCCGTCTATTTTCTCTGCTCCTTTGAAGACTGCTATTTCCATGGCCCAAGCAACAAGAATGAAGACTGCCTGTGCAATATGCACAAACATCTTTATCTTCTGCAAATTGTGGACATCGAATTCAACCATTCTGGGTGGTTGCTATGGTAAACAAGCCTTTGATTCGGCGGTAGATACGGCAATGCTTTCGGAACGAGCAATAGATGTGAACAAGGAAAGAAAGGAGCAGAAGAGGGGAAAATCAAGATGTTGATGTTGTCAGCCTGGGCAGATGTAGCGAAGGAGGCTCATCCACCTTAGACGCGTTGCTCAGCTCTTTCCAGGACAGCAACAGGCGAACAAATTATAAATAGTAATTCCGACATCCGGCAGATGTGGCTTGGGCGGCCGTTCAGCCACTGATCGACAAGCCACCCCGCATCACTCGCTAACCCTGAGTTCGCCTGGTAGAATCACAACAAAGCCTGACGGGGTGTGGTTGACATGTAATGGTGGAGAAACGGATGTAAGATTACCATATCCAGTTCACTTCTGATTGGTCCACCGAAATTTCTTCTCCTGCCAAAGTTGTCGCAAAAGCGATGACTAGAGTAGTCTGCTATGGATCGGACTTCATGGGACTAGATCCTCCTGGAAAGCCCAGGCAGCCCAAGTCTTCCCTCTTTTGTCCCCAATTCAACCGTTTTCAACCGAACCGAACCGAATAGACATGTATTGCACTAGTGATCTAAGGAAGTCCGCTCTCTAAGCAAAGTGAGTCTACACCTCGTCATTTATCCTCGCTTTGGCAGATTTTCAAAATTCACGTCCTAGCGTTTTGAATGTCTGGACAATTCTGTTGACTTCTAGCTCTTGTTTCTATCCAATCTAAACCGCTTTACCACCGCATTGATGAAATCTAAAAGAAATCTCTAGGGAATAGTGGTGCACCTCGAGATCATCTTGTCAGGGTCTTTTATGAATGACAATCAGGGATAATAAAGAGCCAAACACATCAATTTGACCTGACCTGATCGCTATCCAAATTTAGGTCTATATTACTGTCGTCTTGTTTGATTCAACTTCAGGTCTGTTTCGGTATCACATCCAATTGCAATTCTTTAGACTTGCTTGTCTTAACTGCGTGCCATTGCTCGCTCTTTTTGTCTCCAGCCTTGGGACAAATCCATGGTGAAAACTGGATCGCTGGTGAGTTTTGCTTAAATCAATCAGGATTTATCTAATTGTCACTAGCTGTCTCATATTCATAAGTTATAAGAAAGGCTGCGTGTCCTATGTTCGGTAAGTAGTTAGTATCATGTAGCACAAAGCGTGATCTCCTCCAGCGGAACTGTTGAAGCTATGCTCACGTGGCGACCGCGAAACTACTTCTTCCTCTCAAACAAATAGAAGACATCGGCACTACCTACCGTTCAATTGGATAACGTCTCCAATAAATGGTCGCGCAAGTTCCCCAGGCATCAGACTTGACAAACGAAGAACATCATTGGAGAGGCCTCACCACCTCAAGAAAAGAATAATTGAAAAAAAAAAAAAAAAAAAAAAAAAAAAAAAAAAAAAAAAAAACGCATACTCATGTGGAGGGTCCTTGAAGTCCTAAGAGCTTTAGCACAGGATTCCCAGGCTGTTGTTTCTCCAAAGTCCACACAAGTACGAGGAGATCATGCTCTCCATTCAATCCGTGAATGTTCTGTTGCTTAGAGGACCATTAAGAGGGACTCGCGGTATCTAGCTATCTTGACTGTGCTATATATGTTGCGGAGGGATAAGAGAAATAGACGGAAGGATATGGGGATTTCCTCCTCTGACCTGGAATGAAGGAGGAGAGGAACCTTGAGCGAGGGAACAGGTGTAGTTCGTAAACAGTGCCGAAATCAGGATTGCGGGGATAGAAAGAAAGTCCAGTAGCACATACACGCGGAACGACGAGAGAAAAAATAATAAAAGAAAGCAAAAGAGAACATCCATCTGCTATTGGAGATTACCGCAATCAACGCGTAAATTTTATGGCCGTCCACTTGGTGAAAGCTCTTCACAACCACACACAACCAAACACAAGCTCGGTGAGACGAGGATCAATACATGGAGGAAATCCGCAACTACATAACCAAGTATGCGCTACGGGGTATTCGTCTAGCAGAAGATGTGTATTGAAAAACAATTCGGAAACTGCTTGCATGCTAATGCCAATGATGCGCATATTTGCACCCCAGAAGTTAAACATCCAGAAACAAACTTTGGTATGAAAAGGCTCTGCAGTTTACTTCTTTGCCTTGCCCTTGCCCTTCGCTGGGCCCATTGCTGCCTCCCTTCGCTTGGCTTCGCGGGCGTCAATCTCGGCCTTCTTCGCCTTCTCGGACTCCTCGCGCTCCTCTTTCTCGGCCTGCACATGTTAGTTTTACACATTTCCTGCAAAGGAAATGAACATACCTGTTTTCTCGCTGCCTCCGCCTCTCTCTTCTCCCGAATCAACTTCAGTCTAGCCATATCCGCCTTGGCCTCATCAGTCTTTCCAGCCTCATGTAACTTCTGGTATCTCTCCTTCGCTTGCTGTGCCTGTACCGCCTCCCTCTCTCTACGGCTAAGCTCCGCCACCGGCTTCTTGCCCTTGCCAACACTCATATCCTTGACACCCTCAGCCACCTCTTCCACACTAGCCGGTGCTGCCTTTGCCTGATTCCTGGCAGCCTTGGAGTGGTTGGGGTTGGCTGGCATATCATCGTCCTCGCTGTCCTCCTCGGAACTCGACGGCATATCTCCAGCTTCGACAACCTTTCCCTTCTTTCTTGCGATAGCAGCTTCCTTCTTTGCCTTTGCGGCTTGACGGCGTTCCTCACGGGTCAGGGCTGGCTTGTTGGCATCTTCCTCCTCGGATGACTCTTCCTCGGACGAGGTCTCCTCCTCTTCAGATGATGATGCATTGGGGTCCTTTTCTTCGATTTCGTTTCCGTCTGCGTCGAGGGGTCGGAGGTTCTTGGAGAAGTGCTTGCCACCTAGTACTGTCAGTATATGCGATTGTGAGAAAAGTTTAAACACATACCTCCACGAGTAAACTTCTTGAATTTTCCACCTCTGCCACGCGCACCTCCTGGTGGTCCTCCTGGAGCCATTTTGTGCGACGAATGTGCTTTTTATTTAAAGAATCGTGCAAGTTCTGGCGATGATATCCTTCGCGTGGTTTGAGGCGTGAATGTCGTGTTTTTGTCTGGGGACAAGCAAAGTCGAGTCGAGTCCAGTCAAAGACGATGTACGAGTATTTGAAGAGACAAGAAACCAGTGGGCCATGGAGGGGTTAAGTTGGTTCACCCCAGTTGGTTCACCCCACCTTGACTCAGTCCAGTGAGAAAATAGGCTAATCTATTTTAATACAAGCGCCAATATCACATGACGCTCCCGAAAATTTGTATTTCTTCAGAACCCTTCTCATCCTCTTCTTCTCTCCTTACATAAAACACAATCCTTCATATTCACTCTGGCTTATGCCCAACAATGGCAAGTTCTTGGAGGGGAAAATGGAGGAGAGAGGAGAATCTATCGTTGATACTTACCCTGCGGCCTGTGGCATGAGAATGCGTTGGGCACGGAGAAATATTTTACGACGGGACATACACCATTTGGACAAGTGGACAAGTGATGCTGCGACTTAGGATATAAAGGGTAAGCATCTTGACCGTCAGAAGAGACTGGTCGAATGACTGGAGGAGGATGGTACGTCGCCGCTTTGAGCTTGATGGATGTGGGTTTCTTTGAGATATTTTCATACCATTGCTTTGTTCTATATGTGCACTTGTTTAGCATTGATTCACTGTTTTTGAATAATAACAACCGAACCAAATGGGTATTTCTTCAGGATCAATTCCTCCTTCGATGCCTTCTCTCAGTCCATGCGTGACTATCTAGCATTCGCATTCGACTTTGATATCTGTTCTACCATCCAGCAAGCCTGCCCTTATCATGATGTCCTCCTGCGGGCACGGCACAACCTTCTACTTCCTCCCACCAACCCTCGATTTCCTGGAAGAGAACTACCCGTATCTTCCCCACGACACAACAATCGACCGGTCTCTCCTCCGCTGTCAGTTCTGCGACCTCCTCGACACACAATACGCTGCCAACGTCGCAGAAACCGGACCTCCGAATCTAGAAAAAGAATCCGATATCGAAAATCGGATTTCGGATCTTAGACACGCTATCACGGAAGGTATCAAGACGGTTACCGAGAATACTCTACCGAAGTTGCAGAGGAAGTTGAGTGCCGTTGTGAGGGCTACTGATGAGCGAATTATAGAGGTTTGGATGAAGTATTGGGCTGTTTGGGGGCCGAAAGATGGGCCGGACAGAGGGGATGAGGATCTCAAAGAGCAAGAAGAGGAGGATTTCGAGATCGAATTTCCTCCTGCTGAAGAGATAAGTCCTGAACCTGTCCCAGAGCAGGTACCTCCGAAAAGGAAATCTACAGAGAAAGCGAGTTCAATGAAGACTGCTACAGAGAAATTGTTTCCGACGAGAAATTTTGCGGACAGGTCGGCTCCAAAGAGAACTGCTAAGGAAAGGGTTCCTGTAAAAAGGACTGCTTCGAAGAAGGCTGCGCGGGGAGAGGCCGCTCCAAAGGTGGACAGGAAGCGAAAAGAAGCTCACATGGTCGACCCTCCATCAGCTGGAACTACTGTCAAGCAAGGTCGTCCTGTTAAGAGACGTAAGAAATAAGCACCGCCGTTGCTCTGAACTTTATCGACGAGTTGTAGTGGCTCGGTGACCTAAACACAGTCATCCTCGAAAACACTCATCACTCGTCACTCATATTCACCTTTGAAAGTATATACAATAGAAAATCTCTAAAATTCTCATCATTATATGCACGCTATGATATCTATGACTTCTAGCATACTCGAGCCGATTCCTCATAATGAACACTTCTCCCAAACAGTGATTCCGAGGTTCTCCTCATCCAACCAGTCCAGTGACAAACAAGCGAAGCGATCCGCCTTGCCTCTACAAGCCGTCACCATCTTCATGTCTCGTCCCCCTCCATTTACTACCTCACCCAAACCACATGAAAAACTCTTCGCACCCTTAAAAATGTCAGAACCTAACATTCCAATTCTCCCCGAGAACGCAGAACTCCAGTATCTTGGCGAAGGAGCAGCTAACATCGTCTACCGCATCTCGATACCTCAGCCTCAGCCGAGCACGCCTCCGCCAACTGAACTGGACGAATATGGGGAGGGGACGCCGCCGCCGAGTGAGATTGAATTCAATCAGAATAGGAGAGATCTGGGGGTGTTTGAAAGTATGTATTCTATTCTACTGTGAATCACCACTGTGGTCGTTCGTGGGCGATGAGTGAGACGATGGCCAGCCACATCGATGAATCTCATGATTTAGCTCACTTGAGCCTCAACTTCTCCAGTCTTGACCCGAACACATCCCCTGCTCCCTTTCATTTCTGTCACTGACTACCTATACTAAACAGCCCCAACAGACAAACTCCTTCGCCTCCGCAAAGACCTACCAACAACTTTCCCTTGCCTCCACGCCCAATCAACCTGGACCCGCCTCATATCCCCTCTCTTCCAACCCTCCCAGCTCGTATCTCAAAGTCTCGTTTCCCTTCATCCAGGTTCATACAACCACATCACCACCCTCAACGACTCTTTACTCGCCTGGGAAAATGGCCTATCTTCAACTCCTCCCACAGCCATTTCAACCTCATCCAGACCACCAAAACGTCATGGCACCTACCTCGCCAACGACCCTCATGGTCTGCTAGTAACAGACATGAGCGGGTCCGGCGTCGTGCAATTCAAGCCGAAATGGCTTGCTCAGTCACCTTCTGCGCCGAGGGGAGCGAGGAGGTGTAGGCAGTGTGCTTTGGTTGCTAGGAAGGCGTTTCTCTCCTTGTCATCATCATCTTCCAAGTCTCAAAAAGTGAATCCAGGAGAGGAAGAGACCCCAGCAACATCTGCCTTGACGTTCTGTCCCCTCGATCTCCTCTCCACAGACAAGGAAATCATAAGGAAAGTAGCGGAATGTATCATCCTCAGCCAAAACACCGCCGCCACGACAACCAACAGCAACACGCACACAAACTCCAACGCTTCACAAGAGAAAGAGATCCTCGCCCTCACAGACTGGATATCCACGACCTCCTCACTAAAAAGACTGCGAGACGTCCAACTAGCCATGGATAAACACGGTATCCTAGCTGCTGAGGCGCCAGCGAGTGAGGAGTTGAGGGTCGCGATGACAGTGAGGGATTGTAGTGTTTTTGTAAGGTTGAATTTGGAAGGGGATCTTACTATTGGAAGTGGTGAGAGTCAGAAGAGGGTAGGCGAGGGAGGGGGAGATGGATTGGGAGGAAATGGGAAGAGAGAGGAAGAAGAGCTAGAAGCCAGGATAGGAGATCTAGATGTTAAGAGTCCAGAGAAACTGGGGTATTGGAAGGAGACTGAGAGGGTGCTGGTTGAGGAGGGGTGGTATGCTGGAAGGGTGGAGGAAGGGTGGAGTAATACGTGTTTGTTGGGGAGGGAACTGTAGCTTGTCTATGTAGTGGGAGATACTTATCTGTAGGTGAGATGTTGGAGAGAGGATGCGGTGGAGTTGGAGTCGGGAGTTTGAGTAATGAGAGGCTGATTGTCTACATATCATGTTCACATTTTCAGTTCATTACTGTCCTGCTTCTCGGTTATTTCAGAGGAGGTTGTAAACATGAGAGGGCACAGCTTGCTCGAAGGAAGGTATCTGAAGTGCATTGACATGCCATTATGCATATCTCGGATTTTATTCGTGATTCTCATCATAATACAATCTCAGTATCAAAGTCTGTCTGTCCATCAACTCCCCGAAATGACCCAGATGCAAAAAACGCCGTAATCTGCCCTATTTTCCACCTTCCCATCTCAGAATCAGAATGCTCATATCCATTTCTCCCAATCAGTTCACATTCATCTGGCTTCCCCTTCAAACTTTAGTTCTCTTCGGCAACGGCTCGCCATCAGACGAATCGCTATCCTCATCACTAGGGCTCCGCCTCTTCCCATTCTCGCCCTCAATCTCCTTCCCCTTCCCTTTCCCTTTACCCTTCGCCAAATCCTCAAAGCTATCAAACTTAACCCTTGCCTTATACGCCTCCAACAAGCGCACATAATCAGCCACCACCCCCTCAAGAACCTCATCCAGCTTATCCAGCCTCTCATCCTTATCCATCTGGCTCAGCAGATCCTTGTTATGCTTATACAAGCGCTTCTTAACCCACAGTCTCCACAGCCCATACTCTCGCATCTTCGGGTTCGCATCGTCGAGTACATCAGCTTTGCGGACTGAGGACGGGATGCTGGCTAGGAGGTGCATTTCTACGACGCGGAGGAACTGTCGAGGGGCGATCTTCATGCGTTTGCGGATCTCTTCGAGGGCGGGTAGGTCGACGATGTTATTTGGGATGGCTTCTTCGGGCTGGGGTGTGATTTTGGTGTTGATTTTGATGGCTTTGAAGTCCGGTAGGGTGCGGAGGCGCCGGAGGTCGTTGATGTCGCGCATGTCGTCGAAGGCGTAGTTGGGGTCCTCGACGGTGATTTCGATGGTTTCGGGCTCGGCGAGGTAGAAGTCGAATATGGATTTGTAGAAGCGGGAGCCGTAGCCTGCTCGTTGGAAGGGTGGGAGGATGATGAATTGTGATATGCGGGACCGGCAGGGGAGGGATGAAAAGGATATGTTGTCGATGGGGAGTGTGAAGTCGGCTTTTGCTTCTTTCTTTGATCCTGATTCGTGTGCGGCGGCTTGGAAGTGGAAGTATCGGTAGACGGTCGAGTATCCCATGAAGATATACGGATTGTCCTCTTTCTCTGCGACTCTCTGGTAATAGAAGAACACAGTCCACCTCTCCAGCGTCCATTCCGGCTCTTCCAAGTCTAGAGTAACTCCGCCTTCAATGAACAGTGGTACCAGGATTTGAATGCGCTTAAGAAGTTGCTGGACGGCGACATCTGCGAGATTTCCCTTCCATACTTCTACTGTCTCGATACCGATCTGAATCGTCTGCCATAATTCTCCAGGCGGCTTCCAATCCTTCATCATAGGTTCCGAGATAGCCTTATCAAAGATCGAGGGCTTCTCAAGAGCAACTGATCACCTGTCAGCAAATTCCCCAGTCCACAAGGATGTAGTTCATACTCTTAGGCAACAGAGGTTCTAAAATTCCCTTCACATCCGTAGCTTCCGTCTCACCAACTGTCGTGAACTTCTTATTGAACGAAACCTGCAGATTCGGACGCATATCACTGGCATTGTATTGTAAATTGATCTTGAGCCCTTGGTATCCAAAGATCCGCTCCTCTTCGCCGAATATCGAGTATGTCATCTTAGGGTGGAAATTATAGAGGCTTCTAGGCCTGCCGACATCTGGGACGACGAGTGAGATGGAGAGGGCATCGTTGGACTCGGTGGACCCTGTTTCAATGGTTGTTAGCTTCCTGGCTTAAAGGTGAGAGGGTACGTGCAGACGCGCTGGAACGAGGGAGGTTTGCGCCGGGAGAATTGGCTGCTTGATTTATGGGAGGAGGAGATTAAAATACTCACAGTCCGCTGCTTGATCTGCCATTTTGCTTGTGGGGAGTCTGCGAAAGCTGTGTAGGGAGAGTCGTGTTGTAGAAGAGAAGATGTCTCGCCAATTGATTTTCGCGATGTGAACTTGGAAGTTGACGCGACTTGGATGGGTCCACTTTCGACTTTCACTTAAAGCTTGCGCGCCTCAGGCAGAAAATAGAGTCAATAACGAGACAGCCATGAGAGGTGAAGGCATGATTATGTAGCTATTTATTGTGATTATTACAATCAGGCTTCGAAGCTTGATTCTGTATATTTGTTGCTACACCTTTGAGACTTGATGTCATGCTTTTGGTATGACATATGCCGGTCGATATACAACCGAGTAATTGTATCATTATTCCATCTGCATCCAATGTCTATACAACCAGAAACGCCCAGCTAAGATCACAAACCCTCAATCTTTCACAGATATCATATCAGACAACCACCTAGCAAAACTTACACTCCTAGCATCCACCTCCCTAGCCACAATATCAGCTGTCCAAGACAGCAAAGGAAACATCACCACTCCCGCTAATCCAACACCCATCGCATACTGCAAGCCAGGCGCTCTCCCCGTCCACTCCAGCGTCTTCGCACTCAGATTCCAGCCGAGAGTATACAGAAAAGTGCCGTGGCATATGTACAGAGCGAAACTGATCTTGCCAAGATACTGCGCTATGCGAGTGGTGAAAATGGATTGCAGGAAAGGCGCGTTGTCGAGTATGAACACGAGATAGAATGCAGCGATGAAGATCCAGAATGTGTCTTGGACATATTCTACTCCGGCGTAGTGGGGAGGGAGGTAACTGGAGAGGAGGATATAGCCGGGTGAGTTGGTGGCTCCGAGGTCGATTGCTGGCATGCTGATTATGAACAAGGCGAGGAAGAAGTTGGCTAACCATAAGGACTTCATTGATGTCCATTTAGATGGAGCCAGTGAGGGAGAAGCCGAGGTGGGGATCTCATCGTCTGTGGTTTCGACCGTGTGGGATTTCTGGAGCTGGGAATTGCTCTCACGTGAATGATGAAGTTCGGCGAGGAGGACTCCGCTGAGGAAGAGGAACAGATGAGGATAGGCGTAGTAAGAGAGATAGAAGACGATCCCGCTTAATATGGCTATCCTCCAAGGTCCTCTAACACGCGAGAGTGCCAAAAGAGTGGTGAAGATTACCATTGAGCCATGAAGTTCCACGGGAATCGTCCAGAGATTAGTATCGTATACTGGATTATACCCTCCTGGGTAGTTGTTCGGACGGAAAGGGTCAGAGAGCCCTATTACGCTGTAGTACCATGATTTGAGATGTTCCCAGAGAAATGGTGACTGAGGAGGTTCTCTAGATCCAGTGCCGGAAAACCCACCTCCTGTGCCGTAAAATCCAAAGTAGGTGAACAGCATGGAGAAGAATGTTGTTGTTGCAGGTGGAAGTACAAGTCGCAGTCCACGGCGAAGCACAGATGAGGAGAGTGAGTCCAAGACTTCTTCATATCGACCTTTCCGAGTGAGCGAAAGTGCTTTGTAGCTCAATGAGAAGCCCGACACAACGAAGAAGATAGCCACCATTGCAGGTCCAGAATAACATAGTCGAATTATGGGCAGTTGTATGAAATGGTAATCCTCAGGACTGCTTCCCCATCCACGGTTCAATGGCCAGTACCACAATACCGAGGAGTGATGGAATACGACCATCAGTGATGCGACACCTCGAAGCCCATCTAGCCATGCTGTAGGATGGAGTTTCTTCGGTTTATTATCCCCCTTTCTCATAAAACTCGGTGTAATCGCAACGAGAAACGCGAGCAGTATACAACGCAGCCAATCCCAGCTCGGTAGCATCTCAGCCACCCATCCACCTCTCTTTCCATATCTCTCTTTCAGTGCAGAATCAAACGCTGCAGTTTCGCTGACACGGGTTCGACGATTTGCAATTTCTGGGTCATATTCGGGATGATCTGGGGAAAGAAGTTCCAGCTCTTCAGGAGTGGAGAGGGGCTGATACGTGGGTTGTGGTTCGGCGAAAAGGAGATGTCGATTTCGCCATGCAAGCATGGTCTTGCGGATAAGGAAATCCATGAGGAGGAGTAACGAACGTGTGCTAGCAATACATCGGAGCAAGAATGAGCAAAAGATTGACTGTACAACGCAAGAATTGAAGAAGAGTGAAGAAGAGCTGAAAGTCAGATAAGAGAAAAGGATACGGGAGATCTGAGCCTGGCGGAGTCAGTTTAATGGGGCGCGCTTGTGGCTTCCAGGGGCATGGCTGGGCTGCTGAATTCAGATAGGGATACTTGGCAGTCTTGGAGATCTAGATTTGAATCTCCATCCCCGTTGAAGCTTTCCCAAGAATCTTTTCTTAGGATATCATAGAATCCAATTGAAGTCATAATATGAATATGAAAGATCGATATCGTGTTGAACTGAAGCTCTTGCGAGACAATTGACATCTGGGTCATTCCCGTAATGCATGTGTTGAAGAAAAGGATAATCAATAGTGAGATATTGTGGCGTTTTCAGGGTGGTGAGATGACGGGAACGATACCTCGATAGGGGAATGCAGAATCTCAGGGGCGAATAAGCTTAATGCCTGCCTGGAAGGGCTGGGCCCAACGCCTCGGTCTAGACTGGCCTATTTTGGCGAGCCTTTGTTGACTTTGTACTCAGATACATCTCACAAATAGACATGCTGAACGTTTCAAATGGTCCTTGATAATATAAAAATAGTCATATCTATTTACATCGGCACTGCTTGTTGGGCCCGCAACAATGCAAAGGCTGATTGTGTACACTGAGGAGGCACACGGAAGTACGGGAGAGGTCCCATCGATTGGACAACTCCTTGATGAGCCCTCTTCACACCATCACAAACCTGCGCCTGCTGCATCTCTTCTCAATGTGTTGGAGGTGATTTCGAGTGTTAGAATCAGTTAGACCGAGCCGAGTAGGATGCACAGGCAGCAGCGTATGTGATATTGAGCCTGCTGCCAGTTGCGTACCTACACTGGGATAAAGTAGCCATTGGTTATACGTCTTGCATATACAGTACCTGGCGTCAAGTAAGAACGCACAGAACAGACGCCGAGTATACCAGTTAATAGGTGAGTCGTAAGCAGAGCCCAAAGACAGGCCTGGTGATCGAAGGCTGGATGGAGAGAAAGAATCACAATGGTAAGTGTTGCGCAGAGTATCTCAGTTGAACCTTCAACATTTTTACTTTGCCATGTATCTCACGTCAAACCTCCAACTATCCCTAGCTCCCTGTTACGTATCCAGCGTCATTGTACGACTCAATCAGAAGTTAGGCACTTCAATTTTGTTTTTGTGTCTCTGCTGATCCAGTCCAGTCTTTCAATATGTGTAAGAGAGACGTCCTGTCGGAAGTACCTGTGTCTCTGCTGATCCAGTCCAGCCTTTCGATATGTGTAAGAGAGACGTCCTGTCGGAAGTACCTACCTAAGGTAGGGGGACGGATTGTCTCAGCACGCGGCAGTTTCGTGAGACCTGGACATGTTTCAATTGCCCACTCCTCCCTCAAGCGAGATCAAACACCAAAATAGTATGTCAACAATGCCTCATCAACTTCGGAATTGAATCCTTTATCTATTCTCCCTCTCGGCTTCTGCTGAGATATCCTGGTTGCCGACGTTAATTACAACTCCTTTTCAAAGATCTAGGAGGGCGGGATCTCCTCTTCAAACAAGCCAACATTTTGAGATACGATAAATGTGCTAGCAGTCTTTCTTCAGTTACCACGCTTTAGATGTTGAGTAATGAGAACCAACCCCTCTTTCTTCTTCGTCCATTCAAAAGCTCCCCTAAGCCTTCCGACTCTTTGTGATTCAAGCTTCAAGGACCGCTCGGTGGTCTTCACATACTACAGTATCGAAGTCATACGTCTTCTCGGTAGCGCAGAGTTACATCTCGAACGAGCGTCTCCGGATATTCATTTCCCGTCTCTTATCCCGCCGTCCTCCTCTCCTTCCTCGTTTGTTCGTTCCAACCACCTCATATCCAACTTAGGAATCCTTCCTCAGAAGAACACAACTTCTTCGCTATTCGCTATCACAGTACTGCACCATTCTTCCAGCTGTGCGATCTTCTCTACTGGTGTGGATTTGTGCTGATTTCCGAGTTATCTCGATGGAGGGTTAGGATAATGCTTTCAAGACTTTTTCCCCCTGGATTTCGAGCTGACGGAGAGGGGAGGAAGGGAAGGGAAGGGGAAGGGAGGTTGGAAGAAATTGGGAGGATGAATTACCTGCTTGATTTCAGATCTTGTCGTTATTCCGGTGCCATACTAATCAGTATTGGCCGGTACAGCAATCGAGACGGTCCAGACAATCCGTCTTCTTTTCTGTCATCGTACTGATATCCCCTCCTCATCTATTACGTCTCAATCATTTTGTATCTCCCCATCGAAAAAGCGCGTTTCTCGTCCTCTGTTCAATCGAGTTGTTTGTTTTGTCCGCATATGGATCCCAAGCCCAAAGTGGGGGTGTTCTCCCTCTGAACCCGACGTGCCTGTCGATCACCCCCAAAACTCCCTCCACGTCCTCTCGGCCAGCCTATCTCTCATCCTCCTCCCCTCCCAGCGTTTCCTCTCAACCTCATCTTGTTCCCCTGCAGTACTCCTCCTCTTCGTCCCTCTGTAATCCCATTCCCGTAACTCTGTATCCGCTGTACTTGCTGATGAGGAGGAGGATACTGAACCCCAGGAGGTGCGGCGCATGAGTTCGGGCGTGTGGTGTGGATGTGGGCTGGAGCTGGTGATGGAAGGCCCGGATAGAGTGGTAAGGAGGGGGAGGGGAGCTGTGAGTAAGCGGAGTGCAGAGTCGGTGACGGTCATGATTTGAGGTATTTGGTTTCCTATTGAGGATGGTGGGGTTTTCGTTGCGGTTCTTTCATTACTCAATAATGCTCAGTAAACAAGGTAGAGTAAAGGTATAAAAGAAGAGTGGTGAAGTTGTAGTTGAAGATTCGAGATTGCATACACGAAGAGGCTGAAGTCTGACCTACTTTATCACACCTCCCATCCAACCCGTCACACCCAATAAGAACATCCCAAAGACTCACTCACTCATCACAGCTCCCTCGCATCAAACCCTCCCAGGGTTCGCATAAACCTTCAGCGCCTCCAGTTCCTCGCAGCTTTACTGTATTCAGCAACCAGTCCCAAGAATTGATACTCATCGGTGGGGCGAGTTGCGACTCTTCAGCAGCACTTCTGTCGCGGGAACGGGTAGTGCGCCGTTTCAAGCAGCCATCATCAAACAGCGAGTTTTGCTGTTTTCGTTTCGCTCTTACACACCGTGCGACGGAGACCTGAGAAGATCAGATCAGATCCTGGACGGAAATAGAGTTGATCAAACGCGGGTATTCTTTCCGGTTTGCTCTGATCTCATAGGTTCTGGCTGTAAGTACCTAGGTATCTTGGCATAGGCCCTGTGATAGAGGGGTAGCGGGGTACTTTCCAGAGCTGTACCTTGGACAAGCTACCTACCTGCGACATACCTACGACCTTCTTTCGAGCACTCGTACTTTGGAAGAATGACCACACCACGAGTATTCATTGTTCGCCATGGTGAGACGGAATGGTCTCTTAATGGAAGGCATACAGGGACATCGGACATCCCATTGACTGCCAATGGAGAGAAGCGGATAATTGCAACGGGGAAGGCATTGGTGGGAGATGATCGATTGATTGTTCCAAAGAACTTGGCTCATATGTATGCATTCCTTTCTGCCCTTCTTTCAAGCATTGAAATTGAAAACTTCATGTATTTGTGTAAATACATTATACTAACTGTATCCCATCAAACAGCTACGTCTCCCCACGGAAACGCGCCCAAAAAACCCTCGAACTCCTCTACCTAGGCTGTCGCGTCAAGCTCCCCTGGCAAGAGAGCCGCCAGCACCCAGACGAAGATATCCGCACAGAGGCAAACGTGGAGATCACGGAGGATATCAGGGAGTGGGATTATGGCGATTATGAGGGTATTACGAGTAAGGAGATCAGAGAGTTGAGGAAGAGGGAGGGGAAGGGCCCGTGGGATATCTGGAGAGATGGATGTCCGGGTGGAGAGTGAGTCGACATCATCCACCCCCTTGATCTTGTATCCCATACCGCGCTCTCATGTGCTGGCGGGCTCTGCATTTAGTTCCGCTTTGAGAGATTTCCAAGACGTGAACAAGATGTAACAAAGGCTGATGACTTTGATTCCAGATCCCCCGACCAAGTAACCCAGCGCCTCGACCGTCTCATCTCCGAGATCCGCGCAAAGTACCACTCCCCCGCCATCGGGCTCCCCAAAACCCAAGCCCCGCCTGGTGACGTCCTACTCGTTGCTCATGGACATATTTTGAGGGCTTTTGCGATGCGGTGGGCGGGTAAGACGTTGCAGGACGGACCGACTTTCTTGCTTGAGGCGGGGGGTGTGGGGACCCTGAGTTATGAGCATTTGAGTTTGGAGGAGCCGGCGATTTTGTTGGGGGGTGGGTTTATGGTTTGATTGTGGGATGGGGGGGGGGGGGGGGGGGGGAGGAGAAGGGGAGATGGGGGCGGGTATTGATGATTTGGAAGAATAATGAATGATGGACAAAGGATGAGGAAGTTTTGAGTATCTAAGACGGCAGAAGAATTAGTAGATGAGGCATCTGCTCGAACAAAGTACGGCCATATGAACACAGGAGGATAGACGTTCCTGCCAGTAGCAATACCAATAGCAATACCAATAGCGATACCAATGACATTCATATTCATATCCATATTCATACTCATACCTCTGCCCTGGAACAAATAAAATATCCGGGAACACTTCTTACCTGTAAACCAACCGACAGGTTTCCAAATCCACAGTCCAGTTGAGGAAGTCCGTTGTTTACTTCCATTGCAAATCCTCTCAACGACAACCACCCCAAGCGAGAGATCCTTGACCCACACCCTCCTTTCATCCATCCCCGAGTACTTCAATCAGTCACTGCTTCCTAATGGATGGTACCTATGGTATGAAGTCACCACGCTTTCACAAATTACCACCTAGTGCGAGTACGTGCAGGAAGTCCAGCTTCTAATTCGGACTGAGACTGGACTTGGATTGGGGTTGGGAAGGCCATGATCCTGTGTGAGCTCGGAAGAGAGGAGAGGTGAGAGGTGAAGTTACGATCGAGTAATGATCGAGTAATAGCCGAGTTCCTGACTCCCCCCTAGCACCCCTACCAACCCAAGCTCAAAGTCATGCTACCCTGCCCCGGGGTACTCTACCTAAGCTTCATTCAGTCAAAGCCCCCTTCTGTTTTGAGGTTGTGATCGAGTAATTATCGAGTAAGAGTAACCGAATGAAGGGCCGTGAGTAGGTAAAGTAAAGTATGGTTTGGATTGGAATGTCTGGATCTAGTTAGTGGCTGGCTGGCTGGTGGTGTTTAAAGTTAAAAGATGGATTTTGGATCCATTATTGGAAAGTTAGGAAGGAGTTCGAGAGGCGAATGTTGTGTAAGAAGCTGGGGTGGGTTTATCCAATGTGATGGGTATCTTGATTGGTATTTACTCGAATTAAGATAGCTGGCTACGAGTATTTGGGAAGATTGATATTGATAGTGATATCGATCATGACCTCGCTGGTTCGTCAACCTCTGCTCTGTCGCCAGCCCGCCCACCATAAGCTCCTCCATCTAGGATGATTTCCTCGTTGTCTTCTAATGAGTCTTGTACTCTTCGCCAAGTCTGCTTCTTCGTGATTTCTACCTTTCCAGTCTCACTTTCTTTCCCCTTCCCTTTCCCATTGTCGTAAACAGGTTTGATAAGTCCTTTCAGCAAAGGATTCCTACTAAACGCTCCCGTCCTCCCTCCATTCCCATTCCCACTAACCTCCGCCAGAGGATACTCATCTTCAACATCCTCATCCTCATCCTCACTAGGAACATGATCATAAACAGGCTTCTCCACCGCCGCCATCTTCTTCACCACCTTCCCCTTCACCAAATCAATACTAACCACCTGCCTCCTCTTCTCATACTCGGGCCTGGCATTCCACTCCTGCTCCGCCAGCACCTTCTGCTGCCTCTTCAGCGTGCGCGCCCTCTCCGCCGGACTCGCCCAGATATTAACCCCGGCCGTAACCGGCGTCTCGAAATCAGCCGCCTCGTCCCTCACAGTCGTTCTTTTCGCATTCTGCGCCTGGAATCCCAGCAGCCGATCACGATGTTCCTTGGCCGCTGCTTCAGCGGGACTCATCCCCACAGTATCTCTGGGCGCAGAAAATGGTAAGGGTGCCTTGGAGACTTCAGCTCGGCGATGGGTGGAGTTGTCGAGAAGCATCTTCTCTCTTCCGCGCTCCTCGCGGAGCTCGCGGATCATGCCTTGGACTTCGAGGGCGGAGAGGAGGGGTGAGGAGCAGAATGTGCAGGGGCCGAGGCCTTCTTTGACGCAGATTACTTTCCCGCAGTTGAGGCAGTTGGGCGCGGCTGTTAGGAGGGGGTGCCGCGAGCCGATGCAGTTGCAGGCGCGTTTGGAGGCGGGGAGGAGGAGGGTGGTGTTGGTGCTTATTTCGAGGGTGCGGATCGCGGCGTCGAGGGAGGTGAGGGTTGTGGAGGCGCCGTGCATGGGGGTCCCGCCGGTGATGGCGATTTTGGTGGGTTTGGAGGAGGAGGAGGACGAGGAGGGAGGTGCTGGGGAGGATGTTCGTGTTGTGGGGGTGCTTTTGGATTTGAAGTCTGATATTAGGGTGCCTGATGCGGAGGGGGGAGCTTTGTGAGGGGTTTGGGTGGCGGATGGTTTGGGGTCGAGGGAGAAGGCATTGTTTGGTGTTGAGGTGCCGGAATTTGTAGGTGTTGGTCTTTTTGGTATGTAATCATCTTCGTTCTTCTTGGTATATGCTGTGCCTGAAGCAGCATATGTGTTTTCGATTTTGCGAGCGGGGAGGGCATGGAGGGGCGCTTTCTTCTTGGGTGGTTTGCGGGTGCTTCTTGGTACGCCGGAGGAATCTGAGGATTGGGATGATGATGCTGGTTGTGATTTTGCAATGGGATTTTGCCGCCGTGAGTTGAAGGAGGAGATGAACTCGATTGATTGTGGTGATTCCCCTAGGAGGTTGTTGAAGTGATCTGCGGCTTCTTGCTTCGAGAGTGTGGCTGCATAGTCTAGGACTTGCTGCAGATCAGGTTCTGGTAAAGGAAGGAGTCGTGATAGTTGTGATAGAGACATGGTGATCTGTGATATTTATCCAGGTCTCCGTCAGAGTCTATCGTGTTGAAGCTGTTTGTTTATTTTACAAAGTCGAGACGAGCTCTACAAATAAAGTTGCAAGATGCGTCATCCGGACATATTTTACCCGGAGTTAGCCCCTGTGATCCCATCCCCTGTACCGTACCTCGCCTAACTACACTCACCCCCAAGTTCCCAACTCCAAGCCCCCCAAGACTTCAGCCCCCCACCTACCCAGTCCGCGGAACTCGCCTGTAGAGAACGACAACCATCTTCCTTTCTCATCCAGTTTTCCACCCACCCGAGTCACCCACTCTGCAGGGCGTGCAGGGCTTATATCAGCCTAGATCAGGGTCGTCCAGCATGTGAGAATGAATATTGATTTGTCTTTCTATTACGTCTCGTTGAGGCCGATGTTGCCTTGTACCTGACAGACCTGTTCCTGATGAAACCAGTAACTTAGTACCTGAAGCCGAACCTCTCCGACGGTACAGCCGGCATGAAGATGGCCTCAACATCGCCTAGTGCGCCCCTCTCTAGCCGCAAGACTAGATTTGCGGTTTACTCGATAGAAACTCGTTGTTACTCGACCAAAACTGGCGATAGGCCCATTCCCAGCATTGACAGGCTCTAGCCATGGTACCGTTATCGCCCGAACCGGCAAGGTGAGAGCTGCTGAGATACGAGATAAGCAACCCGAATCTTGCTGGGCTGTCTGTCGATGAGCAGGTGGATACAGTGCTGCACCCCACAAAACCCTGGAACTAGATGGCTTGCTCTATTTCATGGATAGAGATTTAGCTTGACCGTCTTTTCATTCTTCTTTTGTTCTTTTCAGTCTTCCTACAGATCTTCAAGTGAAAGAGCACAGTTTATACTACCTTTCATCCCTTCGCTAGCCTCGTCTCAAGGCTATTTTCTTATCTCAACCACCCTCAACAGTCCGATAAGCACAATTTACTTTCAAAACTGTCTATTTTTACCTGGGAATAGTCTTAACCGGTTTATAATTCATTCCATCACTTTTTTGTTTCGAAATCGGACCCCAGTTGCCCACCATGTCAAGTCCTAGGAATACCTTCTACCCAACACCCGCATATACACCACCTCACCACTCCAATATCCCACTTACGGTATTGGTTTCTTCCAGGGCTGTCATTTTCGACCAGGAAAACAATCTGGTAGTTTCGCCAGCAACTATCACCATCTCACCTCAAACCGGGACCATCATATCCATTCTTCCAACCGTACTTCCAGCCTCGAGTTTCCCAGCTGACACGGCCTATATCGACCATACACCTCATTTACTCCTACCAGGACTGGTCGATGCTCATGTTCATTTGAATGAGCCCGGACGAACAGAATGGGAGGGATTCAATACTGGAACGAGAGCTGCTGCATCTGGTGGTGTGACTACTGTCATTGATATGCCACTGAATGCAATTCCTCCAACTACTACTGTCGATGGCTTAAAGGAGAAAATCAAAGCAGCTCAAGGAAAGTGCTGGGTTGATGTTGGTTTCTATGGTGGAATTATCCCCGGAAACTCTGAAGAGCTTCTTCCACTAGTCGAGGCTGGTGTCAGGGGTTTCAAGGGATTCTTGATTGAAAGCGGAGTAAGTCTTCAGGTACATAAGACTGAAGCATAGCTAACAATACAGGTCGACGAATTTCCCGCGGTCTCCTCATCAGATGTTGCCCTTGCAATGAAAACTCTCGCCAACTCGGCAACAACTCTCATGTTCCACGCTGAAATGATCCCACCCATCACTGACTCCGTAGGCGACGATGTCCAAACTTCCCTCCCTCCATTACAACCTTCAGGACCCCTCACATCCTACAACACATTCCTCTACTCTAGGCCCCCCGCATTCGAAACCTACGCTATCGAAGAGATCCTCTCCCTCGCTCACCTCGCTCCCAATCTCCCACTTCACATAGTCCACCTCTCCGCTCTAGAAGGCGTCCCTATCCTCCGCGCAGCACGAGACCGCGGTATCAAAATCACAGCCGAGACATGCTTCCACTACCTCGCTCTCGCATCAGAAGACGTCCAGGACGGCGACACCCGCCATAAATGCTGTCCACCCATCCGCAACGCCGTCAACCGCGACGGTCTCTGGGACGAACTCTCCCAACCAGACTCAGTCCTCCAAACCATCGTCAGCGACCACAGCCCCTGCACGCCAGAACTCAAACTCCTGCCAGAGCATCTCGGTCACGGGTGTGGTTCCGGCGCCGGGCAGGGCCACAAAGGCGTGAATGGTGAGATGCTGACAGCGGAGGAAGCAGAGGAGAAGGAACGCGGCGATTTCTTCGCGTCCTGGGGAGGAATTTCATCCGTTGGTCTTGGCCTCCCAATTCTCTGGACGGAAGCCACAGCGCGGGCACCGACTTCCAAATCCCCCATCACGATCCTCGACGTCGTGAGATTGTGCTCGCTTAATACCGCCAAGCAGGTTGGGTTGAGCCATAAGAAGGGGGCGCTGAGGCCGGGCATGGATGCGGATATTTGTGTTTTTGATGATGAGGGGACGTTTGTGGTGGGTAGGGAGCAGATGTTGTTTAGGAATAAGGTCAGTCCGTATCAGGGGAGGAGGATGAAGGGCGTGGTGAAGCAGACTTGGGTTAGAGGGAGTTTGGTGTTTGAGAGGGGGGCGGAGAATGATGGGTTTGTAGGAAAGGGGGGTGTGCCTGTTGGGGAGCTGTTGTTGGAGAAGAGGACGGTGTAGAGGGTGCTTTGCTTGCTGGGCAGATATTTTGGTTGTATTCCCGAGGGGTTGGGTAGGCGTGGCGAACTTCGCTTGTCGTTATTGACAATCGGGAAGTGTGAGAGTGAGGCAACATGGAGGGGAGCATTAGCATTAGAGGAGTATTTCACGGGCACTTTGCGCAAGGGGTTATTAACAGCCAAACACAGATATTTTAACGAAGTTATGTATTGATGCAGCAAAACAAAAATTTAAACAGCAGTATGCGATTCTCATTCCCTCCTGTCTTTCCTGCTCCGTGTCTCCCCTTCTATCACAGCTGAATAATACTAAATAGCATTCATACCAAACCCCAGCTCCTTAACATCATAATGCGCTACCCTAGCAAGACACTCCACCTCCTACGTATGAATCTGCAAACTTATAGCTGCTTATTATCGTCTGTACGAGTTGAGTTCTCTTTGAAGTTTGTAAGCTCCAGTAAAAAGGAGAAAAGAAGAAAGGTAACAGACTAGTCCAAGTACTCTCAGGGAGGTTTAAATATCCAGTCATCTTTCAAAATGTGAAATCTGGGAGGACTCGTTGAGCTTTCCTGACCATTCGATCATACAATTTGATGTCAACGGAGCTCAGAATGCCAAACGCAGACCATTTGCATGATACAGAAATTCTCTATATACGAAAACAACAAAATCAACATATTAACACTACAGTTCAGCATGTCTTCGAAACCTCATCCTCCTTCATCCATACCTCAGCCTCGTCAGCCTTGCATGATGACCCACCACAGCCTCGCGACGCGATCGATCGCGTCTCACATCCTCAGGGCAAACCTCAATCCTCACCTCCCAATGATCATCATCACTCAAAACGCCATAAAATGAAATGCCATTCTCCCTCCCGCACACGCTCAAGGGCGCACAATTAAAGCAAATAGCATTCAAATGCGGCATCTCGACATCAGGCACGAAATCTGTGCTTATTCAGCGTCTGCAGGATGAAATCAACCAGAGCGCGAGAGAGAGCGAGTGCAAGAGCAAGAGCAAGAGCAAGCCGCTTAGGATCTTGAGCATTGATATGGGGATTAGGAATCTGGCGTATTGTATACTTGATGTACCGGCTCGTCGGGGTCTGCTGCCACGAGTGGAGACTGGAGCTGGAGTTGGATTGCAGAGGAAGAGAGCATTGCCGTCTATCCATACGTGGCATCGACTCGCTGTATCTAGTCCTCCTCCTCCTCCGACTGCAGCTCTTCCAACTGATGGTGAGGAGTCGACTGAGAAGATTCCGGTAATTAAAGAAGCGTTCGATCCTTCGACCCTGTCACAGGCTGCGTACACTCTCCTACGCACGCAGATCCTCCCTGCGAATCCGACACATGTTCTGATTGAGCGCCAGCGCTTCAGGAGTATGGGCTCGAAACATATATTGGAGTGGACGGTTAGGGTTAATATGTTTGAGAGTATGGTTTATGCGGTGCTTTGTACGTTGAAGGGGGAGGGGTTGTGGGATGGGTGTGTGAGGAGTGTGTTGCCGGGGAAGGTTGGGCCGTTTTGGGTTGGGGAGGAGGGTGATGGTGAGGAGGGTGAGGGTGAGGGTGATGGTGCGGAGGTGGAGGTAGAAGTGGAGGAGAAGGGGAATGGGAAGGGCAAGGGGAGGAAGAAAGTCAGGAGGAGTAAGAGTGCGAAGATTCGGAATAAAGGCGCGAAGATTGATCTTGTGAGGAGCTGGCTTGAGAGTGGAGATGTGGTTCAGCTTGGGAATGAAGAGGTCAAGGAGATGGCGAGAAGGTATGTGGAGAAATGGGATAGGGTGCCTGGGGGGAGGAAGGGGGTTGCAAAGGTCGAGGGGGAGGAGAAGATGGGGAAGTTGGATGATCTGGCGGATTGTTTGTTGCAGGGTATGGCGTGGGTTGAGTGGGAGGAGAATAAGAGGATTGTCATGAAGCATGGAGTAGAAGCTCTTTTGGATCCTTGACCTGGCCAATCTCTCTCAACTCTACTGTCAAACTTTCTTAGTAGAGCTGTGATGAGCGGAATGTTAACAGCGCGCACGAGATGGGGACATCGAACAAGCGAATGGGTTGCCATTGTTTTCTGCTCGATGGGTTTGAGCTTAGGTACCCGAGACATTTTTTATCAGTGGCAGTGGAAGGCAGCAGAAGCAATTCTTATCCGGGCATCGTTTCCGATCGGTCAGCCTGTGCTCTATTCAGCGCCCTCCCTCCAGGCCTCCTTCTCTCGCTTCCCTCGCCTTGGCTCCAAACCCCAGCTGATGTAAAGCCAACTCACGTCCAGAACAGCATTTGGGAGACATTTTTTGGGAGACATTTCCAAGTCACTCTCGCTTAAGAAAAGGAGTTACCAAACATCACGTGGAGTCCTTTGAAGAGTCGATCTTCCTTTTCATTTCTGGATTCAGGGAAATAAGTAAGCTCAGAAGTAATGTCTTTATTGACGCAAGTCTCTACATCTTGCCATCATCGTTGGACTTTGCGAATATTTGCTTTGGTCCTTCCTTTGCAGTTGAACATGGTTGGTTGGACCTGCCTTCACTACAAACGGCAATCAACTCGTCACCGCTATTTCAACCCTTCAACTCTTCAATTCATTACAAACCTTCACACATCGTCTAGGAAGGACATCATACGACTTTCAATCTGCTTTGTTACTGGCAATTGCATGTTCAGGATCCTTGCAATTGCAGCAGCCTCTCAGCATTCCTCTTTCGAGCGGAGCAACCTCCGGATTCCGCGCACCCAACGGATCTTAATTTGAAGGAAAAAAAGCAATTGGATCTCCGAAACACCTCGACAACTGCCTGGGGGCAGGTCTTTCAAAATCCGCTAAAGAAAGATGGCTTCGCCTAGCCCATGCTGTACAACCAGCACCATAGATCCTGGCCTCCTCGTTTCTCTCGTACGGTTACACTGTAGCCCATGGTATGGATTCTCCGGTTACACAACAACTTCGGCCGCTTCTGTGACCATCGTCTGATCCGCGCAACAGCACCGTCAATCTACAGCCAACGAACATACCGTAGCAAGGTCCAAAATCTCCTCCTAATCGCGGGTGCTGCCGCAAGCCTTTCGACTTTCCCACTACCAATGCTGCTTCATTACTTCTGAGCTCTGGTGACGGTACCAGGATGAGGCGAAAGAGGTCTCGCACGAGGTTGGCACTAGTGAGTCGATGCCCTGACATTCAATTTGTGAACAGCATGTCCAAGCATCTATCAGAACGTTACTTCGGCCAACTCCGCCTCAATGATCCAAAGATATCACATCCAGTACGCCTTCAATGTGATAAGTTCCGGCATGGGAGGCACGGGCCGTAACAGGGCTCAAGGTTAGTCTTCGGCCGCTGAAGATTCTTCAAGACGTCTGTCAACCGCCTCTCTCATGCAATATCATCCCAAAATGGTTAGCATGGAGCCATGGTCTCATCGTAGAGTCCACCTACCCGGTTGATGAACCCTTGACGTCGTCCTGCCAGATCCAGTCTTGTACTCCATTTCACGCCACGCAGAAGCTAGCATAAAGACGGTCACATATCACAACATGGCAGTGGCTGGTGTTACTGCCTCTAGCTTGACAAGGCCGAAGTTTCTATATTTCACATCTGCAGCCCGCTCAACACGATCCAAAATTTCTTTGTGGCAACAAAGGATCCTGGCTCGAAAGATGTTGTACTCCCAACGGGCTTTTTTTGTCGGATTTGCGCGAACGTGATCGGTGTTGTTGGATGTCCTATACCATCTCGACCATCACCCACTCGGTCAACATGTTTTCAAACTTGCCAAGAGATATTCGTTTGTCTATGTGTATTAGCTGCCGGAGTTGCAGCACACAAAGAGTAGCAGTAGCCTTCTGAAGGGCACGTCTTGCATTGCCGAGAGTAAGTAGACGTGGATTCCGAGTATTTACAGACTCAAAGGCATCTCCCAGAAGTACATGGGTCCACTCCAAATGGATGATCATATCCACAGCGATGCAGATAACGACGTCAATCCAACAGGGAAGTCTTCCGTAGCAGATCCTCAAATAACCTGCTGCTTAAGCATAGATACATGCTATATCCCGGTCCATTGTTTGTTCTTTGACAGGTCTCTGACTCTCAGTTACAGTCGATTTGCTATTTCCTTCTTGTAACTTATCATTCAAGCTTTCCGATTATCCGCGGTGCCGATTTACTATTATTAAAGTGCACCCCTTTGTAAGTCAGGTTACACCACCCACTTCAGGCCGAACAAAGAATATTGTAGAAGTCACAAAGTCTTCGTTTCGTTTGCCACGGTATTTCAGTCCAATCTTTCGCCTTGTCCCTTATTCATACAACATATATCCCCTCAGCAGCACACCAAAACGCCCATTTGGGCCAAAACAATCGTTTACATTCGTCACGACACGATATCTCTATTGACATCCCGCGTCATACTTCGAGTATAAGCTCCTATTCGGTTTCAAGGCAACATCACTAATTTCTTGATCTGAAAAATCGTAGGTACTGGCCGAGCCGCGACAAATGCTATGCTAACTATCCGTTCGAGAACCCTGAATCCTCTCGAAATCATGTGCGAGCAGATAGAGAATCTATTCATCCACTGCTCGCACAGTGTTTTCGACCTGGTGTCGTGGTGCCATTTCGCTAGGGTGGATGAACTTCACCAGTGTTTCGGCGTCAAAGTCATTTTAGGCACATTTCCTAAGGATTCTTTGTGCCCGAAATGCGTGAAAGAGAAAGAAGCATACGATGCTTGGGTAGCTGCTCACGCAGCTCATGAGGCGGCTATGGCTAGTCAACAACAACAAGAACAGCAACAGCAGCAACAACAACAGTAAAATCTCCATTCTATGGCGTGGTTGAACTGGTTCGATGCTATCTTGGTCAGCAGAGCGAGACTTATTCTGTGTTGCGCTTCTTTGTGGTTGTTGAGCTGTATGGTTGCATGCGAGGAGTCGGGCGAGTCGAGTCAGTCTGCATCGATTTGGTTTTCGTGCTGTGCTTTTGTGAGTTCTCTGGTGTCCTGGTCTCTGCTGTGCTTAGGTATTAATGAGAAAGCGCAGGGGGGGCCTGTTGTTTTCTTTCTGAGCAATCTCGGCTCGGCAAAGTGGGTATCGGCGGTGTTAGGGAGGTATCTGTCTGCGTTACTCGGTGGGAGGAGATCTGCTATCTGGTGGGGTGGGAATTTTGTCTATTTGTTGATGCGACGGGCCGGCTCGTTTCTCATTCTATCGCGGCTGCTTGGTGAGTGGATGACTGAATTCTTTGGACGAAGCTGGTCTATGATATATGTGTCTGCGTCTAATTGTCGTCTGTGACAGCTCGTGGAGGAGTTGTTGATCAAGCTCTGCTCCAAATTCTGCATCTGCTTTGTGTTGACATACATGATATCATATCTCTCTGTTACCAGCACAATATACGTGAAACCAAGCAAGATGCAGACCTCCCCTTTTCAAACAAGCGATACCTTGAGGTCATACACACAAATCTTTATAAGAAATACTTTCTCAATGTCACTCCGTATTACGCACACCGGTAGCACAACACATATCATGCAAATATGGATTGCATAATTCATGATATATAATTGAGATACCAGACGAGGCAACTAGATCAGATCTCGTTTGTTACTGCCCCAGAAAAAGATGTTGGGGGTACAGTGCACCATTGCTCTGCAGACTAGATAGACAGATAGATAGATAGACAGATTGGTGAGACGACAGGACGCGATCGGTATGGGTGTGTTGCAGTTGAGCCATGTGGTTTTGGGTTGTGCGAGTGGAGGTGGGGGTGGTTGGCTTGGTAGTACGTCAGCGGTGATGGGTATGTGGTGTATTTTAGTAAGATGTGAGTGGTTTGGTGGTACGGTTTGGTGAGTTTTTGTGTGGTTGAGATGGGTGGGAGGGGAGGGGGGGTTGTGGGGAAAGAAAGGAGGGGGATGACAAGGAATGAGAGGGGGAAGGGGAGGGATGAGTGGGGGAAGGGGAAGGGATGAAAGGGTTTGGACTGGACTGGAGGATAATGATGGGTTGGTTTTGATATGGGATTGAGGTGAGATGGGCTGGGGAGGAGATGGGGTGAGGTCGGGGATGAGGTGAAAAGGTGGTCTTGAGGGGGATATTTGGAGAGGGGAGATGGAGATGTTGATGTCGATGTCGATGTTGGAATTGTGTAGCTTAGCATGACAATGAGAATCGAATGGAGAGAAATATCTCTTCGAGGAAAGAAGAGGACTCTCTCTCGTGGGCGACTGGCTACTGATCTTTGAACTTTGCATTTGGTTGAAAAGTGGTTCGAGCCAAGTGGTGCTTGGTGCTGTGTTTTTGACTGGAAATAAACATACGTGCGCCATACGTCTCAGTCCTGGACATAGTGAGGGTATCTTTTCTGCGCACCCCGCAGGCTCCATTCATTCAACCTTCCTCGTTTCCACCAGTCGATACCACTTCCTCCTTCCTTGCCTCTAGATCTTAATTCCATATTCACATTCATTGATTCGTAGCCCCCTCCACAACTCCAACGACATTGTACCGCTTGGAGAAGAAGGTTAACCAGTCTTCGAGAGTGCCCTTCTCTTTGTCGGAGAGTGTTGACCAGTCTGGGTTGACGTCTTCGGCTTTTGTGGAGGTCATTCCTAGGGCGCGGGAGGCGTCGTGGCCGGCGAAGACTGGGGAAAGGAATTGTTAGTTTCATGACATTTCAAGGGAGATTGGATGAAGAAGAGGTTGAGAGAACGAGTCAGATGGGAAAGGTAGAGGTTGAGGAGGACGAGGAGGGAGAGAGGAGGGAAGTGTACCGTGGTATGATCCGCCTGGCAGATAGCTCTTGTTGCCTGTTACATCAAAGACTTTGCCCTGTTGTGAAATGTGTCAATGACTGCTCGTCTGCCATGTTGTCCTCTGGAGTATCTGTTCAAGGAACAGTGAAAAGGTTGTGTACCTTGATTGCAACGTAGCATTTTCCATCTGGTCCTGGGAATCGTCAGTCTTTGGCAGGGTAAATTCAAAGGGCAATTAGGCAAAAATGAGAGCATAGAGTTGAATAAGGAAGAGAGCTATCATACCGGTACCGTCACACTTTGCTAGCGTTTCTGTGGAAATAGGATCGGATTTTGGAGGGGCAAGAGTGACTGGTGTCTTGGGCTCGAATTTGCCTGACATTGTGAAAGAAGCTGTTGATAGAAAGGAGCTCAAATTGTTTGCTTTGATTTTGAAGGTAGTCTGTCGAAGTGCGAACGAGGACTGTAGACGCTGGTTGTTCTAGTGTGAGGTTAAAGTGATTGTTGACTTTGAGATGTCCTCGGATGTGGGGTAGATTCCACCATCATCGATGGCAGGGGTGTCATTGTCGCCTCAGGCAAAAGGCGGGTTTTGAAGGATGACATGACGGAACCCCGCCGCGTTGCGGAACGTCAAGAATACGCCCTTCAAAGTATTCCGGATTACATCTACATCTGGTTCACGGTGGTGCAGACAGATTTGTATTTGCATTGAGGATTGCTTAGAGTACTTATATAGAGGCAGATTTCTTCGGTCTTTTCTTTTTGTCTTCACCTTCGTTCTCTTCATCTTTAGAGGCCTTGGATCCCGCTGTTTTCTTGCAACTACCCCGCTATTGACAGAGATCAAAATGGACTCAAAGCAGTTCAAAGAAGCTGCAGCGTCAGCAATTGACGAGAGTTTGTGCCTCCAGGGCGGTCTATTCATAATGGAAGCTGACCCAAAATAGTCGTTAACTATTACGATACAATTGAGGACAGAAGGGTGGTGTCGAATGTCGAACCTGGGTACCTGAAGAAACTCCTCCCAGATGGACCACCACAAGATGGAGAGTCCTGGGCAGATATTCAGAAGGATATTGAGACCAAGATAATGCCGGGACTTACGCATTGGTATATTTGTCCTTAATCTTTGTCAACTTGAGCTAATTGTGCAGGCAATCCCCCAATTTCATGGCCTTCTTTCCAGCTTCCTCTTCCTTCCCTGGTATTCTCGGCGAGCTCTACTCAGCAGCATTCACCGCCCCAGCATTCAACTGGATCTGCTCTCCGGCAGTTACAGAGCTCGAAACCGTCACCCTCGACTGGCTCGCCAAACTCTTCAATCTCCCGGACTGCTACTTGTCTACGAGTGAGGGCGGAGGAGTGATACAAGGCTCGGCATCCGAGGCGATTGTCACTGTCATGGTGGCGGCAAGAGACAAATACTTGCGCGAGACGACAGCTCATCTCGCTGGTCTCGAGCTTGAAGATGCGATTGCATATAAAAGAGGCAGGATTATCGCGCTTGGAAGCGAAGCAGCGCACAGCGCTACCCAAAAAGCTGCTCAGATCGCAGGTGTCAGATATCGTTCTGTTCCAGTATTCAAGGATAATGGATTCGCTATGACGGGCTCAGCGTTGGAAGATATATTGAAAGAGTGCCAGGAACAGAAACTTGAACCCTTCTTCCTGACGGCGACGCTTGGAACGACGGCGACTTGTGCCGTCGACGATTTCGACGGTATCGCTGCGACGATCGCCAAGTACGCGCCTCCGAATGCTCCCGGCGAGATCTGGGTTCATATCGATGCAGCGTATGCTGGAGCAGCTCTTGTCTGTCCCGAGTATCAACATCACACAGCGCAGTTCAAGCATTTCCACTCCTTCGATACGAACATGCATAAGTGGCTGCTTACTAACTTCGACGCGTCGTGCTTGTACGTCAAGAAGCGCAAGGATCTGATCGATGCGCTGTCTATCATGCCTAGTTTCCTCCGCAACGAGTTCTCGGAAAGCGGGCTTGTGACGGATTACAGAGATTGGCAGATCCCTCTTGGCAGACGATTCAGGAGTCTGAAGATCTGGTTCGTGTTGAGGACTTATGGCGTTAATGGTCTGCAAGCGCATATTCGGAAACATGTCAAGCTGGGCGAGGTATTTGCTGGGTTGTTAGAAACGAGGAAAGATCTCTTTGAGATTGTGACGGGTCCGAACTTTGCGCTGACGGTGTTTGCGATTACGCCGAAGGGGGAGGGGAAGAGCCAGGAGGAAAAGAATGCGGTTACGAGGGAGGTATATGAGTTGATCAATAGTCGGGGCGAGATTTTTATCACGAGTAGTGTTGTTGGTGGCGAGTATGTGATTCGGGTTGTGAGTGCGAATCCATTGGCGGAGGAGAAGTTCCTGCGGAGGGCGTTTAAGATTTTGGTGGATACTGCGGAGGAGGTCAGAGATGGGAAGGGAGGTTTGAAAGAGAATGGTGTGGGTAAAGTGGTGGACGTGAATGTGAATGGGATTGGGGAGGTGGTTGAGTTGCATGAAAATGGGGTGGCGAAGTAAAGAGAGATATTGACGTTGTTTTGCAGAGGCTAAATTTAAGCCGGGTTGGTTATTAGAAGCTAGATAGAACTCCAGAATCTTGTTTATTTCTTCTCCGACTTGCCTGGTACACCTTGAAAATCAAGTAATGTCGAATCTACTTGACTGTCCTGAAAAACAGAACAAGCCTTTTTAAGCTGATTAAACGTCAAACCAGTTCGGCTCGTTGGTTGGTGCAGAACATGCAAAGAAGCTTCCAACAGACGCGCGAAGTTCGGCAAAGCTCGCTTGATTGTTTATGCGTAAATAAATCATTCAATTGGTAACAAAATCATGAGGGCATAAGCTAATTTTCTGGTTCATCTAGTATGGGAACCCTTCAACTTGATAAGTATTCATCTCGTGAAAGAGCACGATTTGAGTGTATGCAATTACCCGAATCCGGTTGGCTAATAACTCTATCATCAATACGAGCGTTGCGTCGCTCAGTTGCGACAATAAATTATTTAATGATGTTCCATCATACTCGTGTTACCTGGTTGGTGCTTGCCAACAAAGTTTCTCTGCCAGTATGGATTCCTGGCTAACGATTGTCCCTGGGAGCACGGCTCGTCTTGCTTTGGCAGATAGGTACAAGTGGAGACAGAATAGCAGCCCTATCTGCTTATGCTTGTGTCTACTCCGCAGGTTGTGGGGAGCCAAGGCCGTCATGGGGTCCACTTCGTTGACGCTTGAGCCAAGTCGCCTCGGGTGCGCCCGCGCCTAGTCCTCGAAATTGTGGGCTGGTGCCTGGACAGGCTAGGCGGGCATTTCCTGCTTCAAGAGCTAGCGCGCAATGTTATTGTCTGAACAATCTGAGGTACTTCTTGGTCCCCTCGCCGCATGCATAGTCTTATCACTTCTGTACCACCATCCCAGGTGGTAAACTGATTACCATGTCTCCTAGACAGCCAAATGACCAAAACGGCCGCGCAACCAACAAATGCGCGAACGTCAATGTTCTATCTCAGCGCTTCTCCGATATCCCGTCAACACTGGATATCGCGGTCCACCTCGAGCAAAAAGTTGAAGTCGAAGATGATGCTCATGCCGTCGAAATCTACTTCGAAGACCTCTCTGATCCGAACGAGCTCTGTTCTCAGCTAGAGATAGAGCATGCTGCCCCAAGGTACTGGATGACGATTGCTCTTGCATATGCGAAGCAAGGCACGATGGAAGATGCAATTAAAACTCTTGTCCGCGCTGGAAATTTATTACAAGAAAAGGAGTCCAGGAGAAACTGAGCATGCTGAGTTGTTTATGCTGTATGTATCTGCGGGAAAGTCGAAAGGCACCCCGCCTTGCGCCTGAAGGTGTACCAATATCGGAGGCGAAGACCAAGGAGTACTATCTACAACTGGCCGTCTCGGCTCTCAAAGATGCTTCACGAATCAATCCTTCTTTTCCGCCCTTGTTTCTTGCACGCGGCGCTCTATACTTATTGAGAGCATCCCTGCAGTCATCTTCGAAAGCGACAGCAGCTACCGGGTCATCCGTAGAAGGATCCATCGACTCAGAGAAAGCCGACCTTCTGTAGAAGGCACTCAAGTCATTCGGAGATGCTACTCGGGCTTCTGGAGGAAAGAATGTGTTGGCTGTGATGGGAAAAGCAAGAGTGCTTTTCTCACTGGAAAAATATCCCGAGGCTTTGGCAGGATACCAAGAAGTTCTTGCAAAGATGCCTGATTTCGTTGACCCAGATCCCAGAATTGGCATTGGCTATTGTCTCTGGGAATTAGGATTTAAAGAAGACGCCAGAGTAGCTTGGGAGAGAAGTCTTGAAATTAATCTCAATTCCACATTTGCAACTACTTTAATCGGCCTCTATTACATCGACGCGAGTAGCAGGTTTCCTGTACAAAGTCCCGAGTTCATCTCTCTCTACAAGAAAGCCATAACGGAGTACATACAGGAATCCTTCAAGCTGGATTCAAACCTGCCCCTTACTTGCGCAACATTCGCCGACTACTTTCTATTGAGGAAATCTTTCTCTAAAGTTGATTCCTTAGCTCATAAGGCAATTCAATATACAGATCTCAATACCATTGCAAGCGATGGCTGGTATCTACTTGGGCGGAAAGAGCATTACGCAGGCAGCCTCGACCGAGCAAGCGATTGCTACCGTCGCGCAGATGATGCTCGGGGAGGGGCTAACAGTGGCTATCTCGCTGCGAAGTTTGGCGCAGCCCAATTATTTGTCCTTCAGTATGATGTTGGAGAAGCCAAACTACGCTTGGAGAAGATGGTTCACCATCCTCGAAACTATGCAGCCAAAATCCTGCTGGGTACACTATTTGCCGAGGAAGCTTTCGAAACTCAGTACACTCGTGGAGAAGATAAGAGTGCACAGAGAGCGATTCAACTTCTGGAAAGCGTCCGAGCTTCATGGAAAGGCCCTAAGAGCACCCACATGCCCGATGCCACGGTGTTGTTGACTCTAGCCCGACTTTATGAGACAGAATATCCAGACAAAGCTCTCCGGTGTCTTCTAGAGGTGGAAGAACTGGAAATCGATCGAATTGCGGAATCAGACGGTCACATCGACGTGGAGAGTTCAGCAACCCAAGCCTCCCTTCAGAATGCTCTTCGTCATTTCATCCCACCACAGCTGACAAACAATATTGGATGCTTTCACTTCCATGCCAAGAATTACGAACTTGCTGGCGAAATGTTCGAGGCAGCACTGCGAGCTTGCACGAGACTGGGAGAGCAGGATGATGATGCCGGCACCGACATAGATGCTCTCGTTACAACAATCGGCTTTAACCTGGGCCGAAGTTACGAGGCAAGAGACCTTAAAGACCGAGCTGTTGGTGTTTACGAGCAGCTGTTGAATCAACACGACAACTACACCGATGCCCTGACTCGACTTTCACACATCAAAATGTGCCAATCTCCACAAGACAAAGGACCGCAGTCCGTTGCAAAGCTGTACGAAGGTAACTCGACAGATCCCGAAGTACGTGCTTTATACGGCTGGTACCTGGGCAAAGTGTACTCGAGGCGGAGACCAAGAAATATGGCCGAAGATCCCGAGCTGCGCCATTACAAGCACACCTTACAAAATCACGACAAGCACGATCGGTATGCTCTAGTCGGCATGGGTTCCCTTTACTTGCAGTCTGCTCGAGAAATGCGACGTGGGACAGATCAGGAGAAACAAAAGCGGAGTGCTATGTATATCAAGTCTGTTGAGTTCTTTGAAAAAGTACTGCAGTTGGATCCCCACAACGCCTATGCTGCACAAGGCATTGCTATTGCGCTGATTGAAGATAAGAAAGATCTTCGGAATGCGTTACTCATTCTCCAGAAGGTCCGAGATACTATCGAGGATGCCTATGTTTATGTTAATCTTGGCCACTTATATTGTGAGATGAAGCAGTATTCTAAGGCTATTGAGAGCTATGGGATCGCATTATCGAAAGGAAACAAGAATGATCCCGATATACTGGCCTGTCTCGGTCGAGCATGGCTGAACAAGGGAAAGGCTGATCGCAACTTAAATGCTTATCAGATGGCACTTGAATGTTCACAGCAGGTGTGTTTGCGTCTTTTTTTCCCTTGGGAACCAACAGGCTAATACTTTTGAACAGGCTTTAAATGCTTCTCCAGAAGAAGTCCACCTTAAGTTCAATGTTGCGTTCGTCCAGATTCAGCTCGCAACTGTGATGTACTCTCTGAATGAGACGCAGCGGTCGTTGCAGCAAGTTCAAAGTGTCGCCAAAGGTCTCGAGTTGGCAATTGCGGCATTAGACGAAGTCGTTGCCCATCCACAATGTCCATATCCCAAGGATGATGTCAATCAGCGTGCCAATATGGCTCGCAACACGCTTCGAAAGCAACTTGAGAGAGCTGTTGCTAGCCAGCAGGAATACGAAGAAAAGAATAACGAGCAGCTTCGAGTCGCCATGGAGAGACGTCAAGCTGATTTGAGGCGCCGAGAAGAAGAGCGACTGGAAGCGCTGGAGAAAGAGCATGAGAGGCTTGCGAGGATCAGAAAAGAGAGAGAGGAGGCCGCGATTCGTGACAGGATGCTTGCTGAGGAGCGAGCTGCAGTTGACATCACAGCGGATGGCGAGACTGACATACACGTCGAAAGGAAGCGCAAAGCACCCAAGACGAAAGGTGAAAATAAGAAGCTAAGAAATAGACCTGGGAAGAAGAAGGGAAATGCAGACAGCGAAGATGCGGAAGATGATGAGCCAATGCCGAAGAAGAAGAAGCGACGGCTTGCGGGAAGAGAATCAACCAAATACAAATCAGCTGAGTTCGTGGCTGACAGCGATGATGACGATACCGTTCTGCAACAACAGAACGAAATGGAATTGGAGAACCAGGACAGTCTCTCTGAGGATGGGAATATTGTTGGTGAGCTTGACTCGCACTTTGAAGATCTGAGCGCCAAGACAATTGAGGATGGAGAGCCGAGAAGTAGAGATTGAGCGCAGAAGCAGTCGAGGCGTATAATCGATGAGAGCGATGAAGAATAAATAGACGAGTAATGAGAAGTAAATGAACGAGCAATATGAGAGAGAGAGAGAGAGAGAGAGAGAGAGAGAGAGAGAGAGAGAGAGAGAGAGAGAGAGAGAGAGAGAGAGAGACAGAGAGAGAGAGAGAGGATGACGATCTTGACGGGTTTGTTTTAGCGGATAAGTTATTATTTTGGAAGGAATAAACTCTGGAGACCTCACCTGCAGGTCTATATATATTAATTAGTCTCTGATTTTTATTGGGCAGGGCTAATGAAGCTCGTCCTCGCAGTAGGCTTCTGTGCGATATTCGTGAGGTGAGGGGAATGTGTAGATTGGATAACGGATAACGGATACAGGAGGAAGGTGGAGAAACTCGATGGATTTGGATATGATATAGGATGATAGAATAGAAGACTGCACTTTGAAACCTTGCCTTTTTTTTTTCTCTTAGTATCTACTTCATTCTTTGTGCTTTTTTCTCCCGGGGAGTCTCCACCATGAGGTTTTACTAAGTCTGACTACAGCCTAGAGCTCCGTCTCTCTTGTAAATTACAGGATCTCCTCAGGAACTTGTCCTGTCTCTGTGTTTGGGGTTGGCGTGACATGGGATGTTGATGGTGTTGTGACACAGTTGGCAGGTAGGTACATAAGGTAAGTAGGTAGGTAGGTACTGTTTTGCTCGGCTGTTCTCGCTAATAAAGGGGGAGCAAGGGGAGCTGCGAGCTGTGGCTCCTTGATCATGCTGGGTCTGACTGACCTTCTTCACTGTGAGCACCGCACCCCGCTCTTTTACCGGGGCTTTGATATACTTTATTGGTATTGGTTTATGAGAGAGGTGAGTCGGTAATAACTAACTGCCACAGGTGTATATTACATTGCATATAGGTATACTCTGTCTTGTATTTGTCTCTAATAACTATCCGGTCTTGCCTTGGAGGTTCAAGCGTCTTAGTTGGGTACAGCAACTGGTCCTGCGATCAGCTAACAACAATCGATCTGCCGAGAATGTCAAACCACCCCAGACCAGTGAGGTTATAAACTTTGATCCTCCGACTTCAAGTCCGCGGTGACTCCTCACGATCTTGCAGTATGGGTAAGGTAAATAAATCTAAATAAAACTTAGTCGGAATATCAGTAGAGTACCACGCGACAATAATTCGGGAGAGGGGCAGGCGAAAGTCGGACGTTCGGTGAATGTCTGGGATGTGGCTTGATTCGAGCTTGGATGACTGACTGACTGACTGACACAGCATGCGTTCAACCGAGGCATTTCCCTCCAACTGAGGTGCGCACGCATCCGGCTGTGGGACACGGACCCTTGTATGGGGGATCTGGAGAAATATGGGGACTCGTTCTTCACATGCTTCTGAAACCAGAATAATACAGTACTGTACTTTTGAATGGCATGAATCTTCAGCTTTCACATGTTTAATTATTTTACTTTGTTTGGACACGTGAGTGTTAAGTTTTAAAGGGCAGATGATCGATGGTTAGAGGGATGCATGTGCTGGACAGTACGATACTAGGTATAATTTCAATGCAAGCCAATAATACAATCCTTTCTCCTGGGCTTCCCAAGCTATGGAGGGGCAGGCACTCCACGCAAATCCCAGAGATCCTCATACTGGTAGGTAGTACAGTAGTGGCCATGACGAAGTCCAAGGCGCATCTGGAGTTTGTGGGGAAAGTGGATGTGAATTGTCCACTGAGCCAATCACGGCATTGCGTTCACATCCCTGCCTCCCTTTTACCGCTGAACCGAGAGGGCCCCATTCCCGACTCCGACTCCGACTGTCCCTCCTGTGTCCCTCCTGTCCTCCTTCCTCTCATTGTTCTCTGGCACGCTAGGCCAGCATCAGCTCTGGGCTGGAACCGGAACGAGAACGCTGATTCAAGCGAAAAGTCTGTGGCCGAGGATGAAGAGGAAGGGATGAGCTGGATGGAGCCAGTAAGGTTGCAAGGTGGAGGGGGGAGGTTACCGCTAGCCCGAGAGGATGGGAAAGAGGTTTTTGGCTTATGACTGTGCTGCTTCCTCTCTTTTTTCTCTTCCTTCCCTCTTACATCTTACTCATTTGCAGACTTGAGGACTTTGTATGTTTCCAGCTTGCTGTTTCTCTGTACATTGATTGACATTGGCACTCACTCCATCCCTTGATTCGAAGAGACAGAAGAAAGAAAGACTTACTCGGATTGTACTTTCTGACGTCTGCCGAGGCATAAATACATATCTACCCGAATTTCTGTACACTATCTAACTCCCGACTGACTTACCACTCCACTCTACCGGCATCATGTCAGGCAAGATGAACCTCCCAGCGGTGGATGTGAATACCGAGGAGAAGCAGTTCCTCGACGAGGTTGCGGCTGTCAAGCAATGGTGGACAGACTCCAGGTGGAGATACACCAAGAGACCGTTCACGGCTGAGCAAATTGTTGCGAAGAGGGGGAATTTGAAGATTGAGTATCCGAGTAATACTCAGTCGAAGAAACTGTGGAAGATTTTGGAGGGGAGATTCAAGGTATGCTTACTATTATGCAACTTTCGGTGTTGGAGCTTGAGAAACTAATTTATTGATTTTTAGACCCAAGATGCAAGCTACACTTATGGCTGTCTCGAACCTACCATGTTGACCCAGATGGCGAAATACTTGGATACTGTTTATGTTTCTGGCTGGCAATCATCGTCTACTGCTTCTGCATCTGATGAACCTGGTCCAGATTTGGCGGATTACCCATATGTGAGTCCTTATCTAATCCCCTCCACCGCCCATATACTAATCTTCTAGACCACCGTCCCAAACAAAGTCGGCCATCTCTTCATGGCCCAGCTCTTCCACGACCGCAAGCAAAGAGAGGAACGTGTAACAACCAAATCGAAAGCTGACCGTTCCAAGCTCGCCAACATCGACTATCTCCGCCCAATTATCGCAGATGCTGATACCGGACATGGAGGGTTGACTGCCGTCATGAAGTTGACGAAGTTGTTCATTGAGAAGGGAGCTGCTGGTATTCATATTGAGGATCAAGCACCTGGAACGAAGAAGTGTGGACATATGGCTGGAAAAGTGCTTGTACCTATAAGCGAGCACATCAACCGTCTTGTTGCCATTCGGGCACAAGCTGATATCATGGGTATGTCTTCCTAATATTAGTGAAGAAGATGTAAAAGCTAACAATCCCAGGCTCCGACCTCCTCGCGATTGCACGAACTGACGCCGAAGCCGCAACCCTCATCACCACCACCATCGACCCCCGCGACCACGCCTACATCCTCGGATCCACCAACCCCGCCCTTCAACCTCTCAACGACCTCATGATCGCCGCCGAACGAGCCGGCAAGAACGGCGCCGAACTCCAAGCCATCGAAGACGCCTGGACCGCGCAAGCAGGCCTCAAGCTGTTCAACGACGCCGTCATCGACACCATCAACTCGGGCGTGCACGTCAACAAGAAGGAGCTCGCCGCCAAGTTCCTCAAGGACGTCAAGGGCAAGAGCAACACCGAAGCCCGCGCCATCGCAAAGGGCATCACCGGCGTCGACATCCCCTGGGACTGGGACTCCCCGCGCACCAGAGAGGGCTACTACAGATTACAGGGCGGCTGCGAGTGTGCCATCAACCGCGCGATTGCGTACGGCCCGTACGCGGACGCGATCTGGATGGAGAGTAAACTCCCTGATTACGCGCAGGCGGAGCAGTTCGCTAAGGGGGTGCACGCTGTCTACCCGGATCAGAAGCTCGCGTATAACCTGTCGCCGTCGTTTAATTGGAAGACGGCCATGCCGCGCGCGGAGCAGGAGACGTATATCAAGAGGCTGAGTAAGTTGGGGTATTGCTGGCAGTTTATCACGTTGGCGGGATTGCATACTACGGCTTTGATAAGCGATCAGTTTGCCAAGGCGTATAGTCTGCAGGGGATGAGGGCGTATGGGGAGTTGGTGCAGGAGCCGGAGATGGATGGCGGGGTGGATGTCGTGAAGCATCAGAAGTGGAGTGGGGCGAATTATGTGGATGAGTTGTTGAAGATGGTGCAGGGGGGTGTGAGTAGTACTAGTGCGATGGGGAAGGGGGTTACGGAGGATCAGTTTCATTGAGTTGAGTGATGGGGGAAGGGGGGGGGGGGATAGGAGTGGGTTGGGAAGGAAAAGGAGAAGGGGAAGTGAGGGAAGGGGGCGTATCATATGATGTAGATGTTTTTCAAGGTTTCAGAATGCATATTTTGTTTGAACAGCGTCTATGAGTCGGACAAGACTTCGAAGTACTCATGTGAAGAAAGGAGTCGACCAGTGAGAAAGAAGATACACCATCCCGCAGCAAAGTATCAAATCCAAATAGAAAGAAGTCATGGCATGCTCACCGACAAGCAATCAATGATGATCTATCAAATTTCCTCTCTCAGATCATGCTCAAGAAATACATTGGTGATCTATCGTCTGTCCACACCACGTCCGTCTCCTCAACTCGATATGTTGTTGTTTTGCCTCGCTTAGCCCCCATATTTCCAAACACCTCCCAACTGTGACCCGAGAACACGATAGGAAACCTCCTGCTCTCGAAGCAAAACCCACTGTTTATCCCTTTGGTGACTTATAAGCTTGCACGTCTCTGCTGTGATAAGATATTTGATGGCGTTCTTTTGATTCTCTACCTACCTTATGCTTCCGTCTGGAAGTGTGTCAATGGCTCTGGTCAGTCTGGATATGAAGATCCTCCTCTTGAACGTTCCAAGGGGAGCGGGGAAGTACTCTATGTCTACTGTAGATTCTACAAGCAGGAGGTCAGGATGCTGGCGAGATATGGAGTATGAGTATGCACATACGGGTAGATTCTTGATAGTGTTGGATATTTTGGATCGGAATATTTTGTATTTCTTGACTGTAAAAATCGTCTTTGGGATTTGTGAAAGAGGGGAGTTTGAAAGACAGGAGGGAAAGATAGAGATATGGAGCAGAGCAGGACAGGACAGAACAGGAGCGGTTAGTTTATGTAGAGGGTAAGACCGATTTGTACATGCTATTTCAGGTAGTGTTGCGATTTGCGAGGATGTACCTATGGCTGGGATGAGACTTTGGGTGTTTGTGCAGGCAGGTCGATTGACTGTTCTAATCGTTTGATGTGGTGTTATTTAAAAGAAGTGCATGAATGCGAAGAGGAAAGGGGAAGGCGAGAGTGGGGGTTGAGGAGAGGAAAGTGGCGGTTCATCTGCCAGATATTAGGTGGTTTGGTGGTGTTGGAGAGGAGTATCTGGAGGCAAACCATGATAGTTGCTGCTTTTCAGAGGCGAACTTTTTTGGAAGGATCCAATCACTTGATACCTTAAACTTGCAAAGCACCTGTATAGCTTCATTGGTAAGTGCTAGTAATCTGAATCTTATTTAAATTGAAGAGTTCCATAAAAACTATGTCATTGCTCTTTACGTGCTCCTGGGTTGTCGTAAACTTCCATAGCTGGGGCTCATAATCGTAGACCTTAATATTGAGGCATTTGAAGACGGATTTCTGGTGGAAATATGAGTTTTGTGATATATCTTTCGTGTGAGACGTTTCCAGATCGTATCGTCTGTAGTCAACAGGATTTGTGTTTCCTCGTGATTGATGTTGGTGAGTGGCGATTCTGGCGAGGCGAGGTGAAGACAGATGGCCAAGGCTGCACATCAACTTGGAAGCTCCGGCAGCCTTGCTGATTGCCTTCCCCCACATCTCTTCACTCCACAACTACATCACTCCACACATCAATCTCGCCCACTATTGAGCCATCGTATTATGCTACGATGAAGCTTTCGCCGGTCGCTGCACCGTCACGATGCCAACACAGCAGCCTCCGCCACAGGAGTACGCTCGAGTAGTGTTAATACTCATCCTGCTGTTCTTCCTCTACACATCTCCCGACCAAGGCGCGCCTGCAGGCTTCCAATCTCCCCACGATTATGCTGCCGAACGAATCGATCGATTTCGACATGCCCTTGATGTTCTAAACCGTACAAAATGGCAGGACTTCTCGCCGAAGACTGCAGACAAATCGCGATTCGAGGCGGCGAGATACTTGAATCTGACTGGGTTTCGAGAGGAAGATGATTATGCTTGGGAGAGAGTAGATGCGTTTAAGAAGAGGAGTCAGGAGTTCACTGAAGAGGCAACACGAAATAATGGAGCCGTCAATGATGTGTACCAGAACGTGACGGGAATTGTTCAAGGCAAATGGGTTAGAAATACGGCTGATCTCAATGGGGATCCAAGACCAAGAACCTTGAATCTGACGGAAACATCACCGGTTATTGATTGGGCCTTCCGGGATGTAGAATATTGGACCAGGAATATAACAGGTAAAGGAGGGAAAATGATGCTCCGACTTGAGGAAAGCGATACTGGAGGGGTAGATGTGTATCCGGACATTTCCCAAGATTCGAAAATGCCTATCGATCCTGGAAGCATTGCAAGAGAGATAGCGGCCACTCTGACAATCCAGGATGAGAGCAGTACTGGTGATGGATGGGATATGAGAATGCATGGAGTCCATTGGCCGAAGCAAGGAGTAATGCTCCTAACAACCACGAGTGAGAAGTTCTCCGGCATCTTTGGTCTACCTCACCTCACCTTGAACCCGGAACAGTTCAAGTCCAGCCAAAGGCTTCTGAATAAGACCTTGGAGAGAGAGGTTGAGGGTCTGGAGAAATCCATCTGGCTCGACCTAAGCAATCCATGGTCATCCAGCCCGGATAGCCCAGGTGATGCAACGATGCCCGTTCCACACTGTGAATATGTGGTTTACGTGCAAGTCTACCCAATGGATTTATCCTCGATGAGTCTCAAGGCTCAAGTCGATCCAGCCAGCATCATCAACACCATTGAGCAAGAACTTCGATTTCCAAACGGCGCCCCTGTCCCCGTGTTTCCTAGTCTGAAGATGGCAACTGTGATATTTTCTCCTGACTGTGGCTTCATGCTCGAGTCTGTTGGCCCTCCGAGCTTTGCACCGGCAGATGGAACCCACCTCAATGGCAAGAAACACGAAATGTTTTTGCATGATATCCAGAAATGGCTACATGCTTTTGCGCTTGTTGTGCTTGGACAGATATTACTCTTGAAAGTGCAGTCGAAAGAGGCATCCACTCCGTCGACTGTTGGAAGGGTCAGTCTCTATACGATTGCCATGATGCTTATGGCGGATGCTTTATTATTCTCCAGCTTATCGTTGCTGAGCGCAACTGCCCCGAATCTCTTCCCCTCAGCGCTATTGACATCGTTCAGTGCATTGATGTCTGTTGCCCTGGGTGTGAGATTTATCTCGGCAGTTTACAGCGTCCAGGAGCCTGAAAGAAGGGAAGCATCACGAGCACAACTGGCAGCGGAAGCTGCTTCACGACCAGCGCCCAGACCTGCTCCAACACCTGGGACCGTTCCAGCTGTAACACCAATAATTACGGCTGCTGGCGCTGACGTTACTCCGCAGCCTGCAGCTGCTCCGGCTCCCCCAGCTGAAGAACCTATCATCATTCCATCGGATCAAGATCTTGATGCTGAGATCGCTGAGAGGATGAACGCAGCTGCTGCAGTACCTCTTCTTCCAACAACAAACAGGCCGGCAACAACACAACCTCCACGAAATACTTCCAGCTTCGGCGCTGCATATATCAAATTCGTTCTCACGCTCACTTTCCTCCTCTTCCTCTCACTATCAGCCATCTCTTGGTCTGTACCTTTCCGTACAGGCTACATCCATATTCTATCCTTCACCTACTTCTCCTTCTGGCTCCCTCAAATCAGACGAAACGTGATTCGGAACTGCCGCAAAGGACTCTTGTGGAAGTTTATCATCGGCCAATCAGTCTTGCGCCTTCTCCCATTCGCATATTTCTATCTGAAAGAAGATAACATTCTGTTCGTAGAAACGGACTGGAAGGCTTTCTGTTTGTTGGCAGGATGGGTTTGGATGCAGATATTGGTTCTGGTGGGCCAGGAAATTCTTGGTCCTAGATGGGCCCTACCAAAGAGCTGGTACGAGGAGGGTTGGGACTACCACCCTATATTGAGCGAGGACAACGTGGAATCTGGTGGCCTGCCAATAGGTCTTGTGAAGACTCCAGGATCACCAACCCTGGAAAGAGTTCGTACAAGCGAGGATATGGGAAGCAGAAGCAAGAAGGAGGGTAACACGAGAAGTGTTGACTGTGCCATCTGCATGCAACTACTCGAAGTACCGGTTGTACCTGCTGGAGTATCTACATCTGGCGCAGCTGGGAGTGTGGTCGAGATGCTAGCCCGAAGACTGTATATGGTCACGCCATGCAAGCACATATTCCATAGCGCATGTTTAGAAGGATGGATGAGGTTTCGGTTGCAGTGCCCGATTTGTAGAGAGGCACTGCCACCACTGTAAGATACATAATTGCATTGGGAGCGTTAGGCGTTTGGGCATGTCAATGGAAAGATATTTTCTCGAAGACCATTTATTTGCTTTTGCTTTTTGTTGAAAGATTGACTAGCATTCTTACATCCTGGTGCACCTAATAGTGTACAACCGCTAAATCCCATTCCCAAACTCCAACCATGCAAAATTATTCAATCTTCCTTCTCCTATTTCTTCCCCCAGACCAAAGTAGACACCGACTCCAATATACTCGTCTTCTTCTCCCCTTCCTCAACCACAGAACTAGCACCCTTCCCGTCCTCCATAACCTTCTCCAAAACACCCTTCTTCTCCCCCGCCTCCGCAAGAGCCTTGTCCTTTCCATCCCCGAGCCCAGCCTGCCTCTTCTCCATACGCTCCCTCCTCCTCTGCCTCTCAGCCCTCAACTCCTTCTCCTCCTCATCTCTCGCCTCCAACTCCCTGATCCACGCCTCATTCTTCTCCTTAGCTTTCTTCTCCGCGATCACAACGTCGTACTCCTTGCGCTTCTGCCGGTCCGTTTGCCAGTACATGCTTCCGCCTATCATGGCGAGGAGCGTGAAGCCTTGTGCGTAGATACGCGCGCGGAACATGCGGTTTGTGCGGTTGGAGTCGCCGGCGCGGATGGAGCGTGAGGCGTTGTAGAGGGCCCAGCAGGTGAGGGCGCATCCTATGACGGTTGGTCAGATACCTTGGGAGAGAGGGTTTTCGGGCTGGACATACCCAGTGGGATTAAGGGCTCTTCTTTCAATCTCCTCGAGAATTTCTGCCATCGATTCTCCTCATAGAAGTCCCTGTGAGCTGGTTAGCCTCTCTATTATTCTGGCAATTCGGGAGCCCGGGCGAACGTACGAATTGCCATCGAAAGATGACGGGAGCGGTGTGCTCGACATGTTGGGGTACGTATATCTGGTTGGAATCTTCTCTCTTCGAGCTTCAACAGCTTCAGAAATCGTTCGAGGGGAAATGGTGAGGTAATCGGACCCCGGAATAATATCCCTGTCGAATGTTGATCCGGCAAGACCCACTTCTGTACATCCCCTGCAAGTGTTTTCCCCCTCGACATTCTAAATCGACAACCACGCGCCATCATGCCTATTTCGGGCTGTCCATTTCGAACCGATTAGTTTGGAAACAGATCTTTCGACTGGAATCGCGAACATGGCTGAAGATGAAGATACTCCTATGCAGGATACCCCGGCGCGAACGGAGGATGAATCCGAATCTGGGAGTGGAAGCGGAAGTGAGAGTGAGGATGAGGGCCAGCAGGAGGTGGAATGGTTAGCTACGACTCGTGAGAAGAGATCCACGGCTGGAAACCGGATGCACAACCTGTTACAACAAGAGGAAGAAGATGATGACTTGGAGTTACTTTTCGCAGAAGCCGACGACGATGTGGGCTTTTCAGATGCAGAGGCAGACTCGGATGTGCAGATGGATTCCTCAGATGACGATGAGGACCAAGGGCCCGCTGCTGGCGAAGATGATCTGGAGGGTGAGAAGGAGCTGCAGAAGCAGGCGAGGGCAGAGAAAGCGAAGAAGCGGAAATTGGATAGAGGGATGCCCAAGGGCTTCAAGAAGAGGGTCAAGATAGATCCCACGGTCATCCAAGCTCCTCCTCCACCACGACCCAAGAAGAAATCAGAACGCGCTTCATGGCTACCGACTGCGGATGAAGCACCTACAAGAGCTTCGGCGAGAGGGACTACGAAGGAGAGCAAGCAGCAACTACATGCGCAGATGGTTGATCGCGAGATCAAGAGGCTGAATCAGTTGAGGCAGATGGAGAAGGCAGCTAAAGCGAAGGAAGCTGCTAAGAAACCTGTCATGACACAAGAGGATCGGTTGAAGGAGGCTGCTAGGGTGGAGAGGAGCAATGCAAAGAGTTTGTCTAGATGGGAGGAGGCTGAGCAGCAGAGAGAGGAAGAGCAGTTGGCGAAATTGGCTGCGCTGAAGAATAGGGTTCTGGAGGGACCAGTCATTACATGGTGGAGTGGTGTGGGAGAATGGGTTGGAGGGAAGCTGAAGCAAGTTGGGAAGAACTTGATTATTGAGGAGAAAGAGAAGCCTACTAAGAAGCGCAAGGCTGCTGAGTTGGAAGAGTCCGAGACTGGATCTGTTGTTGCTGGACCTACGAAGGCTGCTGACAAGCAAGAGAATGCAACATCGACAGAAGAACCAGCAAAGCCATCTCCAGCTCCCGTTTCCAAATCTGACGAGGATGAAAAACCGAACTCGAACGAGGCTGTCAACAAAGAGCCTAGTCCGACGATACCAAAGGAAGTCACTCCACTGGCTGCTCCTACACATACGCCGACGCCCGAGATGCGGTTCCCACCAGCCGTTCCATCTCCCAGATATATTCCATCACCAGGTCCACCAAACTCGTCAGTCCTAGCTCCTCCGCCAGGCTTTCCAATGAGCGGCCCACCGTACTCCTCTGTCCTTGCCCCTCCCGCAGGACTACCCCTCAGTGCTCCACCACTTCCTCCAAATGCACTTCACCGCCCATATGTCATATCGTCGCCGGCATTTGATGGATCTACGCCCTTACCTGGATTTGGAACATATCCTCCACCTCCGCCATTCTCAGTCCCAACACCTCCTCCTCCTCCTCCTGTCATCGAGCAGCCTCCCGCGGAAGACCTACCTCCAAAAGTCGAACACGCTGCTTGTAACTACTTCATTCTCGAGAACTTCGACGAGACTGCCATCAAAGACAAGAATGTACAGACCCAAATTATTTTTGGTAGAAAGTTCGTCAAGGCTCCAAGTAAGTTCATCCTCCCTCGCTTAGCCTGCAGCCCTAACATTTGTAGGATCCAAACATTCACATGAGGTTTGTGTAATCACTGGCCACCCTGCTCGGTACCGAGATCCAAACACGGGTCTTCCATACTATAACTCGTATGCCTATAAAGAAATCCAAAAGCTAAAAAAGAGTGAGTACAAGTGGAGTCGATTGGTGGGAGCATATGTCGGCACGGCCACATACTCAGCGAGGGGTGTTCCGGAGCGCTTCCGGAACCCTAATGCACCACGACCAGACGCAGTAGTTGCAAATCCTGATCCAAGCACAAGCACAAGCACGGGCGGAAGCACTGCAGCCTAATGAGGCTGAGGAGGAAAAATATGACTGTATGATTTGAATGACCTTGTAGGAATATGTACAATACCAGACAGACGAGCAGAGAAAGGACGAAGCGAGCGAACCGTGGCGCTGTGCTGTAGGGCTCACAACAAAAATTTATTCTGGTGTGAAGTATGCATAAATAGAAAGATGGGAAATGTACGATTTACGTCACAGAGCATGTTCTGGGTCCAGAAGGGTCCTGATATGATGTGACACGTGTGTTGCGAGGTACACCGCTTGGTGGTGAAGGTGAAGGATTGAGAAAAAAAAATGCCAAATGCCATCCATCGCACTCGTAACGCATTTGATACTCTTATCTGGCTGCATGGCGCATTGCGATCCAGCCAATACTCACACGGCAAGCAGTAGCGCCCGAGAGACACAGCAGCGTGCAGCGGAAGCGGGAGCTCTGCTTGGGTGCAACGACCAGGATGACCCTTTGCATTGGGCTTGAACGGTCCGCCTGATTGCAGCTTGCAGCCCAGCGTAGGATGGGATCTGGTGGATTCCCTCCCAATCATGAGGTTTGGCACTGAGGCGCTGCATCTGGGCTGGCCAGTTGGCGATGGAGCATGGCCTTTTGGGAGACCAGTCCCAGTCCTAGACAAGCTGGATCAGGAGGCACGATTGTTGTTGTTTTTGTTTGGATGGATGGGTGGATGGGCCTTGCGCAGCTGAAGGAGTCGGTGTATGATTGTGAGTCAACCTTTCGCCATCCAGGTTTCTGGGTTTTGATGCCCTACCCTGCCCTAGTCAAGCCCGCCCTTAACAGGCTATTCGCGAGCATGGCATGGCAGAATGCGTCTGAGGCGGATGGGGCATTGGAGAGAAGGTGAAATCTCTGCAAAATTGCATGTTATTTCCACGGGACCAGGGACGTGGCTTGAAGCCCTGAAGCCTGGAAAGAATCAGGGTGTGTGCTGCGAAACGATACGAGAGGAGGCACTGACCAGCAAGGAGACAGTGAGGCAGAAAGAAAAAACAAATGCTGGGACAAGCCTGGGAAGGAAATCCCGTGTTTCCACGGCCCGGCATGGATGTGAGATCTGATCCATGGCCTTTGTTTTGCCAGCTCCTGAAAATCCGAGTCGAGTGAACTTCGGCCTGAGGAGGGAACTTTATAAGGAGACTTTCTTATTGTTCTCTCGCGTAAAAACCGTTGGAAGAAGTGATTAGATAAGCTTGTGACTTTTTGGGATTTAGAGGCGGGATCCCTGACGCAATATTCCGTTGTGGTTCAAGCTAGACTTTTTCTCTACTCTAGGGAAGGCTAAGATTTAGGAGAGTAGTAAATAACATTTCCTTACTCTACTCTCCAGAATGCTCTCGAGCCGCGTCAGAAATACCATTTTCGGCCAGGAATTTCCCTTAAGACGGGTTTGATATTGCGATGAGGCTGTGTTCGCCAAATGGCATCCAACTCCCTGGAGTGGAGACCTTCCCTATTAGCGCGATAATCTCCTAATCAGCGCCCTCACGCCAAGACTCGACCCCTATCGCGGAGCCTAGATCCTACTTCGCTCCCAAATTTTTAACTTCTCAACATCCCTCACTCCCTTCTCCTAGGCCCTACCTCCACAACATACTCAATGGCATGTCTTCTTTACTGAATACTACCTTCTCGCCTAGCAATATGTTACCACGAACTCCGCTGCATCGGTGGCTGGCAGTCGCCTTCTTCCTCCTCATCGCTGCCTGGTTCCATCCCACATTTAGCGGCGGATTCGTTGAATCAGGAGTCCCGTACTCCAGCAATGGCATCGATGATCTCTCCTACGTCAAGAAGTTGCTGAAGGACAACAAGGTCGGCCCGCAGATCGAGTATGCCGCGCGAACCATTCGATACGTCCCAGACGCGCGGGAGCGCAAATCGATTACGGAGGTTGACCAGGAGCTGTTCCCAACATCGTTTAAGAATATCACCATCAGCAGAGAGTCTGTTCTGCCAGCTGGCAAGATTGTAGATCTTCACATCAAGCAATCGCCGCGACCAGATCAGGTTGATGTATCTGATATGCTGTTCGCCGCATCCACGACCTACGGCCGCTTCACAGACCCGAAAACCTCCCCGATTGAGGAGTGGAAACGTTGGTTGACAGATGGAAATGGACAGTCCAATGGCGCGGGACTTATTCTGGCCCTCTTCGACACCACAGATGACAACATTGCAAAGGCGGCGAAGACCTTGGAGAATATCGGAATCAATGCCACGGTCGTCCCCTCGAATAAGGAGCTGGACATGGCAGGCAGATATGTGGACCTGGTCCAGATGATGTATAACCACCCAACGCGCCCAAATCGCAATTACTTTGTCCTCATCGACGATGACACTTTCTTCCCCGTCATTTCCAACTTCCGGAAGACGCTCGATCGCTACAACCCAGCCAAGCCATTCTATATCGGTACCTTCACCGAGCGCGCAGACTGGCTGATCAGGAACCGGGTACCGTTTGCTTATGGTGGAGGAGGAATCGTCTTGACTGCTCCATCTGCAAAGCAGATTGTTGAGGCGCCGTGCTTGGAAAAGAACAAAGAAACGGGGAAATACGTGCTTGATTCGGACCAGGGCGACAGACTTCTTTATAACTGCCTGACAACCCACTCGAGCCTCACACTCACCTACCTGCCTTCTCTCCACCAGCATGATCAATTCGGTGACCCAGCTGGAATCTACGAATCAGGAAATCTATTCCATTCACTGCATCATTTCAAGTCATGGCACCAAGCCAACCCGGCCATGACACATGTTGTGGCTGATGCCTGTGGAGAGGAGTGTGTATTCCAACGCTTCCAATTCAAAGACAATTTCATCATCTCCAATGGCTTCTCCGTAGCCCACTACCCACAAGGAATCGACTTCGATCCGCTACAGATGGAAGAGACATTCAATTGGGGCCAACACGACGCAGGGGAACCTGGTGCCGAGGTCGTCTTCAGCTACTACTTTGGCTCGCTACGGAAATCCCTACTCAAGACTGGGAGAAAGCAGAGTTGGGAGATCCTCGGAGCAAAGAAAGAGGGTGACGGCAGAGTCAAGCAGGTGTACCTGAAGAGATGGAGCGACGATAGGTGGTTCGCCGAGGGGAAAACACCAAGTATTCATGACGACCCGAGAGACAGCGTTGTGGTCTTGACTTGGATACCATGACAGTGACTGTCTCTGATTGGGTGGACCACTGCTCGAACAACCTGACATAGACCTGCATTTGGAATACACGGGACCTCGGGCATCCGGACTGAAGATTCTGTAGCATGATAGCGTTTTTTGCATAGTACGCTTGTGTATAACGATTTGGGATTGGCGTTTTTCTGGATTCTGTTGAATTAGGAGTGTGGTACAGAAGTACAATTCAGTACAGTCCTGATCTGTACGAATACCTGATAGGATAGGAGCAGAAGGCTTCCCCTTTGTGCTTCTCGTTCCTCTGTGTTTTTTTTCTTTTTTCTTCAATGGGACAAGTTGGGTGTTACTGCATGATCGAGATCCGACACTATATAAAAGTTTGGATCGATCGATCGAAACCCTATCTATATAATCTAATGCAATGCAATGCCACACACATACTACTACTATCTTTCTTGTCTGCTCTGTACCAGTTCTTCAAGGTACTGGACTTCATCAGTTCCGTAATTGTAGTTTCACTTTTTTCAACTATGCAAGTTTTGAATGTGCTTCAGTTGTCTGCACCCTCCAGGGGTTTTCAAAATCACGAAACTTCTTTACTTTACTTCACGTTGGCCTCGTACCATGGTACGGTACTTTGGTACTTGTGATACTCTGGCAGCCTGGTACGTACCTTGGTACCTTGGTACCTTGGCCCTAAAACAATTGGTACGCCTCCAAATCTGCATTTCTGCCGGCAGGCATGAGAAGAAGCACGCTCCCGGAAGAGAAACTAAGGTAAACTGCAGCCAGACATTCGAAGTTCGAGTTTCGGCGTTTTGCAGCCCTTTCCTTTCCTTGACTTCCATTACTGTACTTTTTTGCTTTCAATAATGATCTTAAAAGTCTCGATCGATTCTACTGAAATCTCATCTTTTACAGTACCACCCCGTATTATTCCATCTTGCATAAAAACCACCAGATATATATCACCCAGTAGTCCGAGGACCAACCGAGTCAAAGTCAGAGCCAAAGCCAAAGCCAGAAAACAAAAAAAAAAAAACACAAAGTTCACCGGCGTCCATACAGTAATCCCGCCTAACCGGCAAACCCCCCGGACTTGTAAATTTAACTTACCGTACCGTACCGTACTCGTAAAAATGATGTTGGCAACTTGGCATGACCTAGCCGAAGCCTCCGTCCGGCCTTCATACAGTACAGTATGTACGGAGTATGTCAAGGAGGTTGGGTTGGAAAGGCAGGGAGGAATAATCTACGGCTAAGACCAAGACACCACTCCATAATTTACCTTACTCGCCGTGGAGTGCAGAAGGTATGGCAAAAGGTATGGCAAAGAAAGGTGTGGTTGTTCTGTATTCTGATTTGTGGATGGGGGATGGGGATAGGGATGGGGATGGGTGCCGGCTACCACGCTAGGCTTGGGAGGAGGAGGTCCTTCGCGCTTCCATGCATGTTCCTTCCCTTCCCTTTCCCCTCGCGAGCGGGCGGGCGGGCAAGCCAGGTCCCGTGGTGTGTCGTTCTGGTGTTCTGGTGCTCGTTCTGGTGTGGTGGTCTCGGTGGTGTCCAGAGTAAGTGGTGGTAGTGTCGCTCGTGCGTGCGCGTGCGTGCAGGGTTAGTCCCGTACCAGCCATACGCAGCCCCTGTCCATCGGTGATTCTTGACCAGGTGTGTTCCTTGCTTACCTTTCCTTTCTCTGTGTGGACGGAGGATCCCGTTGGTTGGTTGGTTTGGTTTGGTTTGGTTTGGTGTGGATGGATGTGCTGGGAAGACAAACGGTTGGTTGGTGGATTATTGGGGTTGGAGGGAGGTGTGGATGAGTTCGCAGCTTGCAGGACAAGCTTGGAGATTTAGTGGAGCGAGAGAGCGATAGGAGTGGATTCCAGTGGATTCCAGTGGAGAGAGAAGACGACGACGAGGATGAACGAACTGTGATCATCCCATCATGGGGGAAGCTTGCACTTGCACTTGCAGTTGCAGGGCTTGGGTGCAGCGGCAGCGCCTGCGCTGCACCACGGGCTCTAACGAACGAACGCTGATCTTAGGGCTTGCAGGCTCTGCAGCAGATTCTGTTTAGTGGTGTTGGCCCCTGAATTGTGCAGCTGCGTTGAGAAGGTACAGCGTTCGTTCGCTCAGGGTACCTAGGTAAGGTACCTACACATTCAGGAGGACAATAATGTCGTGCCCTCGTCTCGCGTGAATGCTGTGACTTGGGGAACGAGTCAGTTGTAATTCTTGGTTGGCGATTGGGAATGCGAGATGATATAAGATGAGATGAGATAAGTGAAAATTTTCTTCATTTGTTTGTGCGACGAGGTAACCCAGTCAGTGGTACGAATGTAGGGTGCGGTGTGTTTTGGGGCATTGAAGTTAGCGATTGATTCCACCTGATGCCCTGTGTTGGTGTGCTCCCTGCGGCTCGTTTGGCGATGGGATGCCCTGACGGGCTGGAAACCATGGTAGAGGCTTCTTCGGCAAGACATTTTTACTTTGTCAGTTCCAACTTCGGTACACGAAAAAGGATATATCTGGATTTCAAAAATAGGCAGGTAAGGATTCATCCTGTCAACGGCTAATAATGGACGCTGTAAGGGTGAGGGAAAAGAGTGCTGGGGACGGGTCCAGGTCGGTTAGCGACTTGGTCGATGCTGTGGTGTTTCTTTTCAGCCCCCAATGTTATTGGTGAGGTTCGTGATATCAATTGTTTGGCAAAAACGATATGGATAAGGATGCGATTGTATTGGTCGATATGTGGATCATGATATCCTATCGTCACTTATTTTGTTTTCTCAGCCGCGGTTTTGATCGAGTTGATCGGCGGCAAAGATGGCGCTCGTGCTTGTGACTCGACTTGACTGCGACGGCTTGCAAAGAAAGGAGGGTGTGATCGCTGCCTGGCTTGAGACTCATATTCGACTGAGTTCTGAGGATAGGACGTAAGAGTCGGCGCAATTGTCCATGTAGACCGGTGCAAGCGAGTGAGAATTCGTGAATGGGTGTGCGAAGCCATGTAAATGGTCGGTCGGTGACATTTCTGCATCGAGTAAGAGACGAGGCCTCGCGAAGGTGGGAGACGAAGACAAGGACTTGGGATCTTGGTGGCTGTCTTCGGATGATATCGAGATAGGTTGTTTTTTTGAGTAAGAGCAGGGAAAGGAGCAGGGGAGTGATAAGTAGAAGGGAAAGGCTTCAGAAGCGCCGCTGCAAGCGCTCTCGATCAAGATATCACAGTCACACTCACACTATATCTCGCTTCATTGTCGTCATGAGGTCAAGATGTGTGCGGGAAACGTGGGTTGCTCCGAATATGCCTTCTAGATCTTGATCTTGATCTGGGTATGAGCATGGCTGACGTAGGTATGGCCATGGCTTGATTACGGCCCTTCCTCCGAACTTGGTGTTACATACATACGGCATACGGAGGGTAATTACTGTAGACAGTAGTAGCCATGTCATCAAGGAAGCGAAGCACTTTGGTAAATGCATCACATCAGCCACCCCTCACGCGCTTTCACATATCCTCACTATCCGACGCTCACACCTTTTACCCCTCCATCAGCCCCCTCCCACGTCCATTCTTTCCCCTCCCCCTCCCCCTCCCCCTCCACCAGCATCCCACCTTCTGCAGGTATGCTGACTCTCATGAATTCGTTCCAAATATAAGTCCAGCTACTGCTGCACTACCTTCCACGGCCCCCTCTGATTCCCCTCCCCTCCCCTCCTCTGCTGTGTTCTATCTTCAAACTCGACTCAATATCTGCACGCGGTACTCGTGTAAGTAAGTACCTTGCCTCGCTGAGTACTTCTACACAACTCCCGACCTTATCCCTGGCTGGCCAAAGTTACTCCTCACTGCCTCGTTGGAAATACTTCCATGCATGAATGATGCATATCGCACCTCCGCATCTGCATCTGTATCTTACCTAAGAACGCTCATCAGTACATACCCGTTCGTTCTCCATCCGCCTGCAAGCTTTACCCGGGACAAACCATAGAGCGGACGAGAAGAGTTGAAGTGGAGAGAAGGAGGCAAAGCAGCGTATCTGCCGGCCTTTCGGCGCTGTCTCTTCTCCAGCTGGTTGGCGCAACACATTACGAAGCCCGTATATTCGTTCGTCTGGCTCAATCAGCATCCAACAAATACATCAATCAATTGACATCCGCTCTTGACCGGATCCAGTACTACGCTGCGCAGGAAGATAGTCAAACTTCAGCTGCTTCGTCAATCCTCATGCGACTGACTAGACTGGTTTGACTGTTCTCGCGTCAAATAGCAAACCCAACCCAACGACAACATATCAGCTCAATTGATTGTGGAGTTCGCTGTGGAATCAATCAATCAATCTATCCAATCCTTTTGGCCTCTATTCCAACACCAATCCTCATCCTCATCCTCATCCTCGCGGCCACTCCGCGACCAGAATATCACGTTCGCAAATCAATTCGCCGGTGTTCCACGGCCACCAGATTCGCCACGCTGAACGTAACGCCTTCATCGCCTATCGAATACCACCACTGACTCTTACTGACTGTACTCGTCCTACTTGAGTGGTCGCATCCCCAGAATCCGCATCGAATTAAATCTTTATACTTTGCACAACGTCTCTCGTCGTCTCAACCTTTTTTACGTCGATCGCTCAATCCTGCGCATCCAATCCAACTCAGCTAGTCCCTGAAGCACTGCGCAAATCGCTGGCTGCCGTGCAACACCTTATTTTTTTCAGCATCGGAGGTTCTAGTTCAAGTTTTGAATCTGGTTCACGACATTGGACCAAAAGGAAAGAAAGAAGGCAACGTCTCCGGCCAGTCACTTTCGTATCAACGTCAACCTGAACCCGGGAGTCACATTTCCAGGGAGTCATCGTCCCCATATACTCGTCACAATTACAGCTCAGAATAGCGTCAAGCGCAGCTCCACCCAATCTCCCAATAATCTCCATCCCCCGTCTCCGGGAGCATTATTCCAGCCTCCCGAATCCGACATTTCGGGCGCCTTCATCAGACCCATCCTGCTTGCGGCTCGCGGCCCCTACGCCTCCTTCCCCGTGCACCGTTGGATACGACGTCGCTGGTGAAAAAGGAAGGGGAAAAGAACGCTTCCTGTCTCTGGTTCATTTCGCTTGTTGAGATCATGGCTTTGGCCCAGGTCTGAAGCCAGGGGTTTCCCTCATCTGCGCATCTCGTAAGTGTGTTCTGATTGCCCCTTGTCAATCTATCCTGCCCCAGCCGTGTCTGTTTGGTTGGTTTTCACTGCCCCCTTCACTGCCACAATATCACCTTTCTGTGCCGCGGCTTCGTCCACCGCTTTGGTGTTCTCCGCAAATCACAGCACATTGGCACATTCCAGAAGCCCCTGGCTCCAGCCCCCGTCGGCGTTTTCTCTGATTATTCATTTCTGTACCCCTGTGGCTGACTCTTACTGACCCATCGTGATCCTGATCGCAGACTCACAGGATCTCGTCCCTCTTGTTCCGTCCCAAGCCCCAGCCCAAGTCTATTTCTTAGCACCGGGCCCCCTGTTCAGCCAACGCACAAGCGCATCCACTACCCACTCCCTACCCGAAGTAAATTTCCCACACAACGCACTACGCTGCTGCACCACCGTACCGACCGCACGCACGCACGCACCACCAACCCAGTCCCGGCCACAGTCTTAAATACTTGTTGCCATCCTCCCAGCCACGCCTTTCTGTTTTTTGTCTCGAGTCTCTCGACATCATCAGCGATCCAAACCATTCGACCCCAAAGCTTCGTCACCAACGCTTACAAATCAACTCTTGAGCCGGTTTCCTCCAGCTCATTCTCGAAACGACCGAAGGCGAATATATTCGACTTCGACTTCACCACGAATCCTCGTAGTAGGATTCACGCAGCCAGTTCAGGACATGTACGGTTCAACGACAACGGTTCCCCTTCCCTCTCGTACCGACTACATACCACGGTGACGGGCTCGTCACAACTCCTCGGCGCCTCGATTCCGGCGTGCTTCGAACCAACCTTTTTCTTTTTTCGTTTTTAGAAGGGTGTCTTGAAGAAGACATCGCAAGAGCAGGAAATCTATCATGAACAGTTACTCTTACAACACGCCTCCCGGCCATCCGGGAGCATACTACCAAACTTTCAGCGCGACGCCGTCGCCTGCTGGATCCCCCGCTGGAGGAACCCATGGATACTACGCGCGCCCTGGTCCCTCGCCCCGACAGCATTCTCGACACACTTCTTCCGGAGATGCATATGGATACTCGTCTCCCCGTGGAACGACGTTTTCTCCAAGATATAACTCCAGCGGATACTACGCGACTGCTGCCAATGTGAGTCGAAACAAAAGTTCGTATACGGCTCCGCGCCATGAGAGGCGAAGTTCATACTCCTATCATCGAGCCTCTCATGGGGATTCCGACGAGGACGAATTTGAATATGTAGACTTTGTTGTGGATGGCGTGGTCTACCGCCAGTACAGTCGGCGGCCGAACAAGTCAACTTTTAACTATCGTGGGCGAGGCACTGATAAGTACTATTCTCAGACTCAAGGACACGCCTATGACAGAGATGACTTTGAGGGTTCACCGGTGTATGAACAACCACAGCCCAGCAGTCGGAGACGACGACAATCTTCCTCAACGCCACAACGACCTTCAGCGCGTCCGACTTCCTCAACACCAAAGAAGCCTCCTCCTGTAGCAAAGGCTACCGAAGCCGACGCGCGCAAGCATCGCATTCCTCCCGGATACTCACTCAAGAACTGGGACCCTTCAGAAGAGCCCATCATGCTCCTGGGAAGTGTTTTCGATGCTAACAGTCTCGGAAAGTGGATTTACGACTGGACAGTCTACCACCATGGGCCCGCGACACCCATCGCCGACATGGCTGGTGAGCTCTGGCTCCTACTGATTCAGCTCGCCGGCAAGGTCAAGCGCGCAGAAGAATGCATGGGGCGCATCCGCACGAAGGAGAACAAGGAGATGGTCGACGACTTCATCGAGTCTGGGGAGCGTCTTACCGACAAACTAAAGAAGCTTCTCAAGTCCTGCGAGACTCCCATGCTGAAGGCGGGGAAGAAGCATGGCAAGGATTCAGCTCAGCTTGGCAAGAATGCTGGAACCGAGTTCGTTGATTCCATCTTCGGACGCGACCGTCAGCTCGAGTCGACCGAGAAGTTCATGTCTTCCATCCGTCTGTGGAATCTCCGCTTCGACGCCAACTGCGAGGATATTCTTCGCCGACCAGGACAATAGGTCCATTATTGGAGGAAACAACACCTACATACCAACTACAAAAAACAACACCACACAACATATACAAGGGGGAAGAGAGAAAGACACAGAACGAAAGCAGGGAAGGAAGAGGAGAAGAGTGGCCAACAATTTCGTTCCGTCAAATATCGCATTTCCTACGGACAGACGACGATACCCACTTCTGCGTTTCCTATTTGGCTTTTTCTTCCTGCCCGGCGAACACAACACGATTCCGTTCGCTACTTTTTGGAGCATGTACGAGTAATACCTAGACATTTTTCTACGGAATGGCATGATGATGCGAAGGGAATGAGAAGGAGGAATGGATGGAAATGGACATTAAATCGAGCAGGTTCACACCTAATACTGGCGGGCAGGCAGGGGCGGCAATCTTCAACAACAAGATTCAAATCACGCGTGCATTGTTGCATTTTGGTGGGGAAAAGTTCTACTTCATGAGGATGTCATTTTTGGAATTTTGATTTTGCGGCTTGCTTTGCTTTGCTTTGATTTTCAGCAGTTTGCGAAATATGGAATGGAATGGATGGAATTTGGAACTTGGCTTGGGTTTGAACTCCGCGTCGCTGTTGCTTGCTGTTTGGTTGCCTGTACCGCACCATCTCATACAACACAGCACAGCACAAGATTGTAATAGTAGTGTCTTTCTGATTTTTGATTGAATCTTGCACAGCATGCTGGCAGGCATATGGGGGGCTGGGAATTTTGGCGGCGCCATAAACGTACCGTACCGTACCGTTTTACTGTTGATTTGGGAATATTGGAATGTGTTCCCTCAGATAGATACCCCCTTTCATTATTATTTTTTAACCTTAACAAACTTACATTCGATTCTAAAGCCAATAAAATATTCATAAAACATTGGAAAAATAAACATTGCTGGTCCTTCTCTCTCTAACTTTTGTCTCCGCTCTGATATCGGTGACTCTGATGGAATATGCGTCTCGGGCATTTGACTTGATTTGACTTGACTTGAATTGATATTGAGTTGATCTCCGTCATGTCTGGACGTGATGACTCGACTCGACTCGAGGCGCATGTGATCAATGACTCTTGATATCATCGATACTATTGCTTACCGTTTTGCAAATCACACCAGGTAGGCTGTGCCTGTCCCGTGTTTGTAGTTTGAAGGTATCGCCATCGCCATCGCCATCGCGTGCGTTATCATCGCCGCCTGTGAGCCTACTGTAGAGTGGCGATACCTACAAGCGAGCCGAACCTAACGTTTCGGATTTAAGCTAGCAGCATCCATAACTCTCCTCTGATACTTACTACCTGGGAAAGTCATAACGAGTGAGTAAACGAATGAGGGAGGATTTGCCACTTTTGTGTGACTCAACTTAACTTGATAACCCATCCAGTGGGTAGGTGGGTATGTTGATTTTGATTTTGAAGTGATCTTAAATGCCCCCCTTCCGTTATTAAGGGAGGGAAAGGGTGAAGTGAAGTGAAGTGAAGTGAAGTGGAGCGGACGTAGGTACGTATCCCTTGGAACGAAAGTTTACCTACATTCCTCACTTCTGGTCAGCAGAAGCGGCGGCGCTTCAACTTGTGTCTTGTACGACGACTCATGGGTTAAATAACGACCAACAGGATGGGTAATGGTTAATTATAGAAATGGGTGGAAGATGGTAGTACAGCACAGCACAGCACAAGCACAGCCATATCCTCACTCTAGGTACAGCATGTAGCAAGTCCAACAACGCACCAGTCAGCCAGCACTCCTCGCTTGTCTACTGTACCTATCTATCAAGATACAACGCACATCAACGTCTCCCACCTACCCTTTCTACCTCTACTTGCAAACCAAACGAACGGACAAATAATCGATCGACAAACGACAAATGGCGAATGACAAACGAACGAACATGAGGGGTACTTACTTACCTTACCTACCTTGCCATACGTATCTCTACCCCTCTATCCTCTCACATACCTATGACATGGCAGAAAATGACATGACATGGGCACCCAAACCAGCAAAGCCAACGCAGCCCCTCCCGTTTCTCCCGTCCATCACATTAAGTTATTCTCCGCCACTCACTCACTCACTCATTTAGACTGTAGACCCACAATCTGTCTGCATTCTGCAAACGCATGGTAAGGCAAACGCATGGTAATGCAAAACGCACGCAGAATAAACGAGCGAATACAAACGCACCAGTGGTATCGTAGTGGTCTACAATCGGTCGGGTCGGTCCCCTACGGCACGTACCTACTAGCGTCGGGTTGGGCTGGCATACCTTACATATGCATACATACATACCTACATACATACAGTACAAGCCTACATGCACCCGTATATATACGCCGCATATGCATGTATGCATACGTTATTTAGGTTTGTATGTATGCATGCAGGAAGGGTGCGTGCCGGCTCGGAAGCCGAAGCGAATGGTGGATAAGTAGGTAGTAGGTATGGAGATGAATTGTTCGGCGAGTTTGAGAGAAAGTATTGAGAATGAGAATGAGAATGAGGATGAGAATGAGTCGTAGGTATGCATATAAATGAATTGTTCGGCTGGTGGATACTGGGTAGGGTGTGAGTGAGGTTGTGAGATCCACTCGGCTTCGGGTTGTTTCTTTGGGTAGAGAAATGGATGGGATAGGTGGGGTGGGGATGGTAAGCGAGAGGTGTCTGGATTTGGATTTGGATTTGCATGTGCATGTGCATGTTAAGAGGTAAGAATGTGTGAGGCTGCTGAGAACCCAATTGTTATGTAGGCAAGTAGGTATACATATATGTAGGTCTCTTGATCACTGATGCGAAAATTCTGTACTGTAGTGAGGACGGATTCCTGGGATTTGAAAGACGATTTTTTTTGCCAAACCAATCTTCAGCATAAAGATGGCGGAGAGACATGTTGTTACTTGGAAGATATGTTCTTGGGTTGATACCTTAAGTCCCAGCTTTAGTCTTACCTCTCCCATTCGAGGAGTAGAGCTGGACTGAGAAGTTTTGGAAGCCTTTCATACTGCCACCTGTGTTTACCTCGACCCGAGTTCCCCTCTCCCTTCTTTCGAGGAGCAATCCCAAGAACTTTACATCTGCTACCTAGTCCTTGTCCTTCTACGATGTTAATACGGACATTTTCTACACGTGTTTTTAGTCCAATGCCCGTTTGCTCTTCATATTTACCACAATTTATTATCATTTCTTGGGTGGAATTCGTTGTTGTCTGGGAACAATGTATCATACCGTACGACTGAAATCGCCTCAGCTGTTTAGGCGAGGAAGGAGGAAGCAATACAAGAGTAGAAAAAAGAATAGACATCGGTATTTCCTCCTCACATCTAGAACCTAATAGAGAGGGTTTTCCTTGGTCTTGTAGAGACTCGAGATGTCTTAATCAAGACCCAGTTCTACTACAACCCTGACATTCCTCTTACTTTTCACTCATCCAAGATCCAACACTCTACCAGTTCTTGTAGCGTACTGTGATAACCGTATCAAATAGCTCTGTACAATTCTCATACTTCCCAATAGAAACTGACTCAGGTTGCGAATCTGAACTTGTATGATATCCCATTCTCTGACTAGCAGCCGGAGGGAGGTATCTCATCCATTCTCCTAGAACAATGATACTACCTTCTCCAAGCAGAGCCCCTAAGCGATCAACCACCAACTACCGCCTGTGACCTGTCCAACATAAACACAGCGAGCGGAGCATTCTACAGCAGCAATGAAGACAAGAACCGGAGATTCGCTGCCCAAAAACCAAGTCGTCCAGGTTTCCATCATATCTAGTGAACGCTCTGCAAGTCGAACGTGCTTGGACTTGCTTTCTCCCTGCCATGGGTCTCAGTGACTTGACTGGTCTTGGCCCATGCTCTCAGACGTTCATGTGCTTTGTCTCTTGCGGTGCGTCCGGAATAGAAGTCCCAGATCGAATGTGCAGCTGCGCTAATAACGAGCGAAACTAGCAAAGCAGCTGGAAGGATGAATGTCGCACGTTTCAATAGGCCATCTTGTTTGTGTAGCCAGATTCGGATCGCAGTACCGATGAAAAGGCCACATCCTATGACATGATCTTGAAAGCGATGGCGTTGATGCCGATTGTAGTAGAGCATGCTGAGCATCGCACATGCCATCGAAGCACAGACAAAAAGAGATGGAGTAGGGTCGAGGAACACATCTTTCAACATAGTACAGTCCGAAGTGTTGTTCTGGGATGTGTTAGCTTTGCTTGACCCTTGGGGAAGTTGGGGATTCTACCTGGTGAGAGAGCGGACACAGTTGATATCGAACGAATGGCCAGAGCGCGGAAGGTGTTCCCAATTGGTCCCGTGGTGGGCTCGCTTCTCGATTCCATGACCACTTGTAGCTGCCCATAATGGCTATCAAAGGCACTTGAGCCAATGGTAGCAAGCATTCATACAAGATCTGTTGTGTCCAGTTTTGAGAGCTCTTTGGAAACTGATCGGGATCTGGACAACGAAGAAATGTCAGATCATCGTTAAGTGATCCATCCATGATTGGATCCGATGTTTTGCGCCGCAGATCTGTAGCTTTGCCAGATGGGAGATAGAAGAGTATGGCGTTAGTCGAGTCATAGATTGAGGGGGGATCCAAGTATATATGTCGTTCGTCCTTTGAAAGTTTGAGGACTTGCTGCACTATGAGGCCACCGAAGCTGTGTGCGATGAATACGATTGGTCTCCGTCTGGTTTCCTCCGAATTTCTCTCCCTGGAAATGTGTCGCAGCAGCACCTGCGCATGCTCGTGGATCATGTCTGAGGCTATCGCTTGCCTCCTCTCCTTTCTCAGACCCCTTTCGTTGTACTTGTACGAGTATATCCTGGCTTCTAGAGAGCCCAAGGCTTGCTCTATATTCAGCAGGTCGCTCCGTATTCTGGAATCTTTGTTTTGTAGTGGGTATTCTACACTCCACGTTGATGACGAGCCCTCTGCTTGGCCATGAACCAGAACGATATCACAGACTCTCCTCGCAAGATCGCAGAGCTGAATTGCGTGTGCTGCGACGCCTAAAATTGACAGAGGTTCCATCGCGGTATACGTGATTCGATAGTTAAGGGCGGTGGCCGAAGGAAGCTATCGTTTGATCAGGAAAAGGTTCGACTCAAGGAGTAGTTCTCGTTGGCTTTCTTGAGGACCTAGATAAGTATATTCAGCATGGAAAGCGCTCGTGACAGCTCGATGCTTACTTACATGTGTGTGATATTGGCACCCTCTTTGACCTTCTTTGATGTTGATTTATCGTAGGAAAAACGCAGCTTGCGCCTGGGAACAGTGGTGAGGCTGAAGATACGTGGCACAGGATTCGTCGAACATTGTCAGCTCATTCAACTTCTGTTCAACACCTTACCTCGACCGCACTCCAACTCGCCCAACCCCAGCTCCACTAACAGTACTCTCGCCATCATCTCTGACCCCTACGACATCCCGACACATGATTCAAAGCAGATAATCACGAATGATCGTGTGAATACCCAAGTATCGCCCTGCCGATCCCTAGTTGTTCGACCAGCCCCAGATAACCCATTCTCCTACGATTCTTGTCCATTCGAGGACTCCGAATAGCACCTGTATACTCGACACATTGTTTGGCAATCAAAACTACCTCCCTTGGAGGAAGTTCTAGGCACAGACACCGCTCGGTATGTAGCCCGATACATATCTGCCATGCCATAAACGGCCTCTGACGTTGTTACAGCTGGCATGCAGCATGCAGTAGTTTTGCGAGCATTGTTACTTTCACAAGTCAAAATCAAGACATCCTTGAAAAAGATCATCGATATTTCCCCACAGTCCCCAGACGGGAACCAAGCGGGCACCATGGGTAGCGTTGATCCACCCACTTTGCCAGGCTCTAGGCGAAGCAGGGCTCCAACAATTACCATTGATACCACTGCCTCCGAGCAGACAGTCATTGAAAACCACGTCGAAACTCGGGAGACGCTCTCCGAACTGTCGTCTTTCGAAAGTCGACCAACATCACCTCACAATGTATCCTGCCCGGGTGTGTGTGGAAATTCTGGAGGATTCCTCGCCGTGCCAGGTGCTAGAACTAGAGCCAGACAGAATTCCATTGAGAATGAAGATACCTACAAGCATGAATCTTGTTACACTGTCACCGAGACGGCATTGGATGAAGATGCTCAAAGTCCAGATCCTGGCTCCGAGAAGGACTTCCAGGTCAACGACAACGCGTTTGCATTCAGCCCAGGACAGCTCAACAAGCTGTTCAACCCAAAGTCTCTTTCTGCTTTCTATGCATTGAGAGGACTGTCGGGACTTGAAAAGGGGTTGAGAACCGATCGGTGCGCTGGACTTGACATCCACAGTAGCCAATCAATTTATCAGACAGAACCCGGAGGTAGAGATGCAATGCATGCAGCTTCCTCTTCTCCCTCGCCTCTCAATGGTCTTACACGTTCCACGGCTCCATCCTCTCGTTACGCGACCCAGAGCATAGAGAAATTCAACGAGGCAGATACTGCCCACCTCGTTCCATACACAGGATCTGGAAGAGTAACGCCAGGCACTGGTAACGGAAACGGTGACTTCTTCTGCCCTATGGGTATCACTGGTACCAAAGTCACCAAAGACGCCGCCTCTGACATTCTCAAGGATGACAGCCTTGGTTCTATTGTCAAAGATTGGATATGGGGAATAGCAGCGCACAATGCTGTAAAAGAAATCCTTTCCTTCATCTATGCAGAGTATCTAATCCCCGTCGTGGACTGGAGATTGACCTTCTTGAACCTAGTGCTACTGTCTTGCAATTGCGAGAGCAAGTTTGCTTTAGTTATACTTGTGCTCGCGAAGAAGCTCCTGGCGGTGACTGACAGCGAGATCGAGTCCAAGTCCTACCAACTTAGATTTGCAAAGCGGAGCTGCACTCCACCGTCCGCTCGTCACAAAGCACTACAACTACAACAGACACCAAATTTGTCTCAAAGACTGTTCGTGGCATTTGGTGGATTGGCGCTATCCTTGCCTGTGGTTGCTGCCACCTCTGATGAGTGGCCCTCAAGCAATTGGATGAAACCCACGTTATCATCCACCGCTGCCATTACCACTAGCAAGGCAGTAGCTACCACACAGCCAAGTATTGGGAGAGAAAGCCCCTTGAGAGAGGATTGGGTTAGATCACTAGCTCCATTGTATGACATTCTATGGACCATAGCGATCACAGTAGTCGCCTTCGCGATCTTTCGGTGGTTCTGCGGCTCACGTAGTCGAAGAATCGACAAAGCGAGGAAGTACTGCTTCTTCTGGATGGTGGTGTTTCAGGCCCTCTTCTTCCTCATAAGAGATGATCCTGATTCACCACCAGGATTTCTCTTCGGGTAAATACACAGAAACCACCTGTTGTGCTTGTGCGGCTCCAGCTAACCGAGCAACAGACTATTCATCGGGTCAGGTCTGTTTACGTATAAATCAGCCGCTCGAGGTGCTGCACGATTCGGATTTGGTCTCTTCTATGCCCTTGCGGGGATCGTGATGGGTGTCATTATATCGATCATTACGCTACCATTTATCAGGACCAAGTCCGGGAATCCAAGTTGGGAGACAATCCTCTTCCCATCTATTTCCGTGGCATTTGCAGCATTGGAGATCGGATCCCAATGCTTCCTAGCAAATATGAATTATCGCGATGAAGACGAGATCAACGACGAGGCTGGTAGTGGAAAAGGACTGCCGATGTACCGGTACCCACATTCCAGGAGTACACCAAGTCCACAGAGCACTTGGCTCGAGAGAACTCACCAGTGGCAAGAGAGCCAGATCAGTAGGGCTTGCAGTATTCGTCTGGGCCGTGAACCCAATGGACTAGAGTACCACGGGACTTATCCTCAAGTCCAAGGCATCTCACATTCGGTGGACTTGCCGCATCCGGAATCCTTTGTCTCCGCTGACGACGACTACCGGCCTGCAGGCAGTTAGATGTAGATTTTTTGTCTCGCTCTAGTATCAGTGGGCAAACCATGACGAAGGTTCTGTTCTGACATTAGCGATTTCCCGAACATACTATGCATGTCAGCATTAACAATATGTTCTCTTTGGGATAGACAAATATTTAGAAAGGAATGAATACAAAATCCATGACTAAACTTTCAAAATGGTATCACACTTCGCACCATCCACCATCCTATCTTCACTAGCCAGTGGTGAACGACAGACACAAACACAAACATACTAACTGATATTCCTTCCCACAGCGTAGATTACTTAACCTATCGAGTCGTGTCGAGTCAAACACGTCTAGCCCGTACTGACTGACTGACTTCCCAATTCTTTCCTAGCTTATTTGATATATATCACTAACTTTACCCAGTCGAAGCAACAGTAAGGTATACTTTTTACAGCTCAAGCTCACCTTCAATCGTTCCTAATCGTTCCTGCTAATGAAATAGGGTTCTGTAGACTCAACATTCAGATCTACTAATCATGACAGACCATGAAGTGGATGGAGGCAAGGAAATATCGCAACGTATCACAAGCATCACAAAGCATCATACACAACAAGACCAGATTTATTATATTTTTCAATGCTTCATTCACTTCTGTTTCGATAATATCTACCATTCCCTATCTACACATACAACAACCAACCAAAACAAAAAGGAAAGGGAAAGGGGAAAGCGAGCAGAGAAGGAAAAAGTCACACTCGACCGACATATCTACCAACCCTTCAGCTCTCCTCCTCAAAGCCGGCTAATCAACCGTCTCCTCACCCGAGGGAGGGAAGGCGGGATCCATCGACCAAGAAGTAGATCGTCAGGTGATTGATATGGATGAGGTGACTGACTCCCTTGCCCATGTGATTGAGAGCTACTCGCCCATTCCTTCCAGCACCGTCATCATTATGCAACTCCATATCCATCCATCCTTTCATCCAACCCGCCTAAAACAATTTGATTTCGCTTGCTTGCTTGATTTCCAATCCAATCCATCCAGGTGTTTTATGTATGTAAGTGATATCTCATCTCATCTCATCTCTCCAATTCAGATCTCCGCTTGTGACTTGTGTAGGTGTATGTATGACAGAAGAAGGAGAAGGAGAAAGATGTTAAACCTTCAACGCTATGTAAGGACAATTGAGAAGGGAGAGAGCATGATTACAGACGAGAGCCGTGGATGGTCTTCATGTCGACGGCGAGCTCGCGGCCGTGGTCGCTGATGACGAGGACGCGGACGCTGCCACGGCCGGTCTCGAAGGCGTCGGAGAGACGGGACCAGAGGTTGGATTGGTCGATGACGGGGAGGGATTGCTTGACGTCGCCGGTCTCGGTCATGGCGACGACTGTAAAAGGGTAGGTTAGCAGATGCTAAGATAATTAGAGTGATAGGGGGAGAGTGAGGAACTTACCGGATCCGTCTTGGAGGTCAAGAACTCGGTATTGCTTGAAAACAGGGCCGAGCATGGTCTGGACGACAACGCTTGGGCTTGGGTTGGAGATGAACGAGGACTCCTCGTGCAATTGCTTGGTGAAGAGGTCGACGCCCAAGTATCTATGCTGGCCGGTAGCAGAGGAGGTGGTGATGCGGATGACCTGGCAAGGACGGCCTTGGAGGATCAGGAGATCGCCGAGGCGGATGTGGTGGCATGGGATGGTGACGGTGTTGGGGGTGTATGCTGGCTCTGGGATGGAAGCTGGCAAAGGAGCAGCGCTGGAGCGACTTCCTCCTATGGTAATGTCAATCTCTTCCCGATCAACGTGGTTGTGATGATGGTGGTGGTGGTGACGTCCCAGGACACGGTCAGCAGCCTTGTGGAGGCCGTGTCTGATGGAGTGGTAGTGGCCTGTCACGGACGTTTAGGTTAAGGATGGTGGTGACAGAGAGAGATTGACTTACCATCTTCGTCGTAGTAACCCATCTTGTCTGATTTACGGGTGAACCGGGGAGGGTCTACGGTCTCTTCGGTAACGTGAACGTGGGAGCGTTGAGCTTGGAAGCGAGGCGGGTCGACGGTCTCTTCGGTGAAGCGAACCTGTTCTCTTTGTGTTGCTTGGAAACGTGGAGGATCAACAGTGGTACCGCTGACACGAACTTCCTCTCGGTATTGTTGTGGTTGGAAGCTAGGAGGGTCTACAGTAGACTCGTAGCGGGTCTCTTCACGGTAGCTAGGTTGGAAGCGGGAACGATATTCACGCTCGGCGACGTCGATCTGGGTACCTTCGTATCGGCGGCGTTGAGGACCTTCGATGTGGACAGTGGTATCGTGGTGGTGATGATGTCTGCGGTGTGGAAGCTCGACGTCGATATGGGTAGTGGAGTGCTTGGATGGTCTGAAGAGAGAAGATGTTAGGAAGGATGATCGAAGAAGATGTCGGTGAAGGGTTACTGTGTCAACAAACAAGAGATAAAAAGAGGCGCTGAAGAATAAATAAAGTCAAATGAAATGGCTAGGGTCAATGTAGATCCGGGCGCTTGGACTACTAATTTGACCAATTCTAAGAGAGAAACATAGTTTCGGGACACGAGTACAGTGGAGCCATTTCGTTGCAGAGCTGGAGTGGCTGCTGCACAGGAAAGAGATCCGCTGCCCACATGCATGAACAACAAACAGCGAGACAACAACATGAACACAACACAGCTAAAAGCAAATAAAATGAAGCAGAAGCTGCCCTGACTGACCTTCTTTCCTCGCGGATGTAGATATCTTCCCTGCGGCTCGGACGGTGGTGATGTTCCTCTTCACGAGTGATATGGACCTCTTCCTGGAACTGCTCGTTGCGGGGAGGGAGATTGGCGGAGAAAGAGGATTGACCTTCCCGTCCGACGCGCTGCTCTTGTGCTAGGTGGAATTCACCCTCGACGTGAGTCTGGGTGGTTGTTGCTACGTCGTCGCTCCGGTACGACGATGGGAAGATGCTGAAGGGGATCGGGACGCGGGCGTCAAAGTCCAGGTTGACGACCTATGAGGCGAGAACTCTTCTCGAATGCCTTTCGACGTGCGCGAAAGGAAGACAAGAAGGGGTCTCTTGCTTCTTGGGGAAAGAAGGGGGGAAGAAAGCGTAGGGACGCTTTCTTGACTCTGTTCTTTCGATGGGAGGGAGGGATGGGAGTAGGATGAAGGTGAGGGTGTAGATGTGAGGTTGATTTTGGGGGATGGAAATGTGGGAAGAAGAAGATGGTTTTCGGATGTGGAGGAATGGAAGGTCTCTCTCCTTTTGAGCGCAAGGGTGTGTGGTGAAATAAGCGGGTGGGTTGTTGACTTCGTTGTTTACGCGCTAATAAGTGGAGCTAGTCAGGGGTCTTTGCCGGGATGTGAGTCTCAAAGAGGCCAAAACGAAAGTGAAGAGGCTGGTCCAAGCTCAAGCTCGAATTTGATGGAGAAACATTGAAAGTGAAGATGATTGGATAAATAGAGGACGGAGGACTTTTAGATACAATTGGAAGACCTGATTGGATGTATCTTTGAAGATAAGAGGAGCTGTCTGATCTGTTCCTTTGCATTTGGCGGAGTCTGGTGCATGTTGAACGACGGCAGAGCTTCTACAGGGGTGGTTGGCCAGCCATGACCGATGCACCATCACGAAGCTTCAAAACAATAATTGGACAACCTTAAAGTCTTTTTGATTGGATATTCGTGTCAGAACACATGTTGAACACTTCATGAAGGGATACGACGTCTTGTTTGCAGCATACAGCTCCAATTAAACCACTCATACTTTACTGGTGTGGGGATTCAGGTTTGACCTTCAGAGCCTCGTCAAGTTCTGGATGCTCTGAGCGACGTTTCACAGCATATATCTTTTGCAGATTCCTTTTTCTGCCTACTTGATTAAAGCCTAACGGCGGGGAAAGGCTTTGATTACCTACAGTAGTAAAAACTAGATATGTGTCTTTCGCAGTTGGTGGGGAGATTTAGATCTGGGTTCTGTTACTTTGCCCTTTTCCTCTAACTCGGCAACTCAAATCTCTCCGAGGGAGCTTCATGAACACAACAGCTGGACAACCAGCTCGAAACATATCATGGTGTGCAGGTCGAAGAAACCTCTCAATATATTTCCCGCATCTCTACACCCTCAATCCAGGCAGGAACCTTTCCTACTGGCCGCCTCACTACCAGCCTCTCTCTCCTCTTCCACACACAAGGCAAATCACCATGCACCTCTACACCTCTGCATCATCAATTCTGCAGGCAAACAGCCTCACCTAGTCGATCTCGAGCCTTCTCACCTCTCGTATGAGGAAGCAGGAGATTTTCCATTGGAACCATTCAGCTCTCCTCGAGGCTGATAACTGTCCGATGATAGGATATCCCCCGTCGGAGCTGCATACCATCGCTCGTGGACCATAATTATTGGATGTTGACATTAGGTTATGCACGTTGCGTTTGTGCTGCGTTTGTGCTGCCCTGTCCAGTCCAGCCCGTTACTTTTCCCTCTCCTTTTTTCTTTTTCTTCACATGTCACCCAACCTCTTTTTTCACCACCAGTGTATTCCCCCTCCCTCCCTCCCTCTCTCTCCATCACATCCTCATTTTCTCAAACAATGTAAAAATCTCAATTTCATTATCACAACGAGAACAATCATCCGCATCACAAGCAGACCTCGGTCCCATCTCCATTCTGCAACCCGACACCTAGACAAGCCCCACAGGACCGGCCAGCGACCGTATCCATAGCAACGACTTGCCATCGGTGCCCCGGCTGCGCTGCGGAAGCCAATCCAAGCTGGGAATAGGGGGGGGGGGAGGGGGGGTACGGCTAAGGCTAGCGCGCGGCCCACGTTCAGGGTTTCTTCAGCTGGCGTGGCCTGGCTTCGCGCCATCACGGGGCAGATAAAAGTGACCGACAACGGTAGGGAGGTAAATGTAGTAGGTAGGCGAGACTTTCCGAGATCTCCGGGAATAGAGAGGAGTGTTGTTTTTGTTTGTTTGGATGGATAGATAGAGATGTTGTGATCGTGATGATGGGGATGTTCGAGTGAACGAACAAAAGAGTTCCTGATTGATTGATTGATTGATTGATTGATTGATTGATTGATTGATTGATTGATTGATTGATTGATTGATTGATTGATTGATTGATTGATTGATTGATTGATTGATTGATTGATGATTTTGTGGATTGGGGTTTTCGATGAAGAGTTCGCAATTCTCTTTCTTTCGTTTTCTTTGAAGCGCTGTACCCAGCAGACCTTTCAGTGAAGCTCTGCTGTTTCTGCTTTCTCGCTTTTCTGTTTGTTTATTTCACACCTTTTTTTTCTGGTTCACCGTCACATCTTTTTTCGTTAGGAACTCATCAAGTATTCAAATCTTGATTTACATTATCAATTTTTGCTAGCCATGCAAAATCGCAACCTGCTCAAGTATAATGCGGCAATTGTTTCCCATCCATCTCCCCATTTGCTCCTTTCCCTCTAACACTATTCCCAATATCAAGCCCCTCCAGATTCCCATCCGCTCTATTACTCACCCTCTTCACCCCCTCCGGCACCTTAAAATGCGACTTCAACGGCGTCCAACTCTCCTCATTATAATCCCCCTGAACCTTCCTACACGTCTTCAATCCCCACTCCGTCACCCCCACCATAAAGCAACTCTCAAACATAAACGCCATACTCCCCTCCCCAACCTTCACAGGCTTCAGATCCGCACCCGAAGCCTTCTCGTGCGTCCCCGCATCAGGCCCATGCGCACTCATGACATTATGCAGACTCGCGCCCGCAGGCTGGAAGCCGCCTCCCGTCTTAGCATCGTACTCGCCGCCGATGAGGCCCATGAACTCGGACATGGTGTTGCGATGGTACCAGGGCGGGCGGAAGGTGTCTTCGCCGACGAGCCAGCGTGGAGGGAAGATCACGAAGTCGGCGACGGCGGTGCCGATGTGGTCTGAAGGGGCGGAGAGGACGGTGAAGATGCTGGGGTCGGGGTGGTCGAAGGAGATGCTGCCGATGGTGTTGAAGCGGCCGAGGTCGTACTTGTATGGGTAGTATAGACCGTGCCAGGCTACGACGTTGTAGGGAGTGTGGTTTTGCTTTGCGGCGAAGAGGTGTCCGTTGAATTTGGAGAGAACGGTGTATGTTTCTGTGGTACCTTCTTCGTAGGCTGCGACTGGGGCTTGGAAATCTCGAGCATTGGCTAGACAGTTCGATCCAATAGGTCCAAGTTCTGGGAGTTGGAAATGCCCTTGATACAACTCCAAGATGTATCCTCGTACTGGTCCTTCGGGTAGCTCAACTCGATATCTGATTCCTCTTGGGATGACACAGATCTCATTAGGACGAACGAGGATCCTGCCCAGTTCGGTCTGAATATCCAAAACTCCATGCTGAAGCACAATCAAGAAATCTCCATCCGCAGAGTAGAACGCGGAAGTCTTATCCATGCTCTTCCCAGCCGCGAATATGAATATTCCCAATCCAGTCTTCATTGTAGGATCTCCCGCTCCAGCAACCAACTTCAAGCTATGTACCCAATCCACGGTCTCATCTAGGTCGAATGGATCCCACCGCAGCTGGTTTGGGATCTGATGTAGCTTGTCTCCCTCAGGATTCGTATTGTATGTCGATGCTTCGCGGGCATTGAAAGGAGAGTGCGCGGCTGAGGGGAGGATTCGGTACAGCCATGTTTGCTGGTTCTCGTGGCGGGGTGCTGTGAATGCTGTTCCGGAAAGCTTCTCGGCGTAGAGACCGTAGGGAGGTTTTTGGGGAGAGTTTGTTCCTATGGGGAGGGCACCGACGATGGCTTCTGACCTGTATTTATTAGAATAATTATCTCCAGATTTTCATTGAAATCATCTTACTCATGGTAAGAGCCAAAGCCGTTCTGGTATTTGTATTTCTCTGGGGTGCTGAACTTCGTGACGGGCATGATTGCGGTTGTGTAGAAGTCAGGGATGTGGTTCAGTTCTTCTGACCAAAACTAGAGATGAATAACAAAGTATATAAATGTCCTCAAAAAGCGCGAGAACTTTCAATTAATTCCTTTCATTGCTAAGCTGATGATGCTCTTACGGAGGAGTTCGCGGAAGCTACCCCACATTCAACTCGGTTTAAGGAATTATGGGGTGCGGAATGGGCGGGCTGAATTCCGTGGGGTGTGGATGCATGAAAGCCGTGAAGCAACGGCGCGGGAAACTGGGTTGGAGCCGGATGTTTAATAGAGACACCCTTGTTACCACCTCCTGATATTTCCGCTGTTCTTTAAAGTACGAATTCATCAACGAGAATATTGGAATACTTGGATATTATGGTAATAATTATTCGATAGTTCAAATCAGAGCTCAATATGCGAGCACAGTTCTCAGGCTTCCAGACATGCCGTATGTCCTTTCAAGCGCTTCATGAAATCATCAAACGTTCTATTTCTAGAATATCTTCCTCATCTACCCAAGCTCCCAATCATTTCACTCCTCTGCATGGTGCTTGATCGTACTCCTCCCGTTCTTCGTCACATGCCAAGCTCCTTTCAAAAACTCCTGATCAAGCAAATGCCCTTCCTCCCCAATCTCCAACACACCCACCTGCTCACCCTCAGAATCCACAATCAACGTCTTCGCACCAGGAGTCGTATGATACAAACAGACCTCTACGCCTTGCGAGTAATCATACACCGTCCTCGTCTCATGCCACTTCCCCAGCACCAAAATAGTATTCTCACGAACATACAAGGGTAATGTATCGAACTTATGGTGCTCTTTAAACCAACCCGGCCCCTCCTTTGTCTTGTTGGTGAAGAAATTCGTCCATTTCCCTTTCGGTAGGTAGAACTCCACATCGCCCGACTCCTCGAAGATAGGAGCCACGAGCAGACTATCGCCAAACATGAACTGGCGATCGAGATACCAGGACGTAGGATCATCTGGGAACTCAAGACACATTGCTCGGAGGGAGAGCGGGATGCCGAGCTCGACTGCTTTCTGTGCTTGTGAGAAGATATATGACATCAGACGAGCCTTCAGCGCCGTCCATTTTGACAGCGTCTTTGAGCACCCCTGTTCGCTGGAATCGTCGTCGTCGACTGTCCACGGTACACGGAAAGAGTTACTGCCGTGCAGACGACTGTGCGAGCAGAGAAGGCCAAAGGCTACCCAACGTTTGTAAATCCATGGTGGAGGCGACCCCTCGAAACCACCGATGTCGACGGACCAGAATGAAAAGCCACAGAGACCGAGGGACAGACCTCCACGAACAGATTCAGCCATGGCTTCGGCTGTGGATTCACAGTCACCACCCCATTGGAGTGGGAAGCGCTGCGTACCTGCTGTGGCGGTACGGGCGAATAGGACAGCTTCATTCTCACCGAAACGGTCTTGGATGGCTTCATAGACGACCTTGTTATACAAGAATGCGTAATAGTTGTGCATTTTCCTTGGGTCGAGGGACGAGTCAAACCATTCGACATCTATGGTAGGAATACGTTCTCCGAAATCGGTTTTGATGGCGTCCACTCCCTTGTCGAAAAGTCCCTCGAGACAGCTGACGTACCAGGCGCAAGCTTCGGGGTTTGTGAAATCGACGATGCCCATGCCGGTTTGCCAGAGATCCCACTGGAAGATATCGCCGTTTTTGCGGCGGAGAAGGTACCCTTTGCTGGCTGCGTGTTTGAAAACTGGTGAGGCTTGGCCGAGGTAAGGATTTACCCATACACAGACTTTCTTGACGAGACCTGTCATGAGTTAGTAGAGCATTCGTCCCACTGAACGCTGAGATTATCTTACCAGACGCCTTCAGACGGGCAATTTGGGCTTTCGGATCTGGGAACATCTCTGAATCAAAGACGAAATCGCACCAGTGAAATGCCCTCAGCCAGAAGCAATCAAAATGAAAGACTTCGACTGGGATATCTCTTGCTTTCATTCCTTCGAGGAACGAATTAACGGTCTTCTCGTCATAATTAGTGGTAAAGCTGGTACTTAGCCAGAGTCCATAACTCCAGCTTGGGACCTTTCCAGGCCTGCCAGTAAGAATTGAGTACTTAGTCAATACCTCTTTAGGCGTTGGACCGTAGATTATGTACCTGTTCTCTTAGCCCAGATTAAGCCCAAAATCAAACTATGAACTCACCACTTCAGTCTCTGTCCCTCCACACTAGTCTGCACACGACAACACCTCTCACTCCCAACTTCAAGTTCCACTTTATCAGGCGTATCAATGAATATCCCATATCCCCTCGAACTCATCCAAAAAGGCACATTCTTATACGCCTGATCACTGCTCGTCCCACCATCCGCATTCCAAAGCGTAATAGCCTGACCTACCTTATTGAAAGCACCAAACCTCTCTCCAAGACCATGCACAGACTCGCCTACCGAAAGTGTACTCTGCGTGAAGATATAATGTTGGAGCTTCGACATGTCACCCGTCTGCATCTGGTTGCCAGGTCCGGGACTGTATGCGAAACCTACACTGCGGTTGAGCAGCGAGGTGAGTTCTTTCGAGCCATCGGTGGCATGGAAGCGGATATCGAAGTCGTGATTTCCGGTCTTGATTGTGGCTGAGATGGAGCCTGATTTGAGTGTTGTGGAAGTCGAGGTTTTCGTGATTGCTGGGTCGCATTTCTCGGGTTTGCCTGCTGGGTAGAGGTCGAAATGAGGACCTGGGTTGAGAGCGCCGAGCCAATGTGTGGTTTCGACAGAGATGACGCCGTCGAAAGGAGCTCGGATATCCTTTTTGGATTAACTTGAGAATGTTAGGACAACATATGTATTTCTTACAATTGTGAGGGTTGGAAGGTTCAGCGAGTCTGGTCGCTGGAGAATCCTCTTTGTCGGGCAGAGCAGACTCAGAGCATTTCCTGAGGGATGCTCTTGAATCGAGTAGACTTCCTCTGCGTATTCAGGGCGTTTGTCTTCTGCCACCATCCACATACCATCGCGGAACTTCATGGTTGCGGTTGTTTTGGGTAAGAACTACCTACCAGAGCTTCAATTTTAAAAGCAACGGAGAAACAGGAGAAGTAATAGCACTGACACTTCAAGGAAGCACAAACAGCAATTTCAAGACGTAAACAGAGAGAAGGAGAAAAACACTAGAATAATCACGATAGCAGGAACGTGTTTCTAGCTATCGGGTGATATTTTTCCGTATCGCTGGAGCTATCGTCCACAAAAATATGCAATGACGATGAATCAGGGTGCAGGGCGTTGTATTCTGCCTGAATGCAAATGAGGGGTCGTGATAGGTACGTACGTGCCTGGCCATCCGCACGTATCACGACCCCAGAAAAGGGGCCAAAGGTGGGAATACCCTCGTATGACCATGGACGTGGGAAGTGGCATGATGCGGGGTGTTTCCCTCGCCGAGAGCCGAATTGAAGATGATTTGGTTGATCTGATTTCTTCGACTTATTTTAAGCTTTGAGTAGTTTGTCCATGTTGTGGAAAAGCGGGCAGAAGAGCCGGTTTAGCTCGCCCAGACAAAGTCGACTGGTTTTCAGTACAGAGAGTGTTAGGATCGGTATCGCGGATTCTTTTCGTAGACTACCAAGCATAGCCAATGTGCTCTCAGGATGCATTGAACAGAAGAAATCGAAGCTGTTGTGCAAGAAGAGAGAGTCACTGAAATTTTAGTGATTATGCCCCCAGCCCTCGGGTGACTTTTCTGGCAGTGGCATCACGCTACTGTGAAATTAGCGAAGTCCTGCCGAGCACTTCAGTGAAGGAAGAAAGAAAGCATTGTCGTGCCATCAACAACAATATCAAAACATAAGTGTTCCAATACAATTAGATCTATTACAATCGCTGCTCTGGCCTCTGCTTCTGCGCCATATTGATCCACTCATAATCATCCTTCAAGAACTGCTGAGCTCTTACATCTCCAGACCGAGCATGTCCTTCAAAGTTCTCTACTCTCGCAGCACGTCCACACAGTCTTCCGAGCTCACCACTCGCCTCCTCAGATCTCACTTCTTGGTATGTGCAGGTTTTCAAGTACTTGCCAACCCAAAGACCGCCGGTGTATCTAGCAGCTCCGCGAGTTGGAAGAACGTGGTTGGTGCCAATGACCTTAGCCTTGTTAGTAATTGTCGCGAGACTGGGAATTTGAAACGTACCTTATCACCATAACTCACACAAGTCTTCTCTCCCAAGAATAGAGCTCCATAATTCGTCATCTTGACGAGTGCCTCTCGTGGATTCTGCGTCAGGATCTGGACGTGCTCACTAGCATATATATCTGCCCATTTATACGCCTCATCCAAATCATCCACGACCCATACCTCACCATAATCTCTCCAACTCGTACCGGCTAACTTTCCAGTCGACATGTTGGGCAAAATCACATCCACTAACCTCATAGTCTCCCGTGCCAGCTCCTCTGATGTGGTGATGAGTACAGCTGGCGTATCGGGGCCATGTTCAGCTTGACTCAACAGATCGGTGGCCACGGTGAAGGGATCCGCGAACTCGTCGGCCACGATCAAAACCTCTGTTGGTCCAGCGAAGAGATCGATTCCTACAGCGCCGAAGAATTGTCGTTTTGCTTCTGCGACGAATGCGTTTCCTGGCCCGGCGATGAAGTCTACCTTAGGGATAGTTTCTGTTCCCAGCGCCATTGCCGCGACTGCTTGGACGCCCCCGAGAATATAAATGGAATCTGCGCCTGCGAAGAACATAGCTGCGACTGTTGCTGCGGGTATAGATCCATTGATTGGGGGTGTGAAGCCCATTACGTGTGGAACGCCAGCGACTTTTGCGGTTAGGATAGTCATATGTGCAGATGCTAGGAGAGGATATCGACCACCCGGAATATAACTGCAGATTGTCAGTAAATGCAGAATGTAGATTAACGAAGGTACGTACCATCCAACAGAATTAATCGGAATATTTTTCTGCCCCAAAAACACTCCAGGCTGAATCTCCAGCTCAAACTCCTTCAGGCTATCCTTCTGCGCCTGGGCAAATGTCCGCACGTTATGCTGCACTTGCTTGATATCCTTGATGACTTGTTCAGGTAGCGTAGCGATGATCTTCTCGATCTCGTCTTTTGAGAGTTTGAATGATACTGGTGACCATTTGTCGAATTTCTCGGAAAAGGAACGAACTGCTGAGTCCCCGTCTTTTCGTATCGAGTCGATGACGCCGGCCACGATGGATGGGACATTGGAGGGTGCGTTACTAGTGGAAGATGCTGTGCTTGAAGCACCGGCTTTGAGATGGCGTGCCATATTTGTTTATTGTGTGTTAAGTTCCTGGAATTTCTTAAATTTGAGAAATGCCGATTGTGCTATTTCGCAGATTGCTTGCAACAGCTTTGATAATAAATATTTTAAGCTTCCATCTGAACAGCTCTAGGACTTGTGTTCGATCTTATATTGGTCTATGCCTCTTTGGATCATACTTACGGACTTTTCCGCATGTCCCAGCCAAGATGATGGACTTCCTCTCGGAACAGGCACTGTTGACTCTTCGGCTCGGTAAAGTGGGTCCAACATCCCCAAGCGAACCGAAGAATTACACCCAAGTATTCCTTAATGTGAAGGTCGAATACAATCAAGCTAGCATTGGAAACAATACTGAATGGCCGCGTACACGTTCTCTAGGACCGGCGAGGCAGAAATCACAAACGCAGGTCAACAACCTTGCAACTTACAAGCGATTCTGCCCCTCCCCCGCAATCCCGAGTTCGGGACCACATGAATCAGTATTCACCTCACCACAGCTACAGATCCGCAGGTAACCTTTTATACGTCCAAGCAAGGTGGGCAAAACCGTTGCCTATATTGAACTCCGCAATTTCTATTCCCGTCTGCGTTCCTCGGAAAGTGTTGGCTGCCTCTTGTTCCTGGATCCATGGTAGCTTCGAACCAGCATCCGAACCTGAAGCGAGATATTTCCCTTGGGAACTCGTTTTGTTTACATTACCGAGATCTGAAGAAGATGTGACATTTGAAAACTGGAAAGATAATGTAAGTTCCCCCTATCATTGATTCTTTTAGAAATGAAAACTGAGTATGATACTTGAGCTATTACAAAGACTCTCCAAGGAACAGCATAGATACAACAGCCACTTCAATTGGCGAGTCCGAAACTACTACCGAGCTCTGAAGATTTGCCCAAGCAAGAAACTACACCATGACACAAGACATGGCATCAAGCGCCACAGCAACTTCAAACCTCACTCCCGCGCAAACTCTCTACGGCAAAACCGCCATCATCAGCGGCTCCTCCTCAGGAATCGGCCTCGCAATCGCGCACGAGCTCGCCTCCCGCGGCAGCAACATCGTCCTCAATTACCCATTCCCCAGCCTCTCCTCTGCCGCCCAATCTCTTATCTCCTCCTTCCCTACCCGCACAATCGCCGTCTGCGCCGACATATCCACCACCGACGGTCCCCAAACACTGATCGATGCAGCAGTCAAAGAATTCGGCAAGATCGATATCCTAGTCAACAATGCCGCACTGGCTGTGAACTTGCCATTCGAAGAACAGACTTTAGAGCACTGGGACTCACTGGTGAACTTAAACGCGCGAGGGACGTTCCTGTTGACACAAGCTGTACTTCCGCATTTAGTCGAGCAAGGCGGCCGAATAGTAAATATCGACAGTATATCCTCACGTGCCGCACCGCCACTACAAACCATCTACGCCGGTACGAAAGGCATGGTAGATTCATTTACGCGATGCTGGGCGAAGGAGTTGCCGCCCAAGTATGGATGTACGGTGAATGCAGTTAGTCCTGGGCCGACGATGACGGAGGGGTTTGCGGCTGCGGGGGAGCAGTTCATGAGAGAGATGAGGCCGGTTATGGAGCAGACGCCGGTGGGGAAGAGGATGGCGAGGGTGGAGGAGATTGCGTTTGCGGTGGGGTTTTTGTGTGAGCCGAGGGCGAGCTGGATAAATGGGTTGAATTTGACGGCTAGTGGGGGGTTGTTTATTGATTGAGATGGTGGCTGTGTTTATGAGTGAATGATGAATTTATGAGAAGTGCCTTGGACTGATGCTTGAAAAATCCTGGATTGGAGCAAGTCGTGACAGAAATGTATAGCGTTCTTTGTGTAATAAGAGCCATTTGGATTTCAGTGGATTCTAGCGAGCAAGAAAATACGACCGTCGAGTAGAAACAATCATTTTGCAGCAGATCTGCATTGTGTCAATGAATCATTTCCTCACACGTCTGTTATCTTTCCATCCAGAGAATCATACTTAACTATTTAACTCTGGGGAAATCTTTGTACTCGAAATTGATTTTACATTCTATTTTGATTGTTCGCCATAAATAAGTATCCCCGCCAGCAATTTCTAGAAGTTAGTTGACAGCGACGAGGAGAGTATTTTGCCGACAACAAACTATGGCGAAGGAACGGATCTAAGTTTGCTCTACTTGGGAGGAATAACAGGTAACGTAACATAATTCTCCCTCTCTCCTCCAAAATGCAGCACATTCGACCCCTTGAACCTACTAGCCGGTCTATCCACGTCACTCGCATGCTGGAAAATCCCACAACCCTGCGTATCTCCACTCGCAACCTCCAGCACAATCTTCCCTCCCTTCTCAACCACCACATTCGTAGGCCAGATCTCCACATCAACTCCATAGACCTCGTTTGCTTGTACAGGTTGAACCTCGGTTGAGAGGTACTCTCTGTGTGGCATGTATTCCCGATGTCTAGGATTCTCGTCGTGAATCTTGCGATTGGAACAGCGAAGCCAGCCTTTGGTGAGTGGTACGCCGTCTCCGGCTGTGCCTGTGTAGAGGACTTCTTTGCCACTGGGATCGATGTATCGCAGGGTGAGGAATAGATCAATGTCTTTGTCACCAGTCTCCTTCTCGCTTGAGTCGGGAGCCATGGAAACATTGAGGTGTGCAAGAGCATGACCGGTGATTTCAGTCTCTTGCTCAAATGGTGCTGTCTCGAATCTCGCGAAATGATCTTCTCGATCGATAGAGCCGAGTGCAGAGTAGGAGATTTGGGACTTCTCGTTGGACTTGGCTTGCTTCGGGGAGAGGCTCTTGTCTGATCCCAGGTAATACTTGGTGTACAGGGTTGAAGGAAGGGGCCAAGCGGATTCCTCTCTCTTCGTGTATGCCGATTCTGCCACAACGTCGTTGAAGCCAACGTTACCTTTTCGGATTGTCAAAGTAACAGGTGCAACTTTTCCAGGTGTGGTCCATCCATATGAATCCTCTCCTTTCAGGAAAGCGTCGAGGAAAGATTTTTGTATCTCGACCTCTTTCTGGTAGCTGTGTCAATGTTAGCCTCAAGACTATAGATATTTGTAAAAAGGAGCGAGATCTTACTAGAATGGGAGATCGTGACGACCAGTGATAAATCTCAGGTACTTGAACTTCGATCCAGCCCACCTATACCCTTCCACATTCCCTCTCAGATGCAAATTGATACCACCCCAATTTGCTACCGAAAGCAGCGGCACTTCAATATCCTCAAGACGGAACTCTTTCGAAGCGTAGTAATCATCGTCTCGATATCTATTTAATTCATTGTCTTCCGTCTGATCCTTTCGGTTCTTCTTGAGTGCCTCTTCTGACAAATCTCCTTCGATTGTGTCTTCCTGACCTCGTGCCCCAGGTCCATCAGGCGGGAATGTCAATTTTGATCGTCCTGGCTTTCCATATTGGTTGACCAAGACTTGACGATTCCACCAAAATGAGATGAACTTGTTCGAAAGGATTCCTCCATGCCTGCACCGGTCTCGGTAGTAATCAGCCATCCCTTCCCATGGTATGATCGCAGCCAAGCCCTTTGGTCTTCTAGCTGCAACTCGCCATTGACTACCTAATTTTATGTTAATACCAGTTTCTTGGGTCATGTGGTGTTGAAATTACCTGCAAAGTAGCTGATCCCCAAAAGTCCAACTTTGCCAGTACTCCAAGATTGCTCAGCAGCCCATTCCACAACATCAAAAAAGCATTCACTTGTCCCCCGACTCATAGTATCCAGCAATCCTGGACTCTGACCCAGACCTCGCTCATCTACCCGAACTACAATATAACCCCTCGAGGTCCAGAAGACTGGATCTGGAGTCTCCCAAGCGCTGTACTTGCTTCTATGCTCGGGATTGACCTCGTCGAAAGATCCCTTGTAGAAAGTGGCATAGGCAATATCTTTGCCATATGGACCGTATGTTATCAAAACAGGGAGTTTCTCTCCGTTTTCTGTGCTGATTGGTCTGTACACGTTTGCTCGCACGGGTAAATCAGAAGCTTTGAGAGGAATCGAAACATTCTTCTCGAAGATGAGGCCATTTTCCTCGTCTCGGTGAACGGTTCGAATGTCTCTGATTTGGTTTGACGTCGCCATGGTGTTGTATGACCAATTCAGTTGTGAAAATTACAGCTCCCAAACAAAGTACGAGCTCTACAATGAAAATACGACTTAATCAGATATCGATAAGATACATCATGACATGCCGAGCTCCGGAAACCCTAAGTCCGCTCAGGGACCAGCTGTCCGGAAGGAAGTGGAGGTGGGGGCAGCTGAGGGGCCGAAGGGATCCCGCCTTTTTGTCTTCAGATTGCCCCTCCAAAGCGCGTCACCAGCACTCTAACAACGATCCCGAGTGCGGGGGACCGACCTGCGATGGATTCGGCATTCCGTTGAGTCCGAAATAATTGCTAGAGAACTCATATCTTATGATCTCAGTTCACTTGATCAATCAATCTGTGATTAGCACACAAACTTTTGCACTAAATTTAAAAATGTCTCCAAAACAATACCCAGCTTACACGACCGAAGTACCACCAGCTTCAACGCGTGGGCTCTCCCACCCAAAACGCTTCATAACTACACACGATGAATCCGGCAAAGCAGTTTTCAGCTCTGAGTTGCCAGAGGAGATTCCCTTTCAGCAAATTCCCAAGGATGCCATTTTCTCGCTCTGCTATGCTACGAACCAGACACCAGTGGAGCTGAGCAATAACACTGATGTGAATATTTACTCAAGTAAGTCATTTCTCTGAAACAAGGACTTGTATTCTTACATATGCTTCAGATTATCTCGAAAACTTGCCCGGGGTCATGATACCCGGAGGAACTGTGCTCCGTCTTGTGGATATGCCACCAGGAGCCACATCTCCTATGCATAGAACTGTTTCTTTAGACTATGGTGTTGTGTTGGAAGGATCTGTAGAGCTCATCCTGGATGATGGAGAGTCTAGAGTGATGGAGAGAGGGGACATTAGTGTTCAGCGAGGTACTATTCATGCGTGGAAGAATATGAGTAAGACTAGCTGGGCACGTATGTTGTATATTTTGCAGGAGAGTAAGCCGATTCAGGTTGAGGGGAAGAAGTTGGGGGAAGATTATGGTGGCTTGGAAGTTCCAAAGTCAGGGAATTAAGTTCAATCTCGGTGGTCGAGTTGAAGAAACCAATGAAATTAAAGTCTAGAAAACTTATTCGCGTCTTCTGCTGGGAACCTTACAGTAGTATCACTGCTTGGCTCTGAGATGGTGAATATTTAGAAATTTCAGAGTAGATGGAGATTTCACTAGGACTGGAAAAGAAGCCGTCTCGCTTAAATGTTTTCAGTCCTGCACACAGCAGACTCAAAGATTCCCAGGAATAGGGCATGCTCATTCGCAGCACTTCAAATAGAACAGAAAGGTCAATTATGAATGCGATTTAAAGCGATCCCTGAAACTCCTACAGAAAGATCACCAATACAAATCACAACTACTCAATCCTCCTCGCACTACTAACATCCGGCACCCCCGTCCCCTCCACAATCTTCGATCCAACAACCTCATAAATCGGAATATCCGCCAACACCGAAACAATATGATGCAGCGTCGGCAACGCATCCACATCCAGCGCATCAAACTTAACGCTCGCCCTCGTCGGCTTCTCAACCTTCTTCACCGTACTCGGCACAACCTTCGCCTCCTCCTCATGCGGCACCACCACAGAGTACTCCGCATCAGCTTTCCCCTTCATGTCACGGCCGACCGCGGGGATATATCTGTGCGCCAAGATTCCGTAGTCGGCTTCCCCTCCGATGGTGCCCTTTTCGGTCGCGGGGTCGACAGTCTCGAGACCCTCGAGCGTGAAGTCGCAGAATTTGGCACCTTGCCATGAGGCTGCCATGCGGTAGCTGGATGCTCGGCGGTGGATGTCTATCGCGCAGTACACTTTCGGCATACCGAGCTCGTCTCTTCCGCTCACGATAGGGTCAGTGAGCGATTCGAAGAGGAGAGGCAGGTAAGTCCCATCGATGGTCGAGCCGTCCTTCTTCGTGTACTGCACACCGTGAATGTACAGCCCGAAATGATTGTAGCCGCCGCCTCCAAGCCAGGTCATGTTTCCCAGTGTGGTGGTAGAGAAGCTTGCGTATGCAACTGAGCCGGGAGATTTGAATTTGAAAGATTCATTTGGGAAGAGGTTTTGGAGGAACGTTCGAGAAGTCTTGAATTTGATGGAGGCTGTAAGGAAGGTCTGGGCGAGTGACGGTCGAGGATTGCCCCAGATGTCTTGTCGTGGTCCAGGTGCTGGGCCGAACGCAACTGGCATACGCCAGTAGACGTTTGGGTTTTTGTTTCGATGCCATTTGGTGAAGATGTTGGTTGAATTGTCGTATTCGTCGAAACCGAAGTTGTATGTTGTGTATTTCATCACTTGGAAAGTCAGTGTGGTTCTTGTAGTTGAGAAGTAGCCACTCACTGTCAATTGTGGGCTTGCTATCAACACAATCCTTTCCAGCTTGGCGAGAGTAGTCTTGGATGTTGTTGGCTCGTTCGTAACGAATTTTCTCGTATAATTGCAATCGCTCGGGAATCTCTTCTGGCGTGGTACCTAGAGGGAGAACAACTGAAATGGTTGTAGCGTCTTCCATAGCAACTCCACCACCTTGCCCTTGATCTAGTCTTGTAAGAATTTGCCCAACATATTGATGGAAAGAACTGACGTGGAAGGAATGGATGCGCTGCATCGCCCAAAATTGCCAATTTGCCCTTCACCCACGTGGGCAGAACCTCCATGTCGAGTAGCTTCCACACCTTCAAGCTCTCTGGATCGGCTTTCTTGAACAACGCAAGAAGCTTTGGATCGAAATCTTGATAGACTTTGAGAAGTTGATCTAGCGATCCTTGCTTATTCCATTCTGTAACTGATTAGCATATCAAATCTCTCAATAGGATGGAAACATACCCGTAGAACCACCGTGCGACTCTTCTTCTGGGTGAATACAGATGAAGTTCAGTAACTCATTGTTGTCGCATGGATACACAACAACTCTTCTATCAGTGCCATACCAGATGACCAACTCATTCTCATTCTCCAAAAGCTTTGCAATCTGTGGGTCTTCGCAGGCTGCTTTCCGGTCAATCAAGAATCTGAAAGCTGCTTTGCCTGAGCCGAAGAGCTTGCTTGGTTTTCCAGATACATATTGTCTCGTTTTTGACTAGGGCACGGGTCAGATAAAGTAAGTCCAAGATCCGAAGTTCACTCACATATATCCCATCAGCACCCAAAACCAAATCCGCCTGCACCTTCTCCCCACTCTCCAAGACAAACGATGCATTCTCCGGATCAACTTCGATAACTTTACTTGACAGATGAAGTTCAGCAGGTTTGCCCTTGCCCTCCTTTCCAGTTGCCACTAGCTTCAATCTGTCGTGTAGCCTGACGCGATGTACCAACATCCACGGATGCTGCCACAACTTATTCTGCTCCTGGAGTTCCACCTTCCGAGTCTCAACGCCTTTTAAACCGTATTCTGCTAATCTGCACATCTCGACTGCGCCGAAGTCTTCTGCCATGATTCCATGCCGTCTGAGGAGTCCGTTGGCATTAGGGGCGAGGTGGATGGCTGCGCCTGTTTCGCTGGTGGATTGGGATTGTTCGTAGAGCTGGTGGTACGTTAGAATACAAGTATCAGTTTGATAAAGTAATAACTCACAGAAACATTGTGTCCATTTTTTCTCAGGCCGATGGCAGCAGACAAACCACCAATACCAGCACCTATGATCGCAATATTTAGTGGTCTCGGTCCACTTGTACCATTGGTATAACCATTGGTATGACTATTGACATGGCCATTACTGTAGCCGTTCGCCATGGTGTTGTTCTCCGGATTGTAGAGTTTGGTAGCCATTTTTCTATTGTGTAATGAAGACGAAAGAAAGTAAACAACGAAGCTTTGAAAATTCTTCGAACGAGAGAACGTGAAAGGCAGTCTTTGATTTAACGAAATAAATTAGATCAAGCTTCGATATTTCCACTACCACTAACAAGCTCACTCCACATTTTGAACCAGAACTTCGGTCCCGAGCCGTTTAAAGTTTCTGGAGCTGTTCGAAACGTGGGGTGCAGCTCTCGCGACAGCATGCTTCGCTTCGGGATGTGGTCAACCGAACCCCTATTTTCTAGGTTCAGTCCCAATTCCTCCACTTGATGCCGAACCCCGCAAATTTTCCACTGCTTACGAGGCCAGGCAGGATTGGGGATATTTTGCTTGAACGGTCAACTGATCAGAGATTGCACTAACAAGCCGATTAGATACGCTAATTGCATAACACGTACATACACTCAAGCATCCATCTCATTTTAACTCCGACAGCCCTTCACAATGTCTGCTGCCCCTGTCGTTCTTGTGACCGCCGGCTCAGCCGGAGTGGGAGCAGCTACAGCGAAGGTATTCGCAACGGCAGGATACAGAGTCGTGATCAACTACTCCAGCAATGAAAAGCGAGCTTTGGATTTGTTGGTCGAGCTCGAGAAGCTCTCGCCAATTGGACCATCACAAGATGGAAAGCAGAATTTCCTTAGTATCAAAGCCGATTTGACGCGAAAGTCAGATATTGCACGATTGGTTGATGAAGTCATAAATGGAATGGGAAGAATTGATGTGGTGTTTTCTAATGGCGGTTGGACTGAGGTCACAGAATTCACAGATCTGGATGACAATCTCGATGAGGATGTTTGGGATCGCTGCTGGAATATGAATGTTAAGTCGCATTTGTGGTTGTTCCACGCTGCGAAGAAACACTTGGAAGCATCTGAAGGATGTTTCATTACAACGGCTAGTTTGGCTGGTGTCAAGCCTAGCGGTAGTTCTATTGTGAGTTGCTTTCATCGTAAAGCGTTCTACGGACAGGTCAATACGCGAAGGATGACCAGCCCTCTCCATCTTCGTCTTCACAGTAAGCTCGCTAATCAATGGCTAGGCATACTCCGTAACCAAAGCCGCACAGCTTCACCTAGTCAAGACCCTCGCCACCATCTCCGGCCCAAACATCAGAGTGAACTCTGTGTCTCCAGGTCTATTGCTCACAGTATGTCGACTGAATACCCTTATGACGGAGACTAACACACACAGGAATGGGGGTTGAAGTTTTCCCCAGAGAGGCTGGAGGCTTCCAAAGCTAAGACCAAGTTGAATCGTTTCGCTACGGTCGAAGACGTTGCAGAGCAAGTATTGTGTTTTGCCAAGAGCAAGACTGTGACTGGCTCGAATGCTATCATTGATGCTGGGTGGTCGTTGTAGATTGTAGAATTTAGGGACCTGCATTTGCAATGGCATCAATATCGGCCCGCCGCAAATGATGCACAAAATGACGCTATCAATTGCTCATGACAGCCCTAGCTGCGCTTCCTAGCTCCGTGATTAACTGGCTGAGATTCTCCACCAAGGGAGGCACTGCTGTCTGTTCGTTTCTAGCAGACTCTTGGTCATCTATGCCTTTCAGCACGTTGATGATAGCGCTCATCACTTTCTCTGGTTCCGAGAGTCTAGCGACTTTCCCAGCAGCCGAGAAACATGGCATCCCGCTTCCTAATGCCACGAATCTCTTCACATCTTCCACTTCGTCGCCGTCCAGCCAGACCAGCAAGTTTTCATCGCTAGAAGAATGGCCAACAGTGTGAATTCTCTCGCCCCCTAGTCTCAGTACTCCGTAAGCCCAGAATGTCAGACTTGCGTGATACACAGCGACGGCAAGAAATTCCCTTGCTCCCCCGAGCATTTTTGCGTAGCGCACGACTTGCCCAGCATGCCATAGCGCAGTTCGAGCTTCCCGACTTTCTACCCAGGTTTGGAGGCCAGGATACACTCTTCTAGCCTCTTCATCTCCTTCCCTACCAGCAAACAATTGGATATCATTGAAAGATACATGCAAATGAGTAAGGAGGAGAGATGCTAGAATTTGAGATTCGAGGGTACTAGTAGGAAAAGCTTTTGCTTGGCGACTGGAAACCTGCACATTGGTGCTAGGAAGTGAGACTGTGAAGTGTTGCAACAATTGGCAGAGCTCTTGGTGTCTGTGCCCGATGACCAAAGCATTAGAGCCGTAAGATTGGTTAGGAGATGGATGTGCCTTGAGCACCGAGTTCAGGGTACGAAACTCGAGGATCAAGCCCCACATCCCATATGCAACCAGTGATAGACAAAGTGGTATGTCGAGCTGGTGATGTGCCCCGGGCGCGTTTAGAGGAGAGAGGTCGTAAAGACATTGAGGAAGTGATGGAATACGATCGGTCAGGCTTTCCGATGGGTATAATGCTTTCCAGGCTGTGGCGGTCGGAGCCAGAAAGAGGGCGTTCGGAAGAGGCAGAGGTAGGGTGAGTTCCGCATATGAAATGATAGTTGGGACTACAAGGCACATGCTTGTCTGGGCATCACGGATGAAGAGATGGAAGATGAGCCTGAAGAAGTATCAGCTCGGCTTATTAAGAAAGGCACTTGCAAGGGACGTACCGCTTCAACGATTCTTGTTCAGCCCAAGCTCGCCACTTCTGCTCAAGAACTCTTCCGGTATCCGATTCCAAAGGACGGATGGTTTGGTAACTTGAGCGTAGCATACGACTGGCTCGTCGGCACATCTGGAGATCTTAGCTATGTCATGCACTGTACAAAATTGACGACATACCGTTACGACAACTAAGGCTTGACTTTCTGCCAACTCTGTCTTTCTCTTGTTGCCACTCCAAAGACCAACATCGAGGCTCAGGAGAAATCCTTGCAGTAAGGTTAGATCTCGTGTCACGGAGTTGTTTTCTTCGCACTTTTGCACAGATATGCCAGTTAGTCTCCATTATTTTCAAGTCGATACAACAGAAATACTGACCACTTTTGGCACAGAGAATCGAACAGCCTCCTGAATTGCAAAGCCCAATTTTCTGATCGTAAGCGAGGAGCTAAACATGGCACCAGCAGCCAGAAAGCTCGCCAGCAACTCTGGTCTGAGCTTGTTTATCTTCAGCGTCGGCAGATGTATCCAGGTATCATTCTGCGCAATATGAGAAGCCAAAAAGCACTGCATCAAGCTGTTCAAAAGCTCAGCTGAGGGGAACGATGACATAACCTTCGGGAAGTTGCCTCGTTCACAGGTACTGAGAATCATAGCAACGATCTTGTCTCGTGCTTCGGGCCCAAAAACTTTAGCAGCCACTTGCTCGCTAACGACAAATTGTGTTCCTAGATTGGGAGCATCTTCCGGTTGGAGATTGAAATTTGATTGCTCTTGATGTCCAGCATCTTGCCGCACCGGAGTCCAGCACCAAAGTGATCGCTTGAAAGCCTCCGTTCCCAGGGCTAGGCTCTCAGTTGATGGTTGATTCGTAGCCTCTGACTGGGGTGTCTCGGCTTGAAATGAGATTGATGCACGATTTGGTGGTCTTGGTACGGATGGTTCTCCTATGCTCTTTCCTTGATAGAAGTCCATAAGGTTGTAGTCTTGATTGTTGAGTTCGAGATTCGAATCCTGGCCAAAGGAAAAGAGATCACGAAATGCTGCGGACGGAGTTTCAGCTCCGTCTACGTGCATCTGACCATCGTAAGGTCCGGCTTGGTGTGGCATCATGATTTCTCTTAGGAAATCGGCGAAAAGATTGTCATTGACTTCCATTATCGCAGCTGTGTTAGGATCTGGAGGTAGCATTCCGGGCATCTCTGGAAGAGGATTAGAGCCTGGCTAATAGAGTTAAGGACGGGAGCATACGATCCATGCCAATCGAACCATTCTGCCCAGTGCCATTATGAGCATTGCCCAGCATCCAGTCCTCGAGCCCTGCACCGTTTCCCGCATCAAAAGTCATATCGCTTGTCCTTCCAGCGTCTGTCATTGCACTATTATTTCCTGGAATAATATTTTCATCGATGCTTCCGCCTCGCCAAGACTCCACATTTCTGTGTTCTTGTTCGTTATAGTCACATCTGATTCCTTTGGACACACATCTTTGACAAGGTTTCTCTTCCTTGCATTTCAGCTTTGCTCCTGCGCATGCTTTACAAGCTTGCGAGACCCGGCCAGCACGTGGCTGATTGCTTTTGCGGCGTCGACTATTGTCTGTATGAGCTGAAGCATGCCTTTTCAATAGATCCCTGTCTGAATTAGTTGAACAGTCTCTTTGGTGCACGAATGAAGATGCAACTAAATCCAGATCTGACAAGTGGAGACTCACGCTCTAGTGAACGACTTCGAACAAACGTCACAACGGTATGACCTTTCAGCTGTATCTATTCGTCACAAGCCACAGAATCAGTATCCGATCTGCCCTAAAGACAACAGGGGAAGCGAATCCAGAACTTACGTGAACGAAAATGCCGAGCTAAGTGATCGACTCGGGAGTAGCTCCTCTGACAGACATTACACTTGAAGGGGCTTGGAGCCGCATTTGGAACAGGAGTCGGGCTTTTGCGGTCGGCTCCGGGATTCTGGTGTTCCATCTGCTGCTCCATGTCTGTACTCCACAGCACTCTCCCGGCGGAGGAAATTGATGGTGGAGGAGGATGGGTAAATGCAACGAAGGTTGTAAATATAAGGGATGTGGAGGAGACGTTGACTCCGACCCGAAACGCGGGGTGCAGGCGATTTTAAAGGAAACCGGGGGCGGGAGTTAAAACTGACTCGTCCGGGGAAGCTGCGGGAAAAGGACGCGTGTCAGCGAATCACTAAATTAGAGGCTCTCGGTTATCTGGGTCGCTAAACGGGGCTCGAACAGGGGAGTTTAGCGAGGAGGCGCTCTATCCCGCGTAAATAAAAGTGGTCGATTCAGGCAAAGTGTTGAACTGCGATTAGCTGTGGATTTGTTAAAGTACTACTTCGTATAAAACTTCTTAATGTTGCACGAATACTTAAAGAGTATTTTAAAAGATAGTCTGAAAGTCTTAATTACTTTTTCTCATTGATTATTAAGAAATAAACTGTTAAACAACTAGTTGTAGTGTTCTTCACGTGCCTTAATCGGCCACTGTTATTTATGTGGGATAGGCACTGTAGCTTGATCATGTCCATGCCTGTAATGAATGACACTTCGCTGAATTACTGTTGGCAGACTGGTGATATTGGACCATGTTCTCATTAATACTCTTGAAGTACATGTCCGTATCCAATCATACTTGAAGTATCTCCCCAAAGTCAAGTAACTAAAGCACATCTCTTGGCAATCTCTCAACATGACAACTCGAACCTAGTCCTAAAAGACAATCTATTCACCAACCTCCCGATCATCATCCCAATGAACATACTTGACTACCGACCAGTGCCAAGTGGCATGTCGAATGCGTTTGCCAAAGATGTAGATCGGGATAGCAAACAAAAGAATGGCCGCTGCAATGCCAGCCATCGTACCATACGCATTGAGATATCCGACCTTTTCAATCCAAGGGTTGGTATAGAATGACAGGAGGAATCCGAAACATGACTTCAGCGCCATGGAAGTGACAGTGACTTCGCCGGCAATAGGTCGGTAGCAGTCGATGGTATAGACAAGAGAAACGTTGGTGGCCTGGACAATTGAGAAGTTCACTATAGATCTGTTAGCTCGGAACAGCATGAAATGGCGAATATACTTACAGAGACCAAGACCAATTGTGGGACAAATCCAATGAAGCTTGTTCTGGATCCCGACTCCAAACAATATGAGTCCCAACGGCGTTGTGATTAAACTGATAGCGATGGCTGGAAGTCTCATTTCTGGCTCTCTCAGACCTCCATTCCGCTTGGTAAAGTAGTCCGTCACTTTATCACTCAAATGACCTCCAGCGAAAATTCCGATAAGAGATCCGATGATGGCCGAGATGAAGCAAAGCCCTGTCTGCCAGGCCACAAACCCATATGCTGTGTCGAACGCAGGAGCGACGTTCGAAGACACAGCGACTAGAAAGCCGATTGTGACGGACATTACAAGGGAACCCCAGAGAACAGGAGGAAGTACGACAAGTGCAATGGGTCTGAGGAAAAGGTCGAGTAGAGACTCATTGGTGTATATACCGCTGAAGAGCTTGAGATTTTGCAGATAGGTCTTGCATTTTGGGATGGTTCGGGATCCATTCTCTGCGAGTTCGATTGATGTAGTTCCCAGCTTTTCATCAGAGACACCTGTTTCTGAGCTGCTAGTGGTTGGTGTGATATCTCTAATGTAGCTTGTCTCTGGAAAGGTGAAAATGACGAGAATGAGAAGCGTGCCGATCAGAGCTGCGCCGACGTAATAGATGGTTCTCCAGGTGTTGTGGATGGTGATGAGTCTGCTCTAGTCAGAACAGATGCTCATGCGGAATGTAGGGAGGAAGATGCTTACCCAGCGATAATCATACCACCCGCTACACCACAGGATAATGCAGATGTGTACATACTAAAGGTCATTAGTTACATTCAGTACATGTGAGACGATAGTACTTACGCCATCACCGCACCACGCTCGTGCAAGAAGAATACTGCAAGTCATGTCAGCGTACGTTTCTATTCTAATCCAAGACATTGACCTACCATCAGCAATGGAGAGAGGCGCCATGGTCTCAGCAGCTCCCGATGCGAGCCCCATCAAGATACGAGCAGCCAAAAAGCTTCCATATACCTTGGTAAAGGACAACCACAGGGCAACAGCGAAGTATAAGGTGTAGGAGGCAATATAAATAGGGCGACGACCATATTTGTTCACCAGTGGCATCCAGACCAAGTTACCCGTTCCTTGGAGAAGGGAAGTAGTGGTGAAGAAGTATGCTGTTTTGGCGATGGCAGCAGAGATTCCATCTGGGCCTGCAATGGGAGGGAAGAATTCGAGAGCTGTTTCAAGGATGGCTACCGATGGTCCAGCGGCAAGAAAGTTGCACATGAACATGGCCAGGCAGATGAGAATTGCCATGTAGTACTTGCGTGGTTTACTCCTGTGATATAGTCAGCTTCTGTAGAAGTTGTGTAATGCCTGGAGATGGCGAACCAATTCAGAGGATCATTGGGATCTTGAGATGGCGTTGGGATCAATATGATTTCGTTCGTGTGCTCATCTCTTTGGCGAACGCTTCCTAGTGTTTGGATCTTCTTGATGGGTTCTTTGGTACCATGGTTGGTGTTGATTGGCTCAATCATTGTTGACATTGTTGCTGCAGAGTGATTCGGAATCAAGTTTTGATATTGGGATATAAAATTGAAGAACTGAAAACGGGCTTGAACTTGCGACTTGTCAAGTTGAAAATCGTCAGATGAATAGGCTGATCTTCATTCGATGTCAAGAGGGCAGCTTGTCTACATGATGTAGATATACAACACCAAGCCAAGATGCCATCAATTCGAAGTCGTGAGATTGTTGACGCCTCCCCCGCAGACCCGCAAATCAGAAGTCGAAGGCCAGGCGAGTCTGTGCATACGACTTGGAGATCTTGGAGATGCTCCTCACGAGTCGTACCTCTGTAGGCGTCAAGAACTTGGCTGACTTAACCCTGTATGGCCAAGACCCTTTTGGTGTCTGGGCAAGAACTCCAAGCTTGCAACGCGTGTTGTTGAATGCGGCATGTGGAGATAGCACAAGCCGATGTGGAGAGGAACGCGGCTCGATCGAGTCATTTTGTGTCCACAACCCGAAATACCTGATGAGAGTAAATCAGCTAGACGAGTGTGGGGTAATTAGTTCAATCGCGGGTATCATAATATTTTCATATACCAGGGTCCGAAAATCGCTAGATAAAGTTGTTTACTTTGAATTTTTCTAGATCTGACATTGTATCCTGTTGACTGTTATTTTATTTTACCAAAGACGGAACTTAACTTCACTATGGCAATTCCTCCACTCCCAATCGTCTGGCATAAAGATGCCCCAAAAGACACCTACGAAAAAGCACGGGTCGGGCGAGTATTCAATGCAAGAAGACCAAATCGCTATCCCAGAGCAGTGGTTGAAGCAACACATCCAGCACATGTCCATGAAGCTGTCCAGCTCGCCAATAAACTCGGATGCAGGGTCTCGGTTAGATCTGGTGGGCACAGCTGGGCCGCATGGAGTGTTAGAGATGATGCTATTTTGATTGACTTGGGGAATATGAAGTATCTAGAAGTGAATAAAGAAAAAATGATTGTTGCTGCATCGCCGAGTACCACGGGGATGATGCTAAACGATAAGTTGGTACCAGAAGGTTTGTTGTTTTGTGGTGGACATTGTCCCGATGTCGGAATTGGTGGGTTTCTGCTTCAAGGTGGAATGGGTTGGAATTGCAAGGTATATGTTAAGATCATTGATGAGTTTTGCTTTTGCTGACAGTACTAGAATTGGGGATGGGCTTGTGAGCAGATCGCGGGTATTGATGTGGTGACTGCCGCCGGGGAGAGCTTACACTGTAACGAGACAGAAAACAGTGACCTGTTCTGGTGCGCACGAGGGGCAGGACCAGGTAAGAAACGTAATTTTGTAGCTGGAGATGCAAAGCGCTCACGCTTGTCAGGTTTTCCTGCCATTGTGACCAGGTTTTACCTCAAGGTTCGCTCCAGGCCAGAGGTCATGCTAAAATCGATTTTCATCTATCCAATATCACAGTACAAAGTCGTCATGGACTGGATCACAGAGGCAAGTCTCTCGGTACTGGGTTGCATACTTCCAGTTTAATAGAAACAGATATCTCCCACATCAGACGATGGCAACGAAATCGTAGCTGTTGGACTTACGCCTCCGGGGCTCGACCAACCATGCATCATGGCCAACACCGTAACCTTTCAGTCAACACACGAAGCTGCCCTTGTAGCTCTCGAACCTATAAACAGTACTCGACCCCCGGGAGCTCTTGTCGAAATAATTAGCGAGCCAACAAGCATTAAAGAACAATACGCCGACCAAGCTGCTGCCAATCCTTCGAACCATCGTTATTGCGCTGAAAATGCATATTTGGCAAATAACTCAAATGCGACGGCTGTTTTAGAAAAAGCTTTCACGACATTACCGCACAAGAAGAGCTTCGCATTATGGTTCAGCATGGCTCCTGGTAGCCGAAGAGTTTTGCCAGACATGGCACTGAGTATGCAATCGGATCATTACTTTGCCTTGTACACTATCTGGGAGAAACCTGAAGACGATGTGAGATGTAGAAATTGGGTTCATGATATTATGAAGGACGTTGCTCTGTCAAGTGTTGGGGCGTACCTGGGCGACAGTGATTTTCAGCAGCGGAAAACGAAGTTTTGGAAAGATGAGAATGCGGAGAAGCTGATGAAGTTGAGGAAGAAGTGGGATCCTAAAGGGGTTGTCAGTGGATATCTGGATGCTGGGGATGTCAGCGGTGTGAATGGTTTAGACAACCAGGAGTGGGTGGCCAACTCATTGTCATAAATAGAACGGCGAATTACTTCAATACTATACTTTTTCCCGATCAGTACTACCTTGCGTAATTGCTAGAGTGTTCAAGTATTTCTTACTAAGTTATCATATTCTTAAACATCATATAGCTGCAAGTTTAAAGCAATAGGCGAATAAGCGCAGTCTTTACAAAATCGGCTTTGAATTTTCTACAGAGAAATATAGACAAGTCAACTATACCCGATAATTGGGAAGTTCACGTTGTTTCACGGGGAGGAAACGGCGTTGGAAGGATTCGAATTGGCATTGTCGATTTCCTAAGTAACTAGCTCAGACCCCTCATGTCCTAGATCCTCCTTAGTACATTCATCGTGCCAGTTCCTCCATGTACCGAGTCCACAATGCACAAAAACATTTTGGTCAGGAACAAGCCCGATTTCCACCCAGATTTATGTAGCCTCCTTCCTTTATCCGCAATAACACCTGTTGTCAAAGCAGTCATAATTCTTGCCCTGAGCCGAACACTGTTCAAAGTATCAACGAAGCCCAGAGGTCCCAATAAGTCAGCCGGCTTATAAGCTAGCTAATCAGCTAGCTTAAACTTATAAGTCAGTTAGCTAGTGTTTTTTTCTAAGCTAATTAGTAGCTTATAAGCTAGAGGTACTTCTATTAGTGATTTTAGAGTTATTTTAGTAGGGGTTTTAGTGTTTTTTTAATACTTAACTTAGCGATATTCAAGGTCCCGGAGCGAGAAAACTACCTCTAATAGGCTAAAATTAGGCGGTAAAGAGCGGTAGGATAATAATAATCTGTATTATAAATATTAAACTCTTATAATATCTCTTTAATTCTATTAAAATCAGCCTTAATACTATATCTTAACGAACCTCACCTATCGTAGTTAATGATACTACCTCTTAAGGCTCTATGATATTATCTGTACTCTCTGAAGCTAGTATTTTTAGCTATATAATAAGTAATTCCTATATAATATCTTCTCTTATACTAGAGCCTCTTAAAATACTCCGTGATACCTATTAATAACCTGCGGCGATATATAACAAGTTCTATAACTCTTTTTAACTTTAACGCCTTAATCTGCTATCTGATTACTCTTCTTACGTCTATAGTTAGCTTTTATATAATAATCGAGAGGTTAATATAAGGAAATTACCTTATAGGAAGAGCTTAAGTCCTATAATAAAGAAACTAAAGTGTTCCTAGGTCTAGGAGCTTAGATATAATCTTATTAATCTTATAGATATTAAAAAGCTTTAATTTTAGGCCTATAAACGCTATAAGTAAGATTATAAAGAGGCTATCTATACTAATAATATTAGGTTATTATAACTAGCGGTTTTCTTAATATAAAGAATATATCTTTAATAGTAATAGCCTTAAGAACACAGAGAAACACCTATTATAGATATACTACCTAAACACTAGAGGAGATATATAGCGAATAGAAGCTTTAGCTTAACTTATATAACCCTTAAGCTATATAGACAGTAATCCTTACTTATAAATCCTATTCCGATAGAAGGAGTTTAAGAACACGTTTCTTAAATAAGTTATCCTAAATAATATAAAAGTATAGAAAGCTACGTTAAAAAACTTTAAAGGGATATTCCGGATTATAAACTAAGACGTTCTTAATATATTACTAGCTTTAAGCTTAACTATAGCCTCTTAGATTAATTAAATATTTAAGTATTTTAAATTATAGCTAATTATAAAGGTTTAGAACGCTTAATCGAGAGTATATATAACGTTTAATAGATAAGGTTTAAAAAGAGAGAAGATTAGTCTTATTACTATAGTCCTCTACTATCGTGTACTATAAGAAGGAGCTTTATATAGTATAAAAGTCTTAATTTATTAAAGTATTCTAGAGCTCCCTTATAAGAGGAAGCTTTAGGAGTTCTAGTTATATAAGTAGCCTCTAGTTAGCTGGAGCGCCTTAGAGAGTGCCTTAAATGCGTTAAGTGTATAATATACCCTCTTACTTAGCTTTATAATAGTAAGTAAAGCGATATAAATAGTATAGATAATACTACCTGAACTATAATAAGAGTTGATACTAACTAATAGCGTTAGGTCTTAAGCGCCTAATAGCTCTAAATATATAAACTAAGTAAGTCCCTTTAAATACTCTTTCTTTAAATAATAACTTCGATATAATATTAGTAAATATAGCTAAAAGCTCTCACGCTACCTACGCCTCATGTGCCTCTAACCTTGCTACTACTTACGTAGTGAAGAAAAAGACTATAAGTTATTAATTTAAAGATTCTAATATAGTTAGTGTTATAAGGAATTGTTAGAACTACGCTAATACTTATAAAATAAGCCTATAGCTACTATAGCTCCCTTACTACTACTACTCTACTACTACTATTATTATTACTACTATTAACACTAGTACTAACTCCTACCTACTGCCCTACTATAACAGGGGCTATCTGTATTATGCCTTATAGCTACTATATTCGTAGTAGTTTACGAGGTATACTAGGCGACCTTTATTATAATAAAGTGATACCTTCGCGCTGTTTTTATTATTATAAAAATAATAAATCAAGTTATATTACTACTCTCGCTTACGCTGCTGAACTCTTTGCTAGCTACTTAGTAGCTCGGGCTTTCCTAGAGGGTATACGTGTAAGTATTTTCTTATATTATAGTATTAAAATAATAAAGTATTAATGTATTAATATTAAAGTGTTAAGTAAAGCTGACTCTGTAATATATATAAGCTCTTATAGTCCGCTAGGCTACTATTCGAAAGGCCTTAAAGGCTAAGGAGAATAAGGATAAGAATAAGGATAAGATTTATACTATTATCTGTAAGTTATAATAGTAATCTTATAGATTTCAGATATTATCTAACTATTAATATCAGCTGCTACCTCTACTCTTACCTTTACTCTCTATAGAGAGACTACTATTCTCTTCTCTTGCTCTGTTTTTAGTACTATAAGAATAAGCTCCGGCTTTACAGGAGCTACTATTATCGCCCTTATAGCGTATTTAGCCTTATATGCTTCTACCTTAGCGGAGGTTAATATTATAACTAGCGCTACTTAGTAGTTAAATTAATCTTCTCCTCCCTTCTTAGTAAGCGGTATAAGCTTTATAACTTTTAAGTAGTAGCTTAGGAATATTACCTCTTTATTATTATAGTTCAAGCTAGCGTGTTAGTACGGCTTTATAACCCTGAAGTAGTAGCTTAGGATCAGGTCTTATAATTCTACCTCTTCTCTCCTCTCTAATAGCGTTTAAGAACTGTAAATAGAAGGTGAAGAAACATGATAAAAGAAAGTATCTATATAGATTATATAGCTTAAGCGAGCTTCTTAATATCAGCTTAAGAGTCTTAAAGGTTTAAAAGAGTAATAAATACTTTAAACTTCTGCTTTAGTAGGTTTTTAGTTAAGCTATTAGCTAGTATATTATTTATTAAGAGATATGTTATCTAAAAACTCCCCTTTTTATACTCTTATTATAGCTATATATTCTATATATCAACGTGCTGAAGCTTTATTAAGATTCGCTAGTTCTCTTTAACTATCAGCTAAATCGTTTATTTATTATCGTATTATATTCCACGGAGCTCCTATATTAAGCTTTAGCTTTTTAAAGAACTTTTAAAGCGCTATTACCTCTTTAGTAGTCCGTTTTATACTAAGAAGCTCTGCCTCGGTTATTAAAGTAGTAATAGTATCTTATTAGGAGGCTTTCTAAATAATAGCTCCTCTAAATAGTATAATTAGGAATCCTTAGGAGAAACGACACGATTTAGTATTATTTATAAAGAACACGTCTAAGGTAATAAGAAGATATATCTCTTTATCCTTCTAACTATAGATAATAGCTAGGAATCTTAAGCTGAATAGATATTATATAGTCTAATTAACTACCTCTAAATATAGCGCGCTTAGGTTAGTAAGGAAGTATAATAGTTAAGAGGCTATAAAAGCGATATTTAGCTAGAGTATAATAGTTATATATAGTACTAACTTAACCTTCTTTTAATACTTCTTAATTTACTTAAAAGTTGCTATACTAAGGTTCTTAACTAGCTTATAGTACAGGAGAGGCGTGCTAGAGTACTTCCCGTTTACTATATTAAACTTCTAAGCTATTTTCTTAATATAAATATTATATAAGAGAGATATTATCTTCTTTTCCTTATTCTATACTACTTACACTTTTAAGAATTATTCTATATCTCTTAGGACTATTAGCTTATACGCCTTGTATAGTCTGTTTATAATTATTTAGCTCTTTTCGGCGTATCTGATATAATATAAGACCTGAATATCATTAATATAGAACGTTATAAAGATAGTCCTATATTAGTTTATAAAGATATATAACTTCTCTACAAGTAGAGATAAGTCTAGCTTACTAAGTATCTTTATAAAGTCGCTATACTAGAGTATAAGTAAGTCTCTTAAGTTATAAAGCGCTTAGTTAATTTCTACTATTATTCCTAGTTTTTTCTAGTTTTCTAAAGGGAAATATAAGACTAAGGCGCTTTTCTTATCTCTCTTTACGTTAATAAAGGTGTTAATTATATTAAACTACTTTACTTCTAAGTCGAATTAAGCTGCTAGTGTTATTATAACTTAAAATAACCTTACTACGAGTGTAGCTACGTAAGTTAAGAATATTATAGAGTTATCTTATATATTACCTTATATTATAATCTGAGACTTGTAACACTTAAGCTATCTTATAGAATCTACTTTATAAGTAAATACTTACTTTAAGGGAATTAGTAAAGTAGCTACGTTTTCCCTAGGAATTAGTCTCTAATAGTCTCGAGCTTCTAAGTTTAATATCTTCTTTTCTGTATTAGCTTTAAACTACTTGCTATATAAGTAACTCTTTAGCTCCCTCTAGTTTTTAAGTAGCTTTAGGAGCTTCTTTTAATATTAGTTTTATAAGTTAGAGGCTCCTGCCTTTACTCAGATATCTAATATAGCGCTTAAAACTACTACATGAAGTATAATAGTGTTATAGCTATT